TCTTCCCTCGCAAAGCCATCTCCTTCGACCTCTGTGCTGTCCCACGGCCGTCGCTCGCATCCAGACATCCCCCTCGGCCGCGCCCTGAGCTGGTACGGCGACAAGCAGAAGAAGAGGCCCTACTGGACCCAGTTCTTCAGCACCGTAGTCATCTTCCTCTTCTCCGACCTTAGCGCCCAGCTGCTCGTGCCGTGGGTCACTCAAGATAATAATAATGATAGCCAAGATGATGCAGAGACACAAGAGGAAAAGCTAGGGATACTCGACAGATACGATCCGCTGCGCACGCTCAGACATGTCAGCATAGGCGGGTTCGTCGCCATCCCGAGCTACACATGGTAAATCTCTACTCTTCTACCCTTATGTTAAGCATAGATAAGACTAATACAGACAGGTTCATGTTCGTGCACAACAACTTCAACTACGCCTCCAAGTTCCTCTCGATAACAACCAAAGTCGTGCTCTCCCAAGTCATCTACGCGCCGCTCTTCAACGTCTACTTCTTCTCGGCCCAGTCGCTGCTCTCCGGCGCAAGCTGGTCGGAGACCCTCCAGCGTCTACAGGTCACGCTGCCCGTCAGCATCGTCAACAGCGCAAAGATATGGCCGGCTGTCTCGGCGTTTATGTTCCTGTACATCGATCCGGCCTTTAGAGCGATCTTCGCGGGAGTCATTGCCTTGGGGTGGCAGACGTATCTCTCGTGGCTGAACCAGATTGCCGCGAGGGAGGTTAGGGCCAGAGAAAAGCAGAAGGAAGTGGGAGCTGGGCCGGTGGGAAAAGTCGCTGTTTGATTTATTTCTTCTTGCATACATGTGCATGTTTTGGGTTGGGCTGGGTATAGATGTATAGATGTAGATGGTTGGCGTTGTATATATAAAGTATCTAGATATCCCGTATAAAAGTCAAGTTCACGTACATAACCAGGCAGCATCGACCACTCCACGCGTCTGTCTATGTCTTCATCCTCCTTTGACTTCCTCGGGGGCTGGACAAGCGGCGCGGAGAGCAGCGAAGACACCGAGCCTGATATCTCGCTGGACGAGGCGCTGCTGCTCTCCGACCTTATCGCCTCCGTCACCGATAAGGACACAGACAGCAACGATGGAGAGTCAGAAAGAGATGCAGACAGAGACACAGCGATACAGGTGCCTGTGCCTGTGCCTGATATAGAGGACCATGCATACCTGCATCTGGCGCTCGAGCTGGAAGCCTCCCTTCCGGACAGCGGCAGCAGTGCCAGCGGCGGCGACTCGGAGTATCAGACTGGTAAGACGGCTGCTCTTCTTCACTGAACTCACTGACTGACTCAACTCGACTAACAGCGCTCTGCAGGCCACAGACACAAACACAAGATACAACAGTCCAGAGATGGAGAGAGTACATCCAAAGATGGAGACGAGGGAGAGGATACTCGCTCCCCCCTCGAACGCTTCAGACGACCACCCATGAAAGGCCTCTCGGTCTCTGACCTCGTCGCCCGCGCCTGGTGCGAGCTCCAATACTCCTATACCCTACTACACGGCTACAAAACCACCACTCCAGCCATGAAACGCGGCACAGTAGTACACCAGAAGCTCGAGAATGAAGTCCACACCTCTATACCTATCACGGTACTCACCAAGGAAGACGCCTGGGCCCTACGCATCTGGAACGTGATATACTCCCTCCGCACGCTGCGTGATATAGGCCTAACGCGCGAGATGGAAGTATGGGGGATAGTGGATGGAGAGATCGTGACGGGCGTCATAGATTGTCTCTCCTATGAGTGTGCGCAGCCGGAATTGCAGAAAGCCGTAGGAAAGTACGCTGGTGTATGTTCGACGAAGCGGGTGGTGGCTCGTACAGACAAGGAGGGTAGTAGCAAATGGATGTTTGAAGGAGACGGGCAGAAAACGGCGTTGAGACTAAGCGAGGAAGGGAATGTGTATATCACTGATGTCAAGACGAAAGACGCCAGGCGGGGCTCGAGGTTGCCGGGCGTGGAGTCGCCTTCGTTCAAGCCCGCGCGCATCCAGCTGCAGCTTTACTATCACTTCTTGACTCGCCTGGTAGAGTCCGAGGATATCAGCATATTCGACATTGCGGAACGGTACGGGTTGAAGCCTCATGCGCCGCTGTCTGATGCCTTTTTGGCGCAGGTCGGGAGTATCAATGACGATTACTTTGAGAACGAAGCTTGTTCGTGGTCTCAGTCGAGTCAGTCTGAAGCTGGTGATGGCGATGATGGTGTGCAGAGACAGGACTCGTTGACTGTGCTGCTGAACCATAACTCGCTGTCGAATCTGTGGGATCTGCTCAAGGAGAACCTCAGACTCACTTTTCTCCGGCCTGAATCTACATCTACTCTTACGTCTACGAAGGACGAGCATGAGCAGAGACAGGTGTCTTTGCTATCGCCTATACTGACTGTATCATACATGTCTCAACCAGAGCCAACCTCGCCATCACCTCCACCCACGGAGACAGACACAGAAGAGTCAAAGACAGAATCAAAGACAGCAACAGAATCAGAGTCAGAATCAGACACGCCTACCCCGTCACAGGCAGACAACAACTACATCACCCTCGGAACGCGCTCTTTCGTCTTCGACCCAGACTCGCTCTACCCGTATCTGCTCGAGGGGCTGGACTGGTGGCGCGGCAGACGCCCTGCCCACGCCATCCCCGTCTCGCAGGCCTGGAAGTGTCAGTCCTGCGACTACAGGGGGACCTGCAGCTGGCGTCGGGAGCGGTTTGAGATGCACATGCAGAAGATCAGAGAGAAGGGCGGCGGCTGGCTTGGTTAAATATCTTCTTGTAGCGTTGATGTATATATGTAGGACTTGCAATGTAGCACTTGATTGGCCTTCATATCTTCCACTGCCGTTTCTTGATTTGGACTTCTAACGGGATACTAGTACACACTTGCTCGTTGGGTTGGCTGTACACGTCTCTACCAAAGGCTATGTGGGATGTTTTTGATATTTGTGTTTGTGTAGATGGTGCAACTCCATGTAGTTATGGCATAACTACTAGATGTCCACACCCACCACCGCAGGAACTCCAGTATTTTGGATAAAATATGTGCTAGAATGAATCGTATGTGCTCTACGAAGGAGATTAATAGGGTAGAAGCCTGTGATCACAGTGCGTTGGTGCAAGATCAGACGAAAGTGCTGCTATCGATACTTAATTTATTGCTTTTATGCAAAGTTGCCAAATAAATCTACTTTTACTACCAATTAGAGGTTGGTAGACACCGACCACCAACCTGCCGAATATACCTAACTAACTCGCCGAATGACATCTCCGAACCGTAGAGAACAGATAGTGAAGTAACTATCTATAGAGTACCTCGTAGTGTATCTACTGCTAGGAATATCTACTGGTGTACCTGTATGCTCAGCTTGCTCTAGTTACCAGGCTGTCCTGCCCTGTAACTTATGCACGCGTATCAGGATTACAAAGATAGATTACACTCTGGTATCCGTGACAGCCTCAGGTCGCTCCAAAGTACCTTTGCCATACACCAGCAGCGGCAAGAGTACATCCAAGCTACCTCAGCCGGTCCGCCTGTCGTTATCTTACGCATCATATTATCCCATCGCCCAGCCCCGGCATCCTGCATCGACTGGCCTGTCTTGCTCGCAGGCCAGCTTTAATTACCAGGCAGCGTCACGCCCGATACGCGGATGCGCCGTCACGTCTCGTCACGCCCGCCGACTTTCCTCTTGCTTCGCCCTTCGTCGCGCTGCGTTTCGTCCCTTTTCTCCCTTTTTCCCTCTTTCTCTTCCTCTCTTCTTCTCTTCCTCTGCCTAACTCGCCTCTTGCATGCGTGTTGCTGCTCAGACAGGTATGGTTGATGTGGACGGCTTCTGCTGACGAGTTCTATAGATCTGAGTTTGATAACTAACTACTCAGACAGATAGATAGCATAGCCTCGCCCCGTCTCGCCTCGCGTATTCAGACATACATAGCTCATCCCGCCCTCGCAGCTTGAAGGGACAGTTCAATTGACGACTTCACAATGACCACGCGCAAGAGACGACAGGAAGCCGGTGAAGAAGAGGAGCTTCAGGCTCTTCCTAGCGACCAGAGCGACGAGGAGGAGGAAGAGGAGTAAGTTGTCGCGCGTGTAGATGGGGGATGTTAGGTAGTTAAATAAGTGATGCTGACGTTGGTCTCAGGTTCGATGACGAGTCTGACTTTGAGGGAGAAGACGATTCAGAGGAGAACGAGGACGAGGAGCCTGCTGAGGAACCAGAGCGTGAGTCGTCCTCTACCTACCCTTACACACACACACACTCTCTCTCTCTGCTTGTATTTCTGTGTGTCTCTGTAGGTGTGTGTCATGCTAACTTGCGATGTAGCATCGGCTAAGCGACGCAAGACTGGTCGAGCTGCTGCTGCAAAGAAGGCACCTGTAGATGACGACGAGGAGGATGCAGATGAAATAGAGGAGGAAGAGGAACAGGCGCAAGGCGAGGAGAAAGACGAGGAAGAGGAGGAAGAGGCAGAGGGAGACGACGAAGAGAAGGACGGCGATGCTGAAGAGGACGATGAAGTAGCTGAGAAGCCTGCTTCTTCGGCCAAGAAAGCCGCTGCCGCTGCTGTTGAAGAGGAAGAAGAAGACGAGTAAGGAGTGGGCTGGCTATGGGAAAACTGGACCTGGACGGGTTTTACTTATGAAATGTATCTGATAGAGGAGGGACAATAGGAATAGGAGAGTGTTTATGCAACTGAACTGGGTTGGGTATCTTGTTGTTGTTTCTTCTCTTGTAGCGAAGTCGTGTCGTGGTGTAATCCATATTCAGGACAGAAACGCCTCAAGTAGAGATGAGATGGAAAGAATAAAAAACATCCAACTACGAGCTTTCGTTCGAGGACGGCTTTTAAAAGAAATGATATTTTGATAAGTTACTTTATATTTATATATTTATCGCCCCACTCCTCTGCCGTTCGATATCTGGCCGCTATTTGCTTATAAGTACTAGCTAGGTACTTGTTCTGAGGCTGCAGGGCCAATGAGAGTGGTTATCATCGCAGGTATTTATATGTAATGGAATGCAGATAGACAAGACACACCCAGATACAGACAGCACAAGTCAAGGAGTCCCTAGCACTAACCGTCGCTTCCGCTGCTTCGGAAGGTCGCGCAGAGCTGGCAGTATTGGTGCGTGAGATCGAGGATGGGTTGCGGCAGGTTGGTCGCCTGTACGATGCTGCGGACCTTGACCGCGCCCTCTTCCTCGATCAGCTTGCGGATGACATACAGCAGGTCGGGAGAGAACTGTACACGTTAGCAAGGCAATATTATATTATGGAAAGGATGTGAGGAGTAGGGAAAAGGCGTGAACGCACCTCAGAGTACCATCGATACTGCCAGGCTATCAACCTGACCAGCGCGTTGAGCATGCCTCTCGTATCGTTCTGGCGCTCGTACATCTTCAATATGCCCCGTAGTGCCTTGGGCGAGAACCGTACGGACAGACAGTACTTGTACGCCTCAATGGCCTCGGGCAGATGGTGCAGCCGCTCAGCCAGCTCGCCCAGAATCTCCCACTCTGTTGGGGACTTCTTGTACTCGAGAGACTGCTGGCGGGACTGCGCCATCTCGGAGCGCCAGATGGTGTACACGCGTAGATCCTCGTACAGAACCATGAAGAGGTTGTCGAGCCAGCGCTCGCATAGGCGCTTGTTGTGGAACTGAGATGCCGAGTTGGTGTTTTCCTGGATTATAACTGTTAGCTCAACCTCTCCCTGCATTGCACTGCACTGCTTGTAGAAAATAACATACGTCGTCGTTGCCGGACTTGACTACCTCTGATGCCACTGTCTGGTTAGGCTTCTCGATTCCATGGTGCTCGGATGGCTTCTTGGGCTTGCCATTCTGCTCAGAGGCTTCCCCTTCATTTTCAGAATCGTCGTCATCGTCATCGTCCTCCTCCTCGTCGTCAGTTGTCCTGGCAGCCTCACTTGCGCCGTCGTGTAGGGCTACCGTGCTGGCATTGTGAGTGGTGCTTCCTGGCCGGGTTGCCGTCTGTCGTTCAACCCTGTACTCTTCTTCCATAACAAACACCTCGCTTCGGATCTTCAAAAGCTGGTCCCATCCAATGTTTGCCGCGATCTTGGTCAACAGGTTGTACGCCTTGAGGAACGTCCCCTGATAGTTACCTGCATGCAGTTTTCGTAGCGTAGGGTGCACCATGTCATGCGGAGTGCCTTCTTTGGGCTGGCCCTCGTCAATCTCGTCCAGCATGCTCTCGGGAAGCACGGGGAGGATGATGCGGGTTGGCTGAGGCATCCGGGGTGAGTCTCGATCTTGATAGTTGAACATGGGACAGGAGTTTAGCGTCAGCAGAGCTAGATTCCACTTCTCGAGGCTCACGTATACCTCCGCCAGCCGGATCCAGGAGCTAAACTCGCTTGGTGCTGCTGTCACGCTGCGTTTGGCGCATTCAAGTGCCATCTCATGTTCACCTTTACTCTGGCAGAACGCAGCCTGGCAGTCTAGCAGAGCATAGTCCATGGGTATATCCTTGAGCGCATCGTGCATTAGTCGGACTGCCTGCACTTCCTCGTCGGCGGATATCAGAACCCGTGCAAGAAGTGATGACACCTCTACCTCCCGCGCTCGGAGTTTCTCGAACAAATTGATGCCGGACACATATCGGCCTGTCGTATTGATGTACTTTAAAAGACCGGAGGTAAGATGGTTGGTGACTGTATTGGGGACTTGGGTTTCAGGGTCAGAACTAAGCTGTCGGCCTAGAAACGGGCAAAAGGAGAAAACGTCGTTAGCCGGTTGAATAAATCTGTGGCAGCTTGAAGTATTAACGAACCATTAAAGAAGAGCCTTTCCGATGCATCGAGGAATTTATGTTCCATCTCCGTGTTGGTGATCGGATTGAACCGTCTCACGCCCACGATCTTCTTGATAGCATCCCCGCTTCCGTCGTCCGCATAGGAGTAGGACCTTAGCACGGCGCACACGAATGTCTCCAGCCATAATGCTTCGGTTGCAACACGCTTGTCCCCTCGTTCGTCGATGCAATAGCTCTCCAGGCTGCCTGGGATCTTCACCTCAACCCTCATATCCACATGAGAGAACGCATTGTAGCAGCTTTTCCATACGTTAGCCGTTTATATCGATCGACACCGGAGGGGCTGTCTGTAGAGGTAGATGTATGTAATACCAGTATATTCCCGCAACCACTTTATGCTGCTTGTCAATCGGCGAGTAGGTAAGAGTGTTCACGTAGGCTGCTAAACTGGCTGACGAAGACGCATCTATGCCCGTGACATGGTGGTATACTCCGGTCTAAGGCTCCAGACGCTCAGTTAGCAAAGTTGCTCGGAAGACAGCTGTTGCGAACGAGGAACGGCGCCATCTAACCTGCGTATTCGGAGTAGATTTCGATTGCTTCACCAGGTGAACGAGATCCGGGGGGCCGAGTTCTCTCAGGTTCTGTAGGGATTCGGTGCGGGCATCTATGGACGAATAGAGCGTATCGTCTTCCTCGATAAGCCTGTTCCACGCAATTCCAGTTAGCATACGGCCATGCAATTATCTCTAGCAATCCTCTCCATAGTAAGGCAACAAGCAACGGCTCGACCGGCGTAAAGATCTGGCCACTACTTACTCTGGGGCAGCTGGCGAAACCATAGTTAGTCGACTATCGCTCGCCCACCCCTAAAGAGGAGCAGCTCTAGTTAAACTAGAAGACAAAAAAAGAAGGGAGCAGCGCTTTGAATGGCAGAATTGAATGCTTCTTCCCGAGCAGGATATTAAATTAAAAAGACATAGTGAAGCTGGCTGCGCAGGAGACGTCGTTGGTTGTTGGTTGTTGGTTGCTAGTTAGTTATTTACTTCCCTGCAGGCGGAAGAAGAGGCAGTGCTTTTTGTCTTTTGTCTCTAGTTACGCATTCACGCATCTCGCGCCATGCCTGATCGGGAAGTTCGCGACCTCCGAGCTTCACTCTTCTCCTGCGCTGGCTTCGCATCTACAACCAACAACGTCCATCAAACAGCTTCGATGCGGATGATTCTGCGGTAGAAGACAGATTTTTGGTCTCTAGCATAGCTTCTTCATCGGCGTCGGACTTGGGTTTTGCTGCCGTTTTATACCCTGGAAGTGCTGGGCTGGGCCTATTATATCTCAGTGGATCACCGGCCATGTCTACTTTCGCAGCGCTGAACATAGAGGCCGACGACACCCCGGAGGAGGAGGTTGATGATACGCGCGAGATTCAGATAGAAGAGGCCCTCAAGTTATACCAGACTGCCCTCAAACTCCACTCACTGGGACCCAAGCACTACAAAGAAGCCGCAGAGGCATATGACGCGCTCTTCAAGTCAGAGATATTCAAGTTACCGCAATACACAGATCTCGGAGCAGATGTATCAGAGGATGAATTCATAGAAGAAGTTGATGAGCCATCGGCTGTATCGGTTGCTGCCGTGGAAGAGACAGAGACTGCGGCCAGCGCCTTGCCACAAACGCTCTACCTGTCATACAAGAATTACGGCCAGTTCTTGCTTGACACGGTTCGGTATGCCTGGGAGCAAGGAGGAGACTTGGCTGACACGGCTTCTTCCACCGAATCCGCTATAAGACACTTTGCGGATGCACTGGAGCGGGATGACTCTGACCTTGAGCTGTGGAGGAAGTGTGGCAGGGTCGGAGACGCCCTGAGGAGTCACCGGATCTCAAGATTCTGCTTGGAGAGCGTTTTTGAAGGAAACGGAGACGGCATCGACGATGGATTTGAACAGCTTGGCATTGAACAAGCCGGCACAGTTGGCGATCTACGGAAATTCTTCACTGCTCTGCACGACCCTCTATCACTCGCACAGCTTCCGCAGAAACAGCCAAGGAAGGCTCTACTTAACTTTTTGCAGCGACAGATAGATCCGTTTCCCTATCTCCCTTCCGCCTTGAAGCAGCTGAATGGGAATTCTATTTCCTGCGGACTTGCTCTTCCTGCGATTAAACGCCATACCATCACTCCAGCCACCAACTCATGGGCTGCTCTGGGGGAAAAGATTCTTGAGTTACTAAACAAAGAAGATGGTTCTGATAAGGGCACTGCAGAAGTACTGGGAAGCCTGCAGATTTGTCTACCAGATTCAGATATCACGATGGCATCTCCTGCAGCAACTCTCCCAATTATTCAGGGTCGAAGGCCGTCCAAGCACAAAAGCTCTGCATCAATAGATATGGGCGAAACAGAGTCAAAATCCATGCCAAACGTGGAGGGATCTACTGCTAAAGATAGTGAAATGAAAGACACTGCCCAAGAAGGTGAAGACACGGAGCCCAAAACTGAGGAGAAAGTTGATGAAAATGCTGCTGAAGATGCTCAGGATGACACCAGCAAAGAAAAGGAAGATGAAAATACTGTCGACAAAGACCAAGAGGAGGCTGAAAAGTCAAACGAGCTAGCGGATGAGGAGGAAACGCGGCCTGGTCCTCAGACACGGAAACGCTCTTCGGCCTCAATAGTCAATGAAGAACAAACAGACGGGGTAAGGACAAAGAGCAAACGTATCCGGGCACGAGAGTCGATTGCCGATACACAGGCACAACCAGAGGAGGTTATTTTTGACCAGACAAGATATTTTGAAGACAGGCTCGAGGTCTACACCCACGCAGATGAGTGGATGTTTAGCACCGCCAGCGGCCTGCTGTCAAAGTTTGGTGTCGAAGAGCTTGGTAGTATCGACCAAATAAAGCAGATTATTGCTATCGCTGAGCCTGAACACGATGCCACGGAAACCACTTCTGAATCCTTGGCTATACGCGATTTGAGGTATATTGTTGAAAACTGGAATGATGCCTTTGGAAAGATAGCGCTGCATAGTGATATATTTGCAGATACCCAGGATGGTCTAAAGGGAGCGAAGAAATCTGGCTTTAGTGTCTTCCTTGAGCACTCGAAACAAGTTGGAGCAAAGGCAGAACAGGAGTCGGATTTCATCGATAACGAAGGCTTGGAGCAGTTTGCAGATAGCATCAATGCTAGCAATCTAATCATGCAAGAGGTTGCCTTCAAGTGGTTAGAGAAGTATCTTAAACCCGACCTGCATTCTCTCGGGCATGACTTATCCGCTGTAACGGACTCCAACTATGCAACGCAACGAATGCCGCAAAGCGTGAGGGACACCCTTACCCAGATACTGCTTCAGTTTGATGGATTTGTCTACGCTAGACTGAGGGAATTCGCTTTGAACCTAGAAAGAAGGATTCTCTCGCATGCGCACGAAAGGCCATATTCCTTCACACCAGATGATCTTACCGCTGTGGAAATGTCCCAAAGCATTTATGAGCTGCATCTGGACATATATGACTCAATTATCTGTCAAAAAGAGAAAGATCGGGAAGCTATCGTTTTACAGCAAGATAGGCTCAACAGATGGAGGGCACTTACGCGCGGTTACATTTGCTATTACCTTGACCTATGTGCCGTGGACAATCGACAGACTGCGATTGTTCTAAGGCATTTATGGGCCACCACTTTCCATGAAAATATGCTAGACGATCAGGATGGAGAATATGTCCTTACATGCCTAAGTGATATTCGACGTGCTCTAATATCGCTAGGAGACCCGGTTATAACCCTGGCAAATAATAACACAATGCCAGAGATATCTACATCTGCAATTGACCAAGAGGTATCCCGCCTTAAAGCCATGGGCTTCTTCACCGACATATTTGGCTCCGGAAAAGATGACGCCGTACATCTGATTGAAACCATTGAGCCTGTGGTAGACCCGTCCGCTGTGCGGTATATGGACGAAAATGGTGACGTATCTGAAAATGTTGAGCCATCCACAACAGTCCAGAACTTGATAGCATTCCTTGATCAGGGTGATGCGACTCTCAAATTGTTCCTTTGGCGCCGCCTTCGTGAGGCCTATGATTCCATCGACTATCCGACAAAGGTTGTCTCTTGTCATTTCCGAGCACTGGAAACCGTCATTCAGGAGCTGAATCGCCCAGCCAGGATGGATCTTCCTGCGAATGAGCGGCGATCTAGCCTGCTGAAATGGCTAAAACTAGCTGATGACATACTTACCAGTGTGATGAGGAGGGTAGTTAATCACTCGGAGGTTTCTTTCGAATGTTTCGACTGGGCCCATCTCCAAATGTCTATGTCCTCACTTGCCCGCCTATCTAGACTTCTACAGTCTTTCGCTTTTTATGAAGACGGGGTTCGTGTTGGCCAAATAACACCGGTTGATGTTCGGCCTGCGTCCACCGCAAAGACCTTGGAACAGTTCAAAGAGAAGCTTCGCAGTTTATTTGTAAAGATATGGATGGTGCAATATACACTTTTAAGAGAAGGTATTGGCCAGAACAAAGAATTATTCGATACCCCCTTGGACGACCGCATACACTTCTTACGATCTGTTCACAACGCACTTGGACTTCGCTCATATTGCAAATACCCAAAGAATCTATTCGTTAAACTCATGAGGGATGAACTCTTGATTTTAGAAACCGATGACGTTTATGAAGACGACCTTGCTCAAGTGCTGTACGACCTATACAAGTTCAAATTCTCACCTCACCTGGATGTTTCATTTGACCACGGCTGTCAATACGAGCCTCTCGATCAGGAAATAGCTCTGAAGTTGGTTGACTTTACTATTTCTCAGACGAAGCGAATGGACATCAAAGATTATTTGAAATCGGATCTAAAAACGACTGTTGATGCGCTTCAAAGGCAAATAGGATTGATGGGCAAGTCGGAGGTTTCCACCCCTCTCAACAAGAGAATCTTATCTAGATTCTTGAAAACTCCAATAAACCCGCTAGATCTTTTCCGCTGTGTACAGGGTGTCACTGGACTATCAATGATTCCTGTTTATTCCAAGAGCGCTGACCTTGCCGATAAAGGCTGGTTTACCTTCCTGGGCTCCGCAGCGCTCGCCAAATTCCGATCTCTAAAGAAAGTAGGACCCACACCGACAGACGACCTAGATCTCGCCGCTACCCTTTTCCGCCATGACTTGGAACATGGCAAGGATCGGTGGGAAACGTGGTATCAGCTTGCTCAGGTGTATGACCTACGACTTGAAGAGGAAATTGCCTGGTCTGCAGAAAAACTTAACAATGACCGAGAAGATCTTGCAACTGTGGAACGAAGAGCTATACACGCGTATTCTATGGCTGTTGCAACTGCTGTTCAAACGGGTGATTTGAAGCCTGACGAAAAGAAGCAGGTGTCTGAATTATATACGGAATTCGGACTTCGTGTCTATGCATCAACGAGGGAGCCTTTATCGATGGGTGCATTTGATGTATCTCCATTCATGAGGCACTACAGCAGTGGTGCAGATCAAAGGATGTACGAGGGAAAGCCATTTAGTTCCATGAAACCGTTTTCTGCCTGGTACTTTGCTAGCTACCTCTTCCGTAAGGCAACGAAGGAATGCCCGATGAACTGGAAGTAAGTTTTGACTCCATACACCATCTGTATGTATTATGCTTACAACTTGTCCTAGGAACCACTTCATGTTCAGCAAGTGTCTGTGGAAAATGTACTGCAGTAATGATCCTCTCAAGAAACGATACAAAACCATCGAACCTTTGGATATCCTAGACTCCTTGACGGATGCTATTGATGCCCTCCCAAAGAAGAAAGATGGTCGGGCGTCAGAACCGATCCTGGAACCTCATTTTAAACTCGTCTCAATTACCCATAAACTTGTGCGGCGCGGTGACCTCGAAGTAAGTCAGAAACATATAATTCTTTTTTAGTACCATTTATGTCATTGACTAACTAATGCAACCAACAGCCGAAGGATGCCAGCGAGAAGTTACTTACAACCACATGGGCTAAAGGGTTATCACCGGCTACGGACTTGGAGTCTTGGAAACCGTTCATTCTGGGAGTCCTAAAGCAGCTTCAAAATGCAGATAAGTCCAATTGGCACCATCGTATCGTTGCAAGGGTTTGTTTTATCTCACAATACTTATGCTATGTCACATTGCTAATCCTTTATGTAGGCTGCTCATATAATTTACGATGACTCCAAAGACAAGGAGGCTGCGATAGCAGCGAAAAATGATCTTACCCAGCACATCTTCACGAAGACTATGACTGTACAGGTCTGGCGTCCGGAAAACGAAAGAGCTGGAAGACATTTCGTCTATACTACACGATACGTCTACTTTTTTGTACAGCTTTTGGACCAACTTGATGATCGTGCAAACCTGGACATGTTAGTCCGTCGTGTGAGGCGAAAAGTCAACGATTATCTGAATTTTCCTAAGCTCTGGGAAGATACGTGTATAACATACATTAAGGTAAACAAATATCCCAAGTGCACACTGTGATCAAATAGACTGACAAGCATGTAGTTGCTTCGACGTGCAGGTAATATATCGGAGGGAAAAGAAGATGCTGTCTTCAAAGGAGTTAGCCTTGATGAGTTTACTCTCTACTCTGGCCGTTTGGATACCTGGTGTCAAAATCCGGCTAAGGAAGACATTCCAACAATCGAGTTGTTACGCGATGCCGTTGAACTGAAAAAGCTGAATGGAACAGTTATCAAGTCAGGCATGTTTGATGATCTAGTTGCCGATATATATGCCCAGCTATATGAGAAGACGCTACCACAGTTCGTTGAGCAGGTTGCTGGAGAGGAAAACCGGGAGCGAATGAAGGTAGACCACTTGCTTATGACGGGTGAATCTGCCGATGGCGCAGAAACGCCCCCAACCACTACTTCAGCGCAACCGGCAACCAGGCCTCGAGCAAAAGGGGTGACAAGGAAAGAAGTGCAGAAAAAGGCTGATGCCATTGCCGCTAAAGCCCCACGGCCTGCGCCTAAACCTGCAAAGGCCGCTGAGGATGAAGCCAAGCAAGCTCAGGCAGAGCGCCAGGCTGCCGAAGAAAACACCGGTGACGGTACTACTACTGAAGATGCTCAGGGCGATAGCAAGGGAGAGAAAGAAGGTGACAGCATAGAAGACAAGGACGGGAAAGATGAAGACGAAAAAGAGGAAGAAAATAATGAGGAGGAAGAGAAGGAAGGAGAAGATAATGAAGAGGACGAAAAGGATGGGGAGGATAATGAGGAAGAGGAGGGAAAAGAAGGTGAAGATATCGAAGAGGAGAGAGAGGAGAACCCCGAAGAAGAGGGCAAAGAGGGAGATAATGTTGATGATAAGGAAGCCTCTGTTCCTGATCACAGTGTCCACGATACCACAGAGGAAGAGAGTGGTCTCAGTGAGCTTGAGACCGAAACAGCCTCAGGGGACGCTATGAAGCCTTCCAGCTCTATATTCCAGCATCTCCTGAGAGCCCGCATGCCATCCCCAAAACCAGGGTCGGAACTATCAACTGTTACCAGCGGGGACGGCGGAGACAATGATTCGATTCCTGCCCCATCATCCGTACCAGATACCAAAATGGAAATAGACGAAGAGGTGGAGGTTGGAGATGATGGATCCGACACAGAGGAGCTGCCAGAAGATTGATGGCAGCCCATTTATCACAATTGTATCATATACTGATTGATGACTTTCTGATTTTTCCCGTTGGCGAGCAAAGCGTTCTTCATATATACTATCTTTTATATACTATCTCCTTTGTGGCATGCCTATGGCGTCATAATGCCATCTTTCTTATAGCATTGGTCTAGGTCATCCTGGGAGGTTATATCAGTATATTCGATGTCAATTATTAAAAGCTTCTGTAGCTAATATTATCCATAGAAATTTGTGCAACCGCATAGCAGTCCTTCCCCTATTTATCAATATTTCCAAGAACCCATATTAAAATCCAGTAAAACTGTGAAGGGGGTATACATGAAACAAATAGAGAATCGTAAGTCGTAAAATAACAGCCCAGGAGGTCCTAGTTTAATCATATGCGCCTTCAGGAGCTAGGTCCCATTGACGGGTAGTCAACCTTTTCGGTTTGCCGGACTGTGAAAGGGGGCTAGACTTCATATTGAGCTTCTTCATGTCCAGCTGGGAATTCTCAATATTACTTTCATTAGCGGGAATGAAGCTATAATCCATGGAATCATATCGACCGGGTATAGTGTTTTTCTTGGATCTAGTTTTCTTAGTTGGAGATCTAGAATGAAGCTCTCTTTCGAGCTGCTCTATTTTGCGCCGTAGCGCGTCATTTTCGGATTCTAATTCGTCTATTTTTTCGGCTGAATCTGGCGCAGGGTCTTCGTGTACTTTTGGGGCGTTAGCTATGATTCCGACGCAAATATAACAAGAAGTGGTATACTTACTCTTGATACCACGGGAAAGAATGTCAATTTTCATATCTAGATGGTCCTCATTTCGAGAAGTCTAGATTGGGCATTAGTATATGTTGGTGCAAAGCAAGGAAACGGAACATTACCTGTTCATCTAAAGCTGCTTGCCACCGTCGCTTCTCTTCGTCCATGCGCTCCTCCATCTCAGCCCAGCATTCCTCCCGAACATCCTGTTCGATGAGCAAACATCTCTCTTCAGCAGCTTTGAGCTTGAACTCCGCCTCGATCCTCAGGGCTTGTTCCTCAGAGAACCTAACAGCAAGTGCTTCATATTCGTCACTTATCTGTGCAATTTCCAAGGCCGCGAGTTCTAGCTGATCTGCATAAGCGGCTTGAGCCTTACTAGAGGTACCAGGGCTAGGTTTTTGCGTTGTTGAGCTAGGAGGAGCAGATAGTATTGTGCTCGTTATAGATGGAATTCTTGGAACGGTAACCTCCTTGGCGAGGGCAGAATACCGCAGCATTTGGGACGTTGCATTGAAATCACCAAGGGGGTCAGCCATTACTAGCATGACAGCCCTTTGGGAATTTCTTGGTTGTGAATTCGATGAATTATTTGGTGATGGGAATGAGTTTGAAAACAGGAGCTCTGTCAGTTTACACTGTCTGAATGGTACGAGTGCCTATATATTTCAAGATTAGGTTGGTTCCAGCGTAGATATAAAACAGTTGAACTTGGAGCTCACCTTGTTGCCATCTTGGATATCAGACCGCATCTGCAGACATTGACCAAGGTACATCAGACTCTCGTTAATTTTACCTGCTTCCGCAAGCGTTGCTCCGGCGGTTTTTGCGTTTCTCGCTCGCTCGGAGCCTTACAGTGACGGTTAGCTTATCTATTATACCTGCCTCTATAACATGACAAACGACTTACCTGCAAGATCAACAATGGTGAAGGTGTGTCCGGCCCATGATTCGTGACCATATCTCCTATCCCTGACCTTCTTCTTAACTTCAACGCAGAAGAATCCATGGCTTCTGGAGCTGACGCTGTTACTTCCTGTGCCAGTAACCCTTCTTTCAGTCAAGCCTGTTTCAAGGACCATTAGCGCTTCTTCGTATGTTGAGCAAACGACTTTCCGCAACCCGGCAACAACTTTACGATCTGTTGAGCCTTCGGTTGATTTGAAAAGTAGAGGTCGTCGGCGGTCTTTCTGGTTATTAGCAGCTCTGGTTCCATTAACTTGGCTGGCCGGGGAGAGGAGGTCGAAGATTCTATCATTATACACTTCGTACATCGACACTAGGACAACATGCTCGTCGGTTTCGGGAACGGGGATTTTGATGCTGCTCGTGTCGGGGTCTTGGGGCAGTATGCTAACTCGAGGGAGGTGTGGGCGTCGCGAGCTGCTTCCTATGAACGAATCCTTGAGATGTGGTTTAGTAACATTCTTTGCTATACTGTTGTGGTTATTTCTGTTCCAAAAGGGGCGTTGGGAGGGAAGTTTATAATTCGGCTCTTTATAGCCAAGAGACTGTGATGTAAAGGGGTATATCTGTGCTTTTTGGTGTATCTGCTCAAGTGCTGAATGCGTATTCTTCCCCCATTGTGCTGAGATGCTGAGTTGTGATGAGTGACCTACCATGGGCGTCTGAGATCTAGACATAGGTGTCTGCGCTCTTGATATTCGTCCTCGATCTCCGTCTCCGTAGATCATCTCTAGAAAATGTTCTGCAGAGTAAATCTGGGCTTCTGACGGGTCTGATGCGGTGACGGAATCGAGGAGAGGGTCCTCTGCTTCATCATCTGGGACTTGTATCGTGTTTTCAAGCGACTTAAATATGATATCAAGTGACATCTGCGTTATACCTCGCTGCGTCTTGGATCCCAGGATGGTATGGCTCTATATATTCACACCATCAATATCAAAATCACTAGCTCAGGAACCTGTTGCAGCCTACCTTCCCACTTCCTGTAACTCCCAGCGTCGCCACCAGGCTATCCCTGTTTTCCAAAATCACGGCATTGATCAATGATTGCATGCCAGACTCCTGAAAGACATCTAGCTGTGTAGCTTCCTCCTCGAACACCTTCGTGAACGCGAACTTCTCGACGGCCCGTTTTCTCGCATCGTTCGGCGGCTGGACGGTAATGTGGGTTGGAAACGGCTCGTCGCCCTCAGGAGGCTCAATGGACAAAAAGGGCTCTTGTTTGGCATCATGTCTGCCCTGGATCGGCGGGCGCAGTCGCAGATAGACCTGGAACAGCGACATCTGTCCGCTCGAAGACTTCGGCCGCTCCATCACCGCGAATATATAGATTCCACTCGACCTAGATGTCTGCTGTCCTTTTCTTTTTTTCCTCCCCTTTTCTTTTCTGAGGCGACGCAATCTCGACCGTTAAAAGTTGCTTTGGTGGTTGTGAGTTATCAAAAAGTTGGCGCTCGCGACGCAACTGTTGAGCCGCCTGGAAACACTAGCGGTTTCCGGGGCAACGGGAGGGCGATAAGCGCGGAAATAGGCGCGATGGTGCATATAAAAGCTAAGATTACGCAGCCTTACCAATAAAGAACAAGAAAGACGGTTGATTAAACTATTATAAAAGTTACAACACGGTGGAAATGAAGGGGGGAGGAACATCTGGTGCAGGGATTTTTAGGTAGTAGTGCCTCTAGAGCGTGTCACCCTTCCGCTCGTTCGACGGGTTGGTGCATCCTTGTCCGCCGTCTGTTTCGATGTCTTTGCAGCTGGCTTCTTCTCTTTCATCTCTGGCTTTTCCTCTTCTTTCGCATCCTTTTTCGACTTAGTCTCTTTCTTCGCCTTTTCCTTGGTATCCTTCCTCACAGTCTCCCTTTTCTCCTTGGTGGCTTTGGTATCATCTTTCTTCGCCTTTGCCTTTGCCTTCGTCTCCTTCTCCTTCTCCTCCTCCTCCTTCCCCTTGACCTTCTTTCCCTCCTTTTTCTTGTCGTCTTTAGCAACAGCTTTCTTCTCCTCCTTGGCTTTGGACTTTCTAGGCTTTTTCTCTTCTGCTGCCTCGTCCTTGACTTCTTCCTCTACCTCAGGTTCTGCGTCATCCTGTGGTTTGGCCTTCTCTACCTTGGCCTTTTTCGTACCTGCTTTGGCAGTTGTTTTCGCCCTTTTAGTGGCTGGCTCCTCGACGTCATCAGCTTCATCCATCTCCCTTTTTTTGGCTTTCTGCTGCTTGGGCGTCTTTTTCGTCTTGTCACCCTTCTTCTTTTTGTCCTCTTCATTATCATCTTCATCATCCTTTTGGTTCTACCCAGCAGTAAGTATATAAATCCATATTTGGAGGGACCTGGTTATGTCTACCTTCTTCTTGGATGCTCTCACTCGAAACCCGATCTTCCCGGGCCGGTTCACCTCCACGTCCTATGATACATCAATAAAATGAACGACGTATAGGGCAAATGAAAATCATACACCCTTCCAGTCCTCATCATCGACGTGGCCTTGTTCAACGGCATCGGCGACTTTCTTCTGGCTCTCGGCTGGGATCTCGTCGTAGCCATCCAGGAGCGTCATGTCACGGTCTCCATTCTCATCAACAATCTCCTGGATACTTGCAATTTGTCTCGGAGTGACACAGCCCCTAGTATCACAGATTAGATATATATTCCACGCGAACACAGTAGAAAATACAGCTTACCAATGCTTCCACGCCCAACTTTGGAACTGCTCGGTGTCAACGAAGGTACCCAGTCTCAGCTCTCCCTTGAGAATCTTCTCTTTTTTCTCCTGGCATTCTTTATTCTTGCAGCCTGCCCTGCCAGTACTGGCCAGCTCTAGTGGTGACTCGATGTTAGTATGGCAATTTGGGGTCGCGTCACGGCGCGTCGCATATAGCTTGAAACCAAACAGTTCAAGTATCGAGATAGAAATGATAAATGTCCACTCACCAATACGATAGGTCGGCATACTGATCTACAAACCCAAAGACACAATACAAGTGCAAGCCGTGGTGATGTAGACGGTAAGATGTTGCAAGGGAGTGCGAAGTTGGTTTCTTTCTTGTTTTGCGACCAACATTTAGGGCTCGATGGATGTATAGCTGCAACCCTTGTGAATATTACACCCGCTCGCCTATTCAATATCGAAGATTTGAATGTATGAACAAGTCATTTCTTGTGGTTTAGATGTATGGGATTGTGCAATACAGCATTTAACTAGCTACTCGTCGAATACGCCTATGGTATGGTGCTTTTGACACCATGGTTGACTCGTATATAGCCACAACCACGAATTTCTCTTGCTCATGGAAAAATCAAGGATACCTAGGTAACTAGCTAACTAGTGATGTTTCACATAATTTACTACCAAATCTATATTTATCTGATTTGTCTCATCCTTTATCAAGAATTAATATATTGAGCCGTGCGAGTACGAATATTTTGTTAAAAATATCACGTGATATGAAATTCGGCCTTTGACGAAGACGAAGGAAAAGAAGAGAAAAAGGATCAAGTCAAAAGTAACAACCTCAACTTCTTCCTTAACCTAGGACGAGACAAGTGGTTTACTTGGAATACACGGAGTAATATCGCAAATCAATTTTTCAGGCGATTACGCGTTACTTTGGGACATACATACAGCCAAAAAGAGGGAGATACCAAACTATCAAACAGCTGCTAGACATAGCCACGATGTCAGAACCGATCCCAGAATCCATTCCCACAAGTCAAGATCCCCGAAGCAAACGCCCCACGAAACGACGAGCTCTTACCCCCCTTTCAGAGCAAGCCCATGAAATAAAAACGCTCTTCAAAGACCCCTCAAAGGAACTCAGGCTACCAGAACCATCAAAACCAAAGACCCTCGCTCCACCACCGGAAATAATAGCGAATGTCCAGGGATCCTCTGCCGGAGCGGGATCGGGAGAGTTCCATGTCTACAAGGCTAGTAGAAGGCGGGAGTATGAGAGGATAAAGCTTATGGATGAAGAGTTGAAGAAGGAGAAGGACGAGATTGAGTTCAATAACGCTAGGGAAGAAGCTAGGCGAAAGGACGAGGAGAAGACGGAGAAGAATAGGAGGAAGAGAGAGAAGAGGAAGAAAGGGAAAGGGAAGAAGGGGAAGAGTGGTGGTGGTGACGAGGACGGAGGAAATGGTGCTGTGGATGGGGCTGTCAAGGACGGCACGGCTGATGGAGACGCTGCTGCGCCAGGGGTTAACGGAGATGGACACGAAAACGGCGAAGTTTCTGGCGTCATTATACATGACGAGGAATGATACGCCGGTCTAGATGGGTGGCGTTGTACTATAAAGAGATGATATGATACCCAGGCGAAATTTACTGTGATTTTGACACGGCAATGCACATGCATGCGGCCAATTGATTTCTCTATCCCTTTTAATATTTTTCTTGCATTATGTATTGACAGCAGTTTTATGCGCCAGATCGGCATTTCCCAATTATGAAAGAATCCCGACCGTTTACTCTTCACCGCCTCCCATGTTGGCTGCTGCGTTAAGGGATTTAGCACTGCAGATGTCATCAACACGCAGCAGCAGGCAAGCAGACTAACGGAAAAGAAGGACATGTTAGTAATCGATGCAAGCACTGGGGACAGTGAATTAATTACCTCAATAGCGGTCTTAACGCTCTGCAGTTTGACGGCCTCAGGCTCCCATACACCGTACTCCTTCATGTCGACGAGCTTTCCGGTGTCACCGTCGATGCCCCAGGTGGAGCGGCCTTCGACATGCTTGGCTCTCAAAGCAGTGAGGACCTGGATCGGGTTGGCACCAGAGTTCTGGACCAAGGTTCGCGGTATGACCTCCATTGCATCAGCCACGGCCTTGTAAGGCCATTGCTGGACGCCTTCAACCGACTTGGCTAGGTTAGCAAGTTTGACGGAGACGGCCATCTCGGTGGCACCTCCACCGGGGGATAAACGAGGATGGTAAATAACATTTCTGGCCACGGACATGGCGTCTTGCAGGTTTCGCTCGACTTCGTTAAGGATGTCCTTGGATGGGCCTCTGAGGATAATGCTGCACGCCTTGGGGTTCTTGCACTTTCTCAGGAACGAGAAGTACTCGTCGCCGATCTTTTCGATCTCGAAGAGACCACACTGGGTTCCAATGTCAGACTCCTGGAGATCGTCAACACGGTTGACGATGGTAGCTCCGGTAGCACGGGCAATGCGGTTGTTGTCCATCTTTCGCACACGTCGAAGAGCAGTGACATTTTGCTTAACTAGGAAATGTTGCGCCAGATCTAGGAGAAGTTAGTTATGTCAACCTTAGGGTCAAACCTATTATTGAGGAAGAATATCTTACCGGAGACACCCTTCTCGGTGATGACCAAGTCAGGCTTAAGAGCAAGGATGGCATCGCACATGCGCTTGACCTGCTCTTCTTCGATCTGTAGAATCTTATTCCAATCATCCTCCTTGCTAACTTCAATGTTGGTCTGCGATTCTCCCTTCTTATACTCCAGAGGACAGTCAAGAAGGATGATTCTTGGGTTTTCTATCCTTCTTCGCATCTTGGGGTGGGTGATATCCTTATTGATAATGACACCGTCTATAACCTCACTGTCCTCGATCTGGCCGCCGGGAATCTTCTCAACACGCGCATATCGTTTAATATCAACTTCCTTCCTGCCACTGCCGTTATCAAGAGATACGGTTCGCACAGCCTTCAGGGCTAAGCCGCACATAAGTTCTGACCAGCGGGAGACGAATTTAGTACCAATCGAGGACTGTATCAGACTGTACATGGCCTTGTCATCATCCACTTCAACTGGCAGGGATATTTCCTCAATTATGGCAAGGGCGTCAGAAAGGGCTCGCTTGAAGGCAGAGATTATAAGAACAGGGTGGATGTTGCGTTCGAGCTGGGGAAGCGCATGCGCTAGAATTTCTCCGGCTACAAGGAACAAGACCGTTAGCGCAGCTCTAAGGCCGTGACAAACGTCGTGGAGAGGAATTACCTAGCACGATAACAGTCGTAGTTCCATCGCCGACTTCTTCATCTTGTGTCCGGCTCAGCTCAATCATACTCTTTGCGGCGGGGTGGGCGACCTCGATCTCTCGAAGAATTGCATGACCATCGTTGGTCAAGACAATTCCACCCATGGGGTCAAGAAGCATCTTAAGCATAGCTTTTGGTCCCAAACATGATCGGATAATATCGGCAACACTACATGTTTCCCCCTTTTTGTTTAGTCCACCGTATATTCGTATATAGAGGGGTTCGCAGCAGGCTTCCTCACGTTTTGGCAGCTGTGATATTTGACATCTGTGCCTTCCGGCCAATCTGTCTCCCTTCATTCTGGGTATCTAGAGTTTGATATTAGCAAACGGTACAAGAGAAGGCTGGCTGCTGAGGCCTGGGGGTAATTGGACGTACTCATAACAACCACGGGGGCCTGCATCTTGGGCAACAGTGAGCTTCGATTAAAAGGAGAATAGGGAAAAATAAAGAGAGAGGAACAGCTCTCAGAAGAGGTAAGTAAACAACTAAGCGGTCACGGCCACAAGACAGCTCCCACGGCGCAGTTCTCTAGAAGTGCTGGAGCTTTTGTCTTCGTCGTCTTCGTCTCTTCCTTTGATATCAACTTTCGACTCTCGCTTTTTGCATAGAAAAGCTTCATGTGGGAGGGATCCCGCACTAGCCCTAAAGTAGACTAGCGCCTTTTACTCCAGCTTCAACATCAAAACATGAAAAACGTTGATGATATTATGAGAGTATGAATAACTAGGGACATGAATGTATATATATTACAACAGAGTATGCTAATTTTTTTATAATGAAAAGGCCGATATAGACATCCTCATCATGCGTTCAAGTTCAGCCTTTAGATTGAAGACAGGTTAGAATGATGCCCGGACTTCAGTGGGCGTGAAAGAGCTAACTTACTGCTGACCTCTCTCGAGGTCATTTTTGACCCCCCTGGAAAGGGGTCAACCAGGTCCGGCGATACATCCACGCGGGCCCAGTGTGTTGCGGATAGAGTTCTACTTGACATTAATCCAATCCCGGCTCGTCCTTTGAGTGGGGGACGAAGGACGAGCCGGCACATCATCACCTCCGAGGTTGTCTCCGGAGGGGAGCCTTTTTGGCAACGCCTGTTATTCATGATATATGAATCCGTTGCTCCTTTCTTAAACAGCCCTATGACCTTTCTATTATCTTACCATGTCAGCTATGCAGCAATATCACGACAAAAACGCGGATATACGTACTCCCTTACCGGGATGGCCCCCATGTTTTCGGCACGCCATGTGCGCGTTTCTTCTGAAATATATCTGATCTTATCAGTCTACTGGAAGCTCCTGCAGGTCAGGAGGCACCGGCAGGCACACCGTTGCGGGTGCCACCAGCCACCTCTCATGATACGAGAGGTGCTACCCTTATTTTACCCCCATAGCTGGGGGTGTATCGACACTTTGGATACCCAATATAATGGAATATGGAATAATGAGTTCCTCGATAATACTTAGGCAAAGAAAACCTAGTAAAAGGTGATATCTAATCACCACCCTCCCCTCAGCCCGGTTAGTGTCCCACCGCAGCCAGGGTCCAATCCGATTTTCCGAGAACCTCAAGGGGCCAAGGGGAGGGTAAACTCCGCAAATTCACCCCCAATAGGGAGTATACGCGTCTTTGAATATATTTATACCGAATACCGATATCGATACCCTTATAATCAAAGTGACTTTCTTCACTTAGGAACAAGCGAGTTAGAAACGTCAACCACGGCGTCGAAGTACGCGTTTCTTACCGCTCGTGTATTTGACAATGGCTGAAAACACAGCCAATGATCCCGTCAAGCAGGACATATATGTATAACTTATAGATATATGCCCAGTGACTAGGAGTAGAGAGAGTATATATAAAGGAATGTGGTTTCATTTGTGTGAAGAGTTGTTTGTTATAAACAGAAAGAAAGGAGAGAGAAGAAGAAGAAGAAGAAGAAGAAGAAGAAGAAGAAGAAGGAAAGGAAGGGCTCTTTATAAGGACATCCCACCTGACGATGGGCGTCAAAACAAACAAGCAGGCTATTCCCAACATGGACGCTCGGCGGCGATGACAGGTTGTGAATGCTCAAAAGGGAAGGACGCTTATATAAAGAAGGGTCTCTCTCTGCATAGCTAAGTACCCGGACCGCCTGAGCGACGATTTAAGTGGGTGAAGGATCTCAACGTTGCGTCTTCTCTTTCCTTTTCCTCCTTTTTTCTTTTCAGCCACTCGGACCGGTTTTCGCAAAGGGGCTTTCGGTCCGCATCAGGCCCGTGGTATCCCACACCCTGGCCAACTCTAGTGAAATTGAATTTATGTGGTTTCATCCGCCGTGCAACCATAGCATCTATAAACTTCTCTCTTATTGCGTCGGTCTCCTCATTGGTGGTTCCCCATATGCCCCAGCCGATAGCAAGGCCAAACTCTGCCCCAAATCATGGAAAATCTCCACCGCATTAGTGGGATCGCAGTTCCTCCCGCTCTGGAGAGCGCGCGGCTTATATCCGCCGATTGGGATGCATGCAAGATCTATATGAGTGGTCATGCTCTTGATAGCATCGAATATAATCTTGGGGCAGCGGTTACTGGTGTACGGGCGCTTTGCGATTCTCGTGAGAACACCATCTGCGGGAGGCACGGGATCATCTGGCATGCGGTATCCAGTTGCTCTAGTTGGGTTGTCAGGTATTAGTATACTTCTAGCTCGGCAAGTTGCATATCGTGCCTCGCCTTAAGATCCATGTGGAAGTCGAGGAAATCTTTGACCCTCTTGTAAGCACAAGAAGGTCCAATTTTGAGGTTAGCATAAGATGGCATCTTTATTACGTGGAATATTCCTCGAATTTGGTAGGTATCCGAGATGATTTACGTATGGCATGAGATTTTCATGAATTAGAATCACTTCACGCCCCCAGGAAAAGACGCCTCTTTATATACTATAGACCTACGGAGGCAGCAGGAAGCTACCGCATCTAATTTCACAAACCGTCAAGCGTTTTTATCCCGACGACAGTCAATGACATCAATTCAGTCAAAGGAAACATTCAATACATTCAATATTACGTCATCAACATAAGCTCCCGACCTCGGGAGGTCCCAAGGTCAATTTAAGCCGCACGGCTTTATTTTATTCCGCGCTCCTAAAAGTCAATTATATAAGCAGAGTTAAAACAGCGACAGATAATAAAAAAAGTCGCGAGCGTGCAAGTTGAAGTGAAATTTGAATTAACAGACAACTTTTCGCGACATGAGATAAACTAGATCTGTACAGGTACACATATGTTGGGAAAAGATGCTGCGGCAATTGCCTCCCGGTCAATGGAACCAAATGGGGTGGCTGCTGACCCAGCAAGTTCTGTGGCAGCGGCCAAACTGAACTTGACAGCTGGAAATGTTATCCAGGCAGATAAGGGGTTATTTGCACAGCTTTCAGATAACCCGTTTTTCACTGCTGTAAGTGGTGTAGAGGTCGAAACTGGATGGCATATATGCTGACCTTTTTTATGTTCAATTGATAGGGATTTGGATTGGCAGGCTTAGGAGCAGGACTCACCCTTGCACAGCGAGGAATTCGACATGGAGCTATACTGTTGAGGAGGCGTATGCTCGTGGACGTGGAGATTAGCATAAAGGACGACTCTTACCCATGGTTTTTGAATTGGATGACGCTTTACCAACGCTCGCAACTTACGAACCAAGCGGCTCGAGGACAGACGCAGACATCGTTTATGAACTCGTTGCTGAACAAGCTTACGCCTGGCATGCGTCACCTGTCCATACAAACCGAGAAGATCGAACACGCCAACGGGGCGATGCACACGCACTTTGCGCTCATACCGGGCCCGGGGAAACATATTCTCAGGTACAAGAACGCATTCATCTTCGTGAATCGCGTCCGGGAAGCCAAGTCACGGGACCTGCAAACCGGGCGTCCATGGGAAACGGTGACACTTACCACTCTATACTCGCAACGGCACATCTTCGAAGACTTGTTCAAGGAAGCACATGAGTACGCGGTGAAGACGCATGAAGGAAAGACTGTCATCTACAATTCTTGGGGAGCAGAGTGGCGCCAGTTTGGTCAGCCTCGGCGCAAGAGACCATTGAGCTCGGTTATCTTGGATGCAGGAGTAAAAGAGCGAATCGTGGCCGATGTAAAGGACTTTTTCTCAAGTGGAGCATGGTACCATGATCGTGGTATTCCTTACAGACGAGGCTACCTCCTTCATGGCCCCCCGGGTACCGGCAAAAGCTCCTTTATCCAAGCGCTGGCTGGGGAGCTAGACTACGACATCGCGGTCCTCAACCTTAGCGAGCGAGGCCTGACGGATGATCGATTGAATCACCTGCTCACCATCATCCCGGCACGGACCCTAGTCCTGCTCGAAGATGTGGATGCTGCGTTTAGTTCACGGCGCGTACAGTCCGACGAGGATGGATACCGGGGTGCGAACGTCACCTTCTCTGGTTTGCTCAATGCGCTCGATGGAGTTGCCAGTGCGGAGGAGCGGATTATCTTCCTCACCACCAACCATGTCGACAGGCTCGATGAAGCTCTAGTGCGGCCCGGCCGAGTGGACATGACCGTTCGTCTTGGCGAAGCCACCAGATACCAAGTGTCTCAGCTCTGGGATAGATTCTACGGCGAGCTCGACGACTCTAGCGTGTACAAGAAAGTGTTCATTGACCGGCTCACAGAGCTTAGTATCATCGAGGACGAAGACGGCCAAAAACGAGACCGGGCTATGGGAACTAGCGCCGCCGCTCTGCAGGGCCTGTTCCTATATAACAAGGGAAACATGAACGGCGCGATCTCCATGATAGAAGGCCTGGTCGACCGTGACGCTGCATAGAAGCTCTCTCCCTTCACGTGTACCATATTAGAAACTAGAATATACATGTACTCAGTACGACAACAACCACCCCCCTTGGGTGACACATCTCCGCACCGCATGAACAAATCCAAGACCCTAGGGTCCCACGGCGGTTACGCACCCAGCCTCTCACCCCCGGTCACACCAACCATGCCCTGAAGAAACAAAATCGCATCCCAGGCAGCTGATGATGATGCCTGTCGTCCTCTTTTTACGTCCCTGCAACCGCCATGCCCAGGGGACGCCCCTTTATCACGTGACAAGCCTAATTTTGATGCCCGTTTTTATGTGGGTCTTTCCCTTTGGGCTCATCAAAGCCTCAATATAAAAAAAGAAAAACATCCGACCGCATGTTGCTCTCGACAACGACGACAGCAGTTCCCCGAGGCGAGCTGCTATAATTACGGCTCCAATGAGCAGACGCGAAGAGCTCTGTTTGCTTGGGATAAGGGCTTCACTAGTTCTTCTAGTGCTCTCTAAGTACCGCACTGGTCGCGCCGATCCCCTGTCCTCTCCAAGCGCCCGGTTCGTGACGGGGATGCAGGGGGTCCCCGCCAATCGATGGACTGGTCACATCTTCTGCACCACAGCCTGCCAATAGGTACGGCGGCTACCCATCCCGTCTCTGTGCAGAGCAAATCGGAACAAGCCAAATCTGACAACCCAGCACAGATCTGGAAAGGTTTCATGCACGGTGATTGCTTCAGCCGATCCAGCGAGTTCTCCCTCCGATGGTCTCTCTCGCTAGCACAGCGAAGAATGCAAAAGGATTCTTCCAGGCAGACACTTTGATGTGTGGCGTGGGGACAGAAAACAAGGGAGTGGTGGGAATTTTTCATGGTGTAGGTGCTAAAATGGCCCAGCGGTAAACGGTCGCACTGCCTTCGTTGATCGTTCTGGTTGGCCATATCCGTCATCCGGAATGGCTGTGGTCATTTTTGTGTCCTGTACGATAGATAATATGTGATCCGCCGTTTTCACAATGCGGGGGCTCATTTTTTTTTTTCTTCCCTCTTCTTCCCGTCATAGCTGAAAGGGAATGAGAAACTGCTTTGTTTCTCCCGGTCTCTGCTTTTTCCCTGTTTCTTTTGCTCACCGAAAATCCTGCTGAATGTACACCGTGCATCGCATATCCGGGCAGTATTCCTGTTATCTGACGTCCGTTGGCCTGACCGTCTTTTATTATTATTACGCATCAGATGCCTAATTCCCCCGAGGGACAATTCCAATTGTCTCCCGCCATGCAGTCCTCGCACAAAACCGGGCAGAGCAGCAGCAGCAGAAGCAGCAGCAACGGCAGCATTAATGCTCCTCTGCGTGCACACCGCCCTCGAAGGACCAAATCTCCTCGAATGTCTCCTGTTCTGGAAGACACAAAGGTTGGCGGTCAAACTGAAGCTGTGATCTTGCGGATAATCGAAGACACAAATACTATTATACCATCTCAACAGACGCAGACAGAATCAAACTTTACACATAACAACACATCCAGAGAAGATAAGATTTTTGTCTTTCCGCAGCCTCACAGAAAGGTTTCTCCATCGCCCTCAGCCATGTCGAGGTCTACCATGCCGAAGTCGTCAGACAGCCAGTCACCACCTCCAGTTCCGCGGCTGAATGGGAATTCCCAACATAAGTTTGCTGTCTTTCCCCCTCCTCGGTCGTCTACCCCCAATAGATCCAAGTCAACGACATCCTCGTCACGTAAAAGGGCGAAGACCGTCAGTTCTACCAACTCCCAGGGTGATTCTACCCCGGGAACATGGTCATCACCTTCGACTTCGGAGGGTGAACCCCGTGAAACCAGCAATTCACCAGGGCAGGATAATTCATCACCTCTTCCTCCACCACCTCCGCCGCCTCCAATGAGATCTATATTCCCTCGATATGATCCTAACCTACCGCTGGTTCAACAGAAATATTACCCAAATGCAGGATCTCCTAGAAGCAGTTCGGAGCAGACGCCCTCGCGGGTAGATTATGGATCACTATCCCCTCCAGCAACCTCTGCCTGTCCCAGTTTATTTACGTCCACTGACGGTGATATGACTGCTGCGTTGGAATCCCTTGAAAAGCTATGGAATGTTACTTGTGGTGAGAATCCTGGACCTGATACCAACGCCTTTCACTTGAATATCCGAAGGTAAAGCCCCCCAGATCTCTTGTGTAAGTTTCCTGATTCCCAACTAATCACCGCGCGCAGAATTGACTCGTTCACGTATAATATCGGTGCTGGATCTGTGGTTTTTTACACGTTGAAGACCGACACAATCAGTGATTTTGAACTTCACAAAACTCACCCAACCAAGCCGAATACCAAGTCACCAATCGTAACCCTCAATCTTGACCAAATCCAAAACTGCACCAACACTACTATTCCCATATTCCCAAAACTTGCAGAGATCTTAGCAAGGGAACAGTCGTTAGAATTGGCAAGACAGAATAACCTATCTCCTGCGCAAGCCATGGAAGCTGAAAATGCTGCAGTGAGTCAGGTGAAAGCAAAGGAAACATGCCTCTTTGAGTGGCAGGATGCTCAAACACGTTATAAACTACATTACCACGCAATGATGAGTGCCTCTCCAGGTACACCAGGAAGTCGCCCCCAATCGGCCCGGTCAAGCGTGCCTACATGCCTACTTAATGCATCCGTGACGAACTCGCTACCTCCATTCGGCGGCCCATCGTATAACCCTACCATTGTCGTGTCAGCTCCTGACAGCGGGTCGTCCTCGGGAGGAACCGATACACCATTGGCAGCCGTGGATTTAGAACATATGACTCTTACTGTCTATTCAAAGGACATTCTTTCCACGGTCCCATCGCTGCACAGCATTGATACCCTAGTTGCAGCAATTCTCACAGTAACCGTCTCCAACGAAACCACCAAGCAGGTTCTCGAAAGCATCGACATCTATGCCCCCAAACCAGAGGAGTTTCCAGACCCGTACCGACCTCCAACGCCAAACCCAGCTTCTGTCCTAGCAAACCATACCCCTACCAACAGCAATGGCAGTGCTATTGAGGCATCTCATGCTATTTCTACACCTACCCCGGCTATCAACCACAGGCCTGCAGTTCCCGAGGAAGAACGCCGATACTTCACAGCAACCGGCAAGCAGATATTCACCACCCAAGCCGAACGGGAAGAATACGAGCAAGAAGCCGAGTTGATGGCCCAGGTCAGACGCAAGGGAAAGAAACCGAAAAGAACCCAATCGGTATCATCCTGGAACTGGCCATGGAAAAGACAGCCCGAAGTCAAGGAGATAGACCTTGAAGCAGGTCTTGGCAGGTCTGCCAACGCAGTCAAGCTGCAGCAGCAGCGACACCAACAGGAGGGAGTACAACAACAGCAGCAGCAAAAGAAAAGGAAGTCTGCACTGACTGTTGAGGGGATTGACGTTGAGCAGTACGGCCGGTATGCAGATGGTACACCGCGTGCAGGAGAGAAGCTGCCTGGCCCAACCCGCGCTGCGTTACGGGCTCTATTCTGGTTTTTCTCACTTATAATGTGGTGTCTTACTGCATGTGTGAAGGGCGTAGCCTGGTCTCTTGTCAGCCTTACACATTGCGTCAGTGGTAGAAAAAATTAAACGGTTTAAACGGAGGTTAAGTGAACGGACAGGGTACGGGGGTAGGGGTACGGTAAAATCGGTGTTTCTGGGTTGGCGGCTGGTTATATAGACTCTGTTCTTTTTTTCGACGAGTATACTTTTAATAGATAGAATAACGGGTTATGGCTATTTGAATGATATGATTTATCCAATGATCTACTTTTACATTTTCTGGTTGGTACGGGAAGATAATGTGTTTCATCTGATGCCACATACTCTACCTCAGTAGAGTGATGCAGTCAATCTGGGTTGTATTTTCTGTAGTTCTATTTACATACTTGTACCTAGGTAGTCTGGTATATAGGTAAGCGTACGTAGGCAGGTGGTCTCTATGAATGCATGCAGTAGGTATGTATAAAGGGGCTTTTTTGGCAGGCTGGCAGGCAACGCGGTAGGAAGTAGGACGGACATAAAAGAGATAGCACGGCTAAGGCGAAGGCGTAGGCTGATGGATGCGGGACAGTAAACGAGAAGAATAACGCCGATACCATGATGATCATCAATCAAGAAAAGGGATATGTTATGTATGCATATGCAAGAAGTAAAAGGAGGGTATGTGTGTATGTGTGTATGTATGTATGTTGGTAGGTATCCAAAGTATGGATTTGAAGGTAAGCAAAGAGGCAGACAGCAGAAGCAGACGTAAAGTAGACGCGAACAGGACAGGCGGACGAGGAAAAGGGAAAGAAATCGGAACAGGGAAACGATTGTTGTGAACGATCGGGGTAGGTTCGCTCTTTTGTTAATGGGTTACTTTTTTATTGTTTGAAGCTCTTGAAGCTCCTCCATGCGCTTGGGGAATGGTTGGTAGCACCGGTACTCGGCCTTGCGCTGGGATCGGTTTTGAACTTCCTTGGTCCAGCCAATTGAGATAACCGATCCTTGCCTTCTCGGATAGCGGCTCGGCGAGCCTGGCGCAGGGACTCGACGCGGGCCTGGGACAGCTTGAAGCGGCGGGCGAAACAGTCCATCATTAACTCGTTGGGGTCGATCATGCGCTTGGGAGCTGTCTGGACGACCTGGAAGATCTCCATGGGATCGCCGAGAGAGACGATTTGCTTCTGGCTCATGCGGAAGATGGACAGGGCAACGCGGAAGAAGGTGCGGGAGCCTTCGTAGAACAACACGTCCCAGACGCGTAGGGTTGTTTCGAAGGGCAAGGTGCTGATGAACATGGACATGAGCCAGTTTGTGAGTCCCAGGGTGATGTCTGGCAGGCGGGTGGCGGTGGTCAGGGTGGGCGGCTTTGCTCTGGCGGATGTAGGGGTGGTGCTGACGACCTTTGTGTAGACTGAGGGAAGGGATTCCTTGAGAGCCACCATGAGGATCCAGAGGTCTGCGTTGGCGCCTTCGAGGCTGATTTCGTGGGTGCCTGGGAAAAAGGAGGAGGTGATGATGTGGAGGAGCCAGAAGGCCTTTTCTTCGGGAAGGAAGAGGATGAGGAACCCGGCGATGAAGTTGAGTGACTGGGTGTATCCGATATTAGAATTATGTAGGGAAAATGCATATAGTACACGGCGGAGGGACTGGATGATAGGGGTGTCTGGCGAGGCCGAGCGGTGCTTGAGATTGCTGCTGCCGCTGGAGGCGTCGTCGTCGGACGAGTCGGGCTTGTAGTGGACGTTGTCTGGGAACGTTCGATGGAGATCCCGCTCAATGTGTTCCTTGTCGTCGTTCATCGGGCTGCGCAGGGCCGTCTCGACCAGGCGCTTGTACAGGCCCGGGTTGCGCCCGTATGTAGTCGTATCCGCCGGCGTACCAAAACCACGCCGCTCCACGGCACTCTGGCGGGATGCCCTTGCGGATGTACTTCTTCAGCTTTGCGGACCGGATGGGGAACGTCGTGGGCACGGCCTCGTCGATGCCGCTGGCCCTGAGCAGCGCATACCACTTCTCGCTGCGGATCTTCTGATATTCGGCATATGAAGCGTGCCAGGAGTCGTACTGCTCGACGGTCACGTGGGTGGTTGCTTTCCGGAAGCCGTACTGGTCTCTCGTCTTGGTCGGCTTGAGCAGCGGCGGCGGTTCAGAGTTGATAGAGGCGTCGATGATGGCGGGAAGGGCAGATAGGTGTGCTGGCGGCTGCATGGAGGCTGACGGCGGCCGTGGAGGCGGCGAGGGCGAGGGCGAAGGCAGGGCAGTCTGCGGCCGGGGAGACGAAGGAGAATTATCACTGTCGCCGGCGAGAGCACGCTCAGGTTCAGGTTCAGGTTCAGGTTCAAGCCCGGGCTGTTCGGGAGCAAAGTTGAAGTTGAAGTCGGCAGAGTTGAAGTTGGCTGGAGTCACTGACTCTGACTCCGGTTCTTGCTCTGGTTCTGGTTCATGTTCATGGTCTGGTTCTGACCCGGGGGAGTCTGGCGGCGTGCTGGGTGGTATATCACTGATATCGGGACTGCCGTGTAGCCGGTCCCTAACGGCCGACTTCCTCTTCGCAGGCGAGACGACGGCAGCCGAGGAGTCGTCGGTAAACCCGTCCAGGTACATGTCTATAGCATCGTCCACGCTCATCTCGCCATAGCCGTGTGTACCCTGGTCTCCTGCTCCTGCTCCTCCTCGTTCGCTGCCGCTGCCGCTGCCAACGTGGTGTCCCTGGTCCGCCCGGCCGCGGTCTTGGTCTTGGTACTGGTCCTGGTACTGGTCTTCTTCTTCCGCCTCGGCTTCGTCCTCCTCTGAGATCTTGGGGGACAGCTCGGTGGTCGAGCTGGTCTTTGTGACGACGCTGCTCCTCTCGGTCCCGCTTGTCTGCTCTATGCTAGAGGTGACGGTCATGGAAGACTGCAGGCTGGTCCGCGAGGGCGGAGGGATATCAAAGTGCAGCTCGGGCGTGTAGTAGCGATGGGTGGACCGACTTGGCGAGAGTGCCATGGGAGACGATCTAGGGGAGGGCCTGTCCGCCTGAAACGGCGAGTAGCTCTTCTGACGGACATTGGGCATGGATGGAGACGGCTTCAGTCGCGGCTGGGGCGAGTATGGCCGCTGGTAGTAGCGGTGCTGCTGCTGCTGCTGCTGCTGCTGCTGCTGGAATGGCTGGTGTTGGTGGTGTTGTAGGTGGTGTTGTAGGTTGTGTCCTGAAGCCAAACCTGAAGCTGGAGCTGTAGCAGCAGGCGAGCCGCTGCGAGGTGACGCCGGCCAGACCTGGTCTGCCGCCCCGTCTACAGGAGACTCTGTGACAGAGGCTGCATAGGATGGCACAGTAGCAGTAGCAGCAGCAGCATTGGGGCCGGCATGCGGGTGTCGAGGGTGTAGATGGCGCTGGCGGACAGACGGAGAGGGCGACGCTGCCTGCCGCAGCGAAGCCGCAGAGACCGCAGAGACTGCTGGAGAGGCCGCCCTGGACGAGGACGAGGAGGGCGCCTGCTGGCTAGCCGTACGGATATCTGCAGCAGACGGCCTCCTGGAGTCTGCACTGGGGCCGCCGCGCTGTGTGATCATGGCCACACCAGAGATAGCGGCTCAGCTGGTACATTGGTCTGGTGCGCTCGCCAGGGGGGAGGGAGGACGGCGAGACGGGACGAGGCGAGGCGAGACGAAGCGAGAGACGGGCTGTCAGTTGAGGTCAACAGCGAGGGCACGAAGAACGAGTGTCGAGGCCGCCATCCATGGCCGGCCAAAGGGGGTGGAAGTCGAAGCTGGTGATGGTTGCTGATGGTGAAGTTGCAGATGGGGTTTTTTCTCTCGTCGGGAACGGAAGCCAGCCCACACAGCAGAGACGAGAAACCGCAGCAGCAGAAACAGAGAAACAGAAGAAACAGAGAGGGAAACGCCCCGAGACACCGACTCGCTCAGTGGCAGCGGCTAGGTCGAGGAGACGGACTGGACAGCGAGAGGGCGAGAGAAGCGAAGGTCGAGCTGGCGATGTGTGCGCTTTGTGGCGACGGGGAGCGCCTTGGTCGAGGCGGCTCAGCGAGAGACCAGAAGCGCCTCGTATCCGACACTGGGAGCATCGGCATCGCGGCTGGCGGACACGAGAGACGCAGATATATATACAGAAGAGCAAGAGAGAGGACGAAGCTGGTCTACGGCGATGCTGGTGGCTGCAGGCAGCGCGCGCGAGAGAGAGAGAGCAGGCGGTTTCTTTGATATAAGCCAACATCCTCCCTCGTCCGTCTGCGATGCCGCATAAACAACCATGATGAGACGCTTATAATTATGCAGGAGGCTCGTCTTTACGCTGATGCTTGCCTGCTGCTTATCTGCTGCTGGCCTGCTGGTGCCCATGGGTGGCTTTGACCGGCCGGTCTTCAGACGAGGGATGCCCGTCGCCAACATATAAAGCACCCTCCTCCCTTAGATATACAGACGGAATCGTGCATAAAAAGAATAAAGGACGAGCACAGGAGGGCTACACGAGGATGTTACAGGCGGCCAGGAGGTTACGCCCTGTCGTACATGGCTGCCGGTGCCTCAGCCATGCTGGGGACGCACGAGTAGGACTCGCATCTCGACCTCACCACGCCAGCAAGACATGAATCACGGCAGCAAGCACGACAAAACCAGGGAGAGACAAGAGGCACACGACGGCAATGCTGTGCTTACTCGGGCTGCAGGGTTGGTGTTGGGCCCGGTTGGGATGGCTGTCCACAGATCATGCAGGCTCGCGTATGCTGCATCGCTATACGGAGGCCTCGCAGACAGGATTTGATACAGGCAGAGGGCAAAGAGCACAGGAAAGAAGCAGCTTAAAATAAGTTGCAAGCCATGAAATCGCCGAAAGAGAGGAGAAAACAAGCCTGGCGGACCGCCTCCTGCTCGGCTCCTCCTATCAACTGGCCAGGGCAGACCCCCTAGGTTTCAACCCTTGGTCCGCCAGAAGCCAATGTCAACGCTTCTTTTCGCTTGCCACGATCTGTCATCTTCGAGAGTCTCACTCTGGCTGTCTCTGTCTGTCTGATGTCTCTCGGTATGAGACCTTACCTAAGGACGGCTCGACGGTGATCCAAGAGTCCAGCGGAGGGAAGGATTTTCACCTACCCCAGCTCTGCCTATACATACGTTACGTATGCACGCATCTATGAGCTGCCGTTCGTAATCTGATGCCGCGGGAACTGGGCTCTGGGCTTGCTTCTTGACCAGCGGTTTCACGATCCACGTATGTACCAGATACGGAGGTACCTGCGGAAGGCAAAAAGAAGCAGCAGAAGCTGCGGAAGCAGACGAAGGGCCCTCCCTTCGTCTTCTTCCGCTTTCCTTGGACGGTTTCCTCGACGGGATCCGCTTAGGATGCTCCACTGGCTCAGCATCAAGCGCACCCAGGGCTGTTTCACCCGTCGTGCTTCAAGAAAAGAGCGTCTCTGCTCTGGTCAATCTGATGTATCCGGTACATGGCCTCGCCCAGAGTCACCCTCGTTCTCCAAGGAAGCTTCTTTACCTTGCTGCAGGGCTCACATGCGAGGACTTTCTTCAGGTATATACTTCTTATATCTGCTTAGGGCGATCGGAATCATCCTCCAGAGACCCGGTTCGCAGAGACAGACATCACCGGCCAGCCTTCCCAAAGGCCCTTTTCTTTTCTTTTCTTCTTCGTCTTCTTCTCTTTCTCTTTCCCTTTTATGATCATCTCTGCCTCTTCGCTTGCGCGAGGCTTCGTCTATTTTCTTCCCCTTCTCTCTCTTCCGTTCACTTTTGCCTCCCCCTCGGTCGAACTGCAATCACTCCTTCTTGCGGGTTCAGAGCCTCTCGTCCTTTTTTATGCCCCCTTTCCAAACGCTCAGGGGAAAGGATACAGCCTCGCCGTCCCTCCTGTTATTACGACTATTCCGTTCTCTCTAGACTTGCAGCAGCATTGATAGAGCTCATCTTTTTCCTTTTTCTTCTTCTTCTTGTTCTTCTTTTCTTTTAATATCTATTGACCGCAGCGATGGCCTCCAAGGCAGGACCTTTGGCAAAGCCGTTTATCGAGACCAGATGGGCTGACGTACGTTCAATATCAAAACCGCCCTCCCCCAGATACTACCAAATATCAAAATATCAAAATATCAAAAATATCAGCATCGACGACCACATCAGATCGGAGATGTGATATACTCCACCGTCCGCAGATTTGCTGACCCCATACCGATATCATGACTTACAGGGCCTCCGGGGTATCGCAGCTCTCTTCGTCGTTGCCAGCCATGTCACCCTCTGCTTTGCTCGCAGCGTCATGCCGCCCTCAATATCGACCGACGGGCCCAGAAGGCTATTCCAGAACCCTTACCTGCGTCTTATCGGCCAGGGTAATGCGGCCGTCTCCGTCTTCCTCGTCCTGCTGGGCTTCGTCAACTCGCTCAAGACAATCCAGCTGATCCGCTCCGGCTGCTTGCAGGACGCCGTCTCTACCCTCTCGGTCGGCGCATTCAGGCGAACCGGCAGGCTCATGCTCCCTGCCACCGCGGCAACGCTGATTTCCTTCACTCTGTGCAATCTGGGCCTGTACGGTCTCGCAAGGAGCTCCGATGCATACTGGACCATGACCACCGCTGCTGCGCCGAGCCCGTCTATACTACAGGGCATCAAGAGCGTCTGCTGGGAGATGATTGCCGTATGGATCGTGGGGGAGAACAAGTACGATCAGCCGCAGTGGGCGCTGGCGCATCTCTTCAAGGGCTCGTTCTTCATCTACATGGTTCTCCTTGCAACCGTCAGTGCCACCCCGGCCTTCAGACTCACGGCTCTCTCCATCCTCTACGCCTGGGGCTGGATTGCAGGTGACAGTACGTTGCTACTTCTCACACTACTACTATACTTACTATCTATATACCGCGCATACTGACTAACATGTCTAGCCATTGTTCGACCAAATATATTCGCCGGCATGATCCTCGCCGAGTTGACCTACCTCCCAGCGCCAAAGAAGTCCAAAGTCACAACCATCCTCCCTTACTTCGTCGTCGCCCTAGGCCTCTACCTCTGCTCCTTTCCCGACCGCTTCGCCGACCAGGCCCAATGGTCCCGCCAGCTCGAACAGCTCGGCCGCATCATCTTCCCCAAAAACGCAGCCATGGGCCGTGCCTGGCCTAACATCGGCGCACAACTCCTCTGCTTCGGCGTCATGTACTCTCCCAACATGCGCCACGTCCTCTCGCACAAATGGCTACACTGGATCGGAAGCCTCAGCTTCGCCCTCTACCTCCTCCACGGAATGCTCATGCGTACCGTCCTCGTATGGCTCGTCTTTGGACCCAACTACCTCCTCGGCATCACCAAGCCAGGCAAGCTCGCTGACGGAACCGATGGACAAGTCGTGCCCCAGCCAGGCGACCTGATCGTCGCATGCATCCTTCCCGTCTTCTTCGCCATACTGCTCTTCGTATGCACTCTCTGGAACCGCTTCGTCGAGCCATACTTCGGCTACGCTACCGCCGGTCTGGAATCGTTCGCCAAATCGTTCGGCAGGAATCAGTGGCCTTTTAACTCGCTGAATTCAATGCAGAATGGCGAGAAATCTATTCTGCCCACTACTCGCAGGGATTGATTGAGGTGTCGTCACTTCTACCACGGGGTACAGGCTGCTGTCTCATGTTACACCCTCCCCCTTAGCAGTATCCTCCCCTTTTTTTTTCTCCTTTCCCTCCTTGTCTCCGTTTTTCCTTTTTCCGTGTATCTCTGTACTTCTTCCATCTCGAAGCCCGGGTTCCATCAGCTGCCCTGCACCACTTTGCTGGTTTTTCCTTTTCTTTTTATACATTATCATCCCGACGGTTCATTGATTGGAGTTGATGCTGATTTGTCCATATTTTGGCCTGATTGATACTAACCTAACCATGCAGCGTTTTCCTTCTGGCTCCTGTGCTATTGCTATTTACAAGATGCATTCCCACCCCCCTAACTCGTTTAACTACCAACCATTTTACAAGAGAGATGGAAGACCATATCCGGCTGACTGAGATGGCATTGTTGAGATACCTTTGTTATGTCTGGCTGGCATATACTTCTTTTTTACTACGCATATTCCGAAAGACTAGACGAAGCGCCTTTGCTTTACCAACCAAATAAATAAATACAGAATAAATAGTAATGCATTCCATCCGCGTCCACGAACGTAACCAAGCAGTCAACTATTCCGCACCCAAAATGTTGAATGAAACAATGCCAATCGACCGGGATAAATAAAACAGGTACTTGTGCTTATGCGTCATGATAGTCATATCCTAAAACACCAGCTCATCATTTATCTATATCCAACCAACCCCCCTGCCCTGTCCTGTCCTGCCCTGCACAGCCTCCACCCATCCGTCCCCTCACGCTCACCTATTTCCCTTCCCCTCCATTCCCCGAAGCGTACTTCCTCGTCCAATCCCTCGCGATCTTCTCGTACTGTTTCCGATCATTACTGTATTGCTCTGCGATCCTCCCTTCCACCGCATCATCCGGCATCGGCTCCACAAGCAGCTGTCTCGCAAACTCCAGCACAGCATATAACTTCGACGACGGCTTCCATTCATCTGACTTGAGCATGCCGAGACACATCGTGCCCTTGTCGTCGTTCGAGACATTGGGATGGTATATTTTTGTAGCGAAGGAGACAGTAGGTGGTTTGAAGGGGTAGTCTGTTGGTAATGTGAGTCGTATCTCGAATACTCCGTCCTGTAGCCGTAGAACAAGATATGATTAGCTGTATGACTCTTGTGGTTTTAAGAAGGGTAAGTGGTAAACGTACTTGGTATGGCGAGCCTTCAGGGCCTTTCATTTCTATGTTCCATTTGTATAAGTCCGAGTCATCTGCCAGAGCGACTGTGACGCCGCCTGGAGGAGAGCTTAGAAGCTCGTTGAGTTCCTAACATCATTCCATGGCCACCGTTAGTCCATAGCTTTAACTTATACGGCACGGCTAATGTACCTACCTTTGAAATGCGCTTCTGACTCGCCATGATGCCAGCTCTGTGTCAAGTAACTGCCGCACCACTTCCAAAAGTCCTCCTGAATGTGTGTTTAACAGGCCAGACAGACGGTCTCAGCGAGTAATGACTGTCCTTTTATATGTCGGCGTTTGATGTTGGCTGCCAGGCAGCAGCACGTTAGGGACAGGGACTCGCGGGGTAGTTATGCGGCTGGATAGCTGGTTAGCGGGCGAGACAAGGATATTTCGGCCAGCGGAGCCAGTAGAAAGGGATGTAGTGACCCCTTGACTGCTGCGCTGCTAGCTTGACGGGCGTACCTATGCGGCTGTGAAGATCCTGGAGGCTTGAACACGCAGTCGCCTTGATGTTGTTTGTTGGCTGAGCCTTTCGAGGGCGGAAGTTGACTTTGGCTTCGAGTCGAAAGCCGGCGAGGCTGAACTCCAACACGCCAGAATTTGATTAAATATTTATTGGATTACTCCGTACTGACCGGATAACCAACGAGATAACTACCGCTTTGACACACTTGATCCTTCTCTCTCTCTTTAACTATATAAATAACTAACATTTCGATTATTACCTCCGGACGTTGATCCTACGCCCAGCTTTCTCTCCTTCGATCTGCTCTCCCAGCGGAACACCAGCTATCGCCTACTGTTCTACCAAAGAACTACCAGCTGAATGAGAAATTCTACAAGAACCTCTGACGGAGATTTGTGATAGCATGTCTTCAGTCAAGGAATTGAACGAGACAATAACTACAGGTGGGCGATATCATTCGCGTCTGCACGTCATCACCACGATTTCGGCCTTGCGGTTACCAGAGAGAAGGAGATGAAGGGAGAAAAGATATCTCATCCTATGCCCCAAAGCGAGCTCCCGTATAACTATCTGCTCACTATTTAACGAAATAACCGGATAATTAGTCGTGAGATTTCCGTCGGTACTAGTCACGGTATCTATACGTTTCGAAATTACCTTCACTCGAAGCCTCCCAAACATTTTTCTGACTCTAAACCGGATCTATGTCTGGTTTCTTAACGTGTCCACTCGCCGCAAGTCGAAACCAACTTGGGACTGGTTAACCCTGGAGTTTGTCTTCAGAGGTTTCAGAGATGTACTTTTTCGGCGCATCGGGCTTGACGGGATGGCCTCTGCAGTAATTCGAGGAATCTTTACCTCATTTTTTCGTGATCGGATGGCATCTCGCACGCGTCCCGGCCCGGGCAGCGCATTGCACGAATTCCATCTCCTCCTTACAACCGCACTGGTAGTTGATGTATTTTGAGGTGCACATTGCAGTAACTACTAGTTTGTTGACTGACGGACTTTTAGTCAACTAAAACTAGCATAAAAGAACTGGAAGTACGGAGTAATTAGTATCAACATACCTCAGGATCGATAAGTCTGAAGTTCTTATGAAAGCTTTAGGGGCTGGATTTCAATTGGTTTTCCCGGCCGGACGGGGTTGACTGACGATGGTTGTGAGTTGATGGATCGGCAATTCCCCTTGCCAACTTGGAGGATGCCTGGTCCCTTTTATCCTCAGTCCTAGAAGTGATTCGCTGTTCTAAGCGCCGGCACACTGGACTTGTATTCCCACCAACTAGAGCATTGGCGATGATGTTGGACAGTGCTTGAAACTGCAGAGGCCGGCAGCAAAAAGAGGAGAATGATTTGCTGACGAAGATCCTGGTCGGCCACGGGAGCGAGACGTTTCTTTTCTTAGTCCAATGCATGACGAAGGATGCACAGAAATCAGTAAATAGTATTCAGTCGTGGTTGGATAACAAGGGCTGGCAGGCGGCTTCTCAGGATTGAACCCGGGTTCATTTTGACAGTACTCATTTCTAACTATCAGTTCGAAAACCCTCCGCGCTATTGCTATTATCTACTCCGTTAAAGTGATGTTAGTTGAACCCAACAAACTCACTCATCCCAACTTAGGAACTCTGCTGTTAGTGGTTATTAACTGGGATGTTCGCAAGTTACTTCGCTGCCCTCTCGGAGGCCATCTTCCTAAAATACTGGGATTACAAAAGACGAGAGGTTAGTAACAACGACGATAGCGAGTACCGAGTGTTGATTAGTGGAAAGGTGAAATATGTCACCATTTCACCACGCACCTACGATAGAGACACTCTTTCCACCCCTATAGAGGCACTGCCTGACTTACCAAAGACCCAAGAATGGGACATGTAATTCATTAGTCGAGACCCATTCACCAATGAGCTGAACACCAGATTGTCAAATCGTAAGTAAATGTCTTGGAGGTCACTGTTTCTGTGAATCAGGGTTCTAATGATCCGGTATCATTAAGCCCGGGAACCACTGCAGTCCCAAAATTGCCCGATTTGAATGGGAAATGCCACGCATTGTGCGGGAGGCAGTAGCGTACCAGCTACTAGCAGGGAGTGGTTTAGCTCCACGATTTCTCAGCCATTTCCATGAGCACGGACAAATTGGGCTCCTGGCGGAGAAGACTGAGGGGCACGAAGCATCGATTGATGACCTCCCTGTTTGCAAGGATGCTGTTCAGCAATTTCATAAGCTTGGTCTGTTGTATGGAGATGTCAATAAGTTCAATTTCATTGGTCATAATGGGACTGTAAAGTTGATCGATTTCGAAAATAGTTGGGCACATCTGAATGACTGCTCGGCTATGCAGTCCAAACTATACTCCTTGGAGAGCCAACTGCTGGAGAAGACAGGACGCGGTGGGGGGTTCATGCCGATGTAAGACTCAGATTGATTGTAATCATCAGCCACTTCGCAGCGAGAAATGTTGTGTGCCTTTGCTATATATCATTAGATAGTAGCTGGTTATAAAATTAAGATAGGGTGTCAAGTTGCCCAAGTCTATGTATTTTTCTATGTAGCTACAGACTTTGAGATAAAGACACAACAGGTATCTGTGGCATAAATGCCAAGCAATGATATGACGTCATTTGAGTTCAAAGCGGGCCGAGCCGCTGTTACTTATTATAGACACCACAGAGAGGCTCAACATTGTTCTTGGAAGTACAACCAAATTGAAGGGTGGGTATAATTTATTGCTCCGATATTGGAATAGCTCGGCCGGCTTTTGACAAGGCGTTATATTGGTAGCGATTATGTATAACTATACCGGATCAGGTACTCTCAGAAGAATATACACTATTTAGTTTCTAGAAGGCTGACTCGAGAGAAAAGATGAGAGAAACTGTTACAGGAGTCGTAGCTACAGGGTACTCCATAGCTAGAGAATGTTGGCAAAGTTAGTGAGCGGACAGATATGCATCAATCACGATACCATTTATTTAACACTAAGAAAAAGTACCCTTGGGAATCGTCTCCGCGGGCCCCCTCTCGGAAAGAAAACAAGGGCCGCATGATCTAGCCATATCCTGCAAGACACCCCTGTCCGCACTATTTTATTACTTGTTATATTTTAATTTCATAGATTCGAATGTAAGAGTTAAAGTGAACAGTGTAATTAACTGCATTGCTATGTTTTATTATATATGTAGAGAATTATCATTCACAAGCCCTGCCAGTTTCAAGAACAAATCATCTCTGGATTAAGTAATTAGATTAATAAATCCCATTTCTTTCCATCTCCATTAAACGAGGTATCATGCATCGTAAGAGAAAAAGCCCGTTGAACTCCAGAAGTTTTTTCCGTTTCCATATCACATCCAACTCATCCGCTCGCTGATAGCCCAAGAATTCCAAAAAGCACTTTTAGTGTCATAGTAGACGTTGGTTGGTTTATTGGTGTAGATTTAATGAGACACCTATCGGAGGGCAAGGTAGGTGGCTTCGGCGTGGATAGCCTTGTTCTCCTTGGAGTTGGAGGACTTGGAGCTGCTGACGCGGGCCTTGGAGTTGGAGCGGGACAAGGCTGGGGTGGATGGCATAGTGCGCTTTCCGTTGTCAAGAGAAGTGCGAGGAGTGTGGAAGCGCGAAGAGGCAGCGGAGAAGGTAGCCATGGACTCGCGCTTCAAGTGAGGAAGCTCGAAGGAGGCGTAGTGGATAGCAAAGTCGGTAGCGTTGGCGGCCATTTTGATTGTTTTGTTTGTTTTGTTTGAGGTGGTGGTTGTGGAAGTGGGTATGATGAATTGTTTGTTGTTGAGTATTGACTCGAGTAGTTGGCAGTAGATTGATTGTAGGGGTTGATTGTAGTCTTTTGTTTTGATGTTTTGATGTCTGATTGTTGTGGATGATGAGGAGGAGAGCGATGGAAACTCGAGGGATGGAGCTCCTTCTTATAGACCTCCGTCGTCCACCTTTCTATGTCTCTGGGAAGTTTCTAGTTACCCGTGGGCCCACGACGGGCGCCGTGGGCATGGCCGCAACCCGCTCTGGCCCTCCTGGCCCCTCTATCGTCACCATGCGTCAGCATCTTCTGTCTACTTCTTTTTTTGCTTTGTAAATTCTTCCCTGTATAAAACCTTAATAAGCGGGTCCGATCTTCCACGGGTCTGTGCCTGGATTAGTCATTTAGCCTGACTAATCGCTCTCTGTGACGTCACTTTCCGTCGCTTCCTCAACCTCAACTTCGACTTCTTCGACTTCTTCGACTCTTTTGCTGATTTCTAAGGAATACGAACTCGCAACGATGAGTCGACAGAGCGTGCTATGTCTTTTGTCATCCGCCTCGTGCTCTGTACAGCGCGAGATGGTGTTGTAACAGTCAGACCATCGCATCAGGCCATGTAAAAATAGCTCCGGAAAACAGAGACTTTTCCACGGCCCCTCCAGTGAAAAATTTTTCCCAAAATCTTTACACGCCTGCCTGGCAATTCCCGCTGAGGGCTTCTAGACGCGCGAGCGGATCGTTTCACATAGCCAATGGCATGTAAGAGCAGGCATCGGGCCGGTCGCAAGAAAAAAAAAGATTTGTGCGCAATTTTTGCGGCCTGACCTGCAGCGCCTGCGCTGCACCCTGGGCGGCCATCCACTTCGAATCTTCCCTGTCATCAGCTGGCGCCGGGCGTCTAGGCTGAGTTGAACCAGCTTCAGCACCGTCTCATTGTGCCCTGTGCACGAACCGTGGCTGGACTCACCGGACCTTGCCGTCCGCCTATACAAATGGCCCTGGCATGCATTTACGCAGCCAAGCTGATCAAGCTTGAACTCGGAGTACGGCTAGCCATGCACGTGTAGTGCGTAGGGCGCTGAACATTTCTGAATTTCACTTTTGATGTTGGATGTTTCGGAGTCCAAAGACGTCGAATTATCCGCAGCGGAGGAGGCCTGTGTAGGCGGATTCCCGTTTCTCTGGATCAACTACGGAGCATTACCCGAAACACACCTGATCAAACTGAAAGGATGGATCGATATACTCCGTATCCATTCATCTATCCACGATCCCACGAGGCATGCTCAAATGTTTCGTCCAAGGTAGTTAGCTGGAAAAGGTTAACGCGCAACGTCAGGAGAAGAATTTCCAGATTTTCAGCACGGCCCAGCGCTGGTGGGTGGCCAGACTTCGCCCTGCAAGGAAGAGACATGGATTGAGGTTTTCGTTGCCGGGTGTCCACTCATGCCTGTCTGTGCTTGCATGTTTTTCCATCATCAAGTTCGCAGGTCATATAGCTCAACGTCTGGCCTGGGCCGACAGCCGTTACCCCTGTCAACGATTATTGATACCCAACCCCCCTAGCCACACTGCTGCCAAGTTTTTCACATACCCTTACCTCTCCTTCTTGCACCCTTGAGGGATGCAGGAACCATGGCGTGCCGTCCTAGCCACTTTTCATTTTTTTTCTCCTAGTGTCGGGAAGGACCTGCATTTTCGAAGGTCAGGTTACGATCATCGCCACCCGTTAATTACTAACCGGGCTAGGAGTCACTAAAACAGGAGATCCACTCCGGCGGGATGAAGAAAATTTTTGTCTCGCCGCTTGTGTTTACTCAACGTGCCCCTCCGAACACTCCTCCGAATATAGAATATCACAAACGGTGACAAGATGAATGGATGATAGTATGCTGATGTTGATCAAGGTTGATCATATAGAGTAAGACGATCATAATGCGGTCAATGATCAACCGTCGGTTGCTCGGCGACACGGCGAATCTTCCGGTAAGCTTGGACGAGCATTGTCTGCTTGTTCGTTGCACATGCTTGTGTCTCATCTCGAGTTTGAGGTGTCTTTATTTGCATTTCTTTGTGGGATTTCGATTGAGGCTGAGCTGGTGTGGATTCTCAGCATGGGCATGGATGTTCCCAAGCCAACAACTGTGAATATCCGGCCCAAATGCTCTCGGTTGTTAGTGCCAGGGCTCACTCGCGCCTGGACTCTTGGTCACGACCGCATTCTGTTGGCTCATAGGCTCAAGGGCTGGCTGGAAAATGCATGACAAGAATCGGCGGTGACGAGTTTCTCCGGCACAGGTGTCCGGCGCCATTGCTCTGGATGTCTGTATAGTGTGTTACTTATGGTTCTAGTCTGCATCGTCTACTTGTTTGACCGCCCATTAGTCACACCATGTCGCATCCCTTGACATGAAGGTGCGCGTAATGTCCGCTCATCTGACTGTTGTGGATCGACCTAGATTGATCTATTTCAACTCCTGGAAGCTTCAATTTTGGGCGTTGCGAATACATACTCCGTACACGGATAGTTATTCTAGTAATTAAGTATCACCAGGCAGAAGCTTGTTGTCGTTCGGCGATCGGGGAACTTGTAGATATCAGCTGAATCAGGTAGAAGGTTTGGCATTCATGACTGCGGCCTGAGATTCAAGGATCGAGAGTCATGGATGAATCATTGGTATTCAACATAGTGCACCGTACTCTGGACAATAGAACGTCGAAAATAAGCCACTTTCTTCATATCTTACCAACATTTTCATCAGCTGCTGACAGGGACGGGTCGGAGGAAGGCAATGCTACCCGTCGAGCCTGAACATGCAAGGTGATTGATACCTCTCAACCACAAACCGCATGAATCTCCCAACAGCCAGATAGTATACCGAGCCTTTAACATCCCCTCGGTATCCGAGATAGGTTTGGCTAACATATTCAAACCAGTACTCGGACGGTTTCTCCCAGAGGCCAATTGTGGCCTCAGCGCATTATATGCGTTCATATACCGATCCTTAACTAGGGTACATATGCTACGATGGGTATATGCAGGACGCACTTAATACCACGGGTCACAATTTAATCGGCAAACTTTAGCTGGAATCATATCAGAGCTGGTCAATCATATCTGGTTGTCAGCCTATACACAAGACAATATGAACCACCCCCGGGCCGAGTATGGATATAAAATACCTAGGCTCCCTTGTCCTTCCAAAAAGACAGCCGTTTCAACCATCCGATTGACCCAAGGCTCTCATATGGCCCAGAGTAAATTTATTGATGAACAAGGGAACATGTCCGGTAGCCATGGGCGAATTCATGGATATTGGGTATTGTGAACTCGTCTGCCTTGACACTGCAAGCAAGGAAGTACGCAGCCTTCCAATGACGTGAATGGCTCCAAATATAGAACTGTAAGAAGAGACAAGCCAAAACGTGAACCAACGAATGGCTCTTTGCTATGATATGATTGATGCACATGCTGCCCTTAGGGCAAAGCACTCGCCGCATGCATCAGGGCGCATAGCAATAGCCAAACACACCCATGTCAAACGAGGGAAGCAGGAATGCAAAGTTAAAAAAATTCAAAAGAATCCAAAATATTATCTCTTTTTCATTGAGTATGGATGGCTTTTTGGTGGATGATGCCGCTTTCTATTCCCGCTGTAACATCACCATTACACCCATGATTCCAAGCAAGACCGTCTTCATCCACGGGTTCTCTGCCAACATGATCGTCACGTATCCAACGGCTGGAATGTATCCTCGCACGCTACCTACAATATCGAGCTTGCGGTCAAGGTAGTCTTGGCCCTGTGCGTAGAGTTCGGTGTCATCTGCGATGTTGTTGTCGCCTTTTGTGAGCATCTGATGGGAGATGGGCGAAGATAGGCCGGGTCTACATGCGAAGGGTTAGCAGATACTCGATATTATGCCACGTATGTTGTCTCTTTCAATCGCCATTTATATGATCTTCACACCATATACACCTCCCGTTCTATGCCGTCATCAACTCCCGTCCGAGATATGGTAGATACTCACCCACTACGCTTATCCGCCTCCTTCTCTAGCCTTCGCTGGCTCTTCTTCCCTCCATCCCCCGTCCCAAACGCCTTGATAACTCGATGAACAATCGGAATATCCTTCCCTTGCACGTTATACACCACTATCTCTCCAACCTCTGCGCGCGGGCTGTTGTTCCATAGAAAGAGTAGGTCACCGCGCTGAAAGGCCGGTTCCATGCTTCCTGATAATACCACAACAATAGGCGAGGACGAGTTCGTGTATACTGACAAGGCCTTCCATCCCATAAAAGCCGTGGAGAGGACGAGGGCGAAGTTGAGGATCTGGGCTAGGGTTTGGCGAGGATTGGAGAGGTAGGGAGCGAGTTCGGCGAACATGATGGCGGCGTCCTCTTGATATAGGGTATTAACTGAATGATGGTATAGCAATTATTTTTATCCCAGTTATCAGACACAGCTCATTGTCGTTCGTAGTGTTGAGCTGTTGAGCTATCGAGCTGTTGGTTGACACTGGAGTTGGTGATGTTGCGGCTTATCTGTTCAGTTGGAGCGAAGCTCTTGGCTTGGCGTTTGCTTAACCAGTTACTCTCATTAACCACTAAGTTAATTAGTTACGTAGTAATTTTATCGAGCTTTTATTGTTAGAAAATTGAAATAAAAACCTAAAATCATCTTTCTTAACATTCCTGGAGATTTGGCCATATAATTATTTCTTAAGTACTCCGTATTAATTGTATTTTTCGCACGTTCAGTCTATAGAACGAACCATCAACAAGTCGTAGTTAATCACACTGCTTTCGAGGCCAGCTAAACCCAGAAGTACCAATAAAAAGATCTATGCATATCTATATCTATATGAAAGGAAATAGTCCTCGGCTATTCATTATCGGTGCCTTCTCCAGCAGATTTACTGGCGTTTCTATCCGAGTTCGCAAAATTTTCAATAAATAAACGCTGCTCATCGCTTAACTTGGCCTCGTAGGGTCCCAGAACTTCCATCAAGAGGTCTGTCCTCTTCCGTGGAACGAACTCCTTCGTCTGCTGCATAGCCTCAGAGTCGGAATTCGTGGTACACAATTGGTCTGGGGACCAGTGGCCCGGATCTAGGTATTCGGCAAAATGTCGCCGAATAACTTCGGTGAAGTTCATGTCTTCGTACTCCCCTTCCTCAAGGCCTACCACATGCGTGTCATCTACGCCTTCATCATCCGTACTTTGGTCAACTAACGAAGCACCAACGTCTGGTAGTATCTGGGCTACCTTGTACCACCACCAATTCCAAAAATCCGGTAGAGTATGTTCAGCCCCCATCTTCTCGCTGGATAGACATTTCGGACACCGAGAGTTGCATTCAACAACCCACCCGTAACGACCTGGTGGAAGTGGGCTTGAGCGAGACCTCCGGTATGCTGTCATTAATAATTCCAGCTGTGATTGCATCTCTAAATCTTCATCCCGTATTTCTCTTTTTTCCGAGTCGCTCATAAATAGGGCAATGCAGCAAGTATGACCCATACCGAGGGCATTGAAAAGCTCTGCGCGTACAGCCTCCTCCAGATACAACCTGGCTTCATCTTCCCGCAGACCACAGAGCTGTACCCAAGAGAATATGTGTTGGCTTTTGTGGTATATGCATTCGTTCGATTCTCGGTTAAGGTGATGTAATGGTAAACATCCACTTGAAGAACAGTAACATGTACACTGATCAGACTCTAGTGGTGAAAATAGACTGGTGGCATACTGAGTTAGTATTTTTAACTGTATTAGCTCACTATCTGAATCCAAAGTGCGGCAGTGAAATTTCTGCGCGATACCGAGCAGTATATTTCTCTCGCCTATTAGTGCTGGAGAAGCACCCATCCTTAGAAACCAAATGCTTAGGTTTACCAGGATATGGAAATTCTTGGTAGTTGGAGTATTGTAAATAGTTTCAAGGGGAGAAAGAGAAAATTCCACCATGTTGGTTTCATCCGTGTCCAAGAATCCAACCAGAAAGAGCTCATAGAGGCATTCAAATACCATCAGGGAAGTCGACTTAGAATCAAGGTGATCATGCAAGGTAGCGATGATATTATATACGGAGACGTTTGTACCTGGGTTTAAATGGGAAGGCACCGGATTCGAGCCATCGGTAAGCAGATTGTAGACTGGATAGGCATTGGTATCGAGAACTTTGCGCTCACGAAGGCCGAAATATGCCTGGTCTGCCACTGATAAACAGTTACGAGCAACATCTGCCAACTCATCTCTCCGGCGCCTCAGCTCTTCAATTAGTACTGATCGCGTATTAGAGCTGATCATGGTATTGATAACAAAGAGTGTCTCATCAGAATCCATAAAGAGGGCAACTGGAAAGCTCAAGAGTGTTTTAAGCGACTCCTCATTCTCAAGGTATAAAGCTAACGCGATTGTTCTCGCAATGCCATGGGTCCAGACAGTTGAGAGTAGCCGCAAACCTTCGGGCCAACCAATGGCGAGATCGAGAACGTTAACTTGTAAGAAACTGAAAGCATCAGCATCCAGATCTGCAGTCACGAGGACCTCCTTCAAACGCTCAAGGTTTCTGCTCAATACGGCCAATGCGAGGTCACCCGTAAATAAGTCTGTGTCGATATGTCAGCTTTGATAGGTACACTATATTAATTACAAAATGAAAAGGCTGCTAGGCTTACATGCTAATGCCCACGGATCCCGTCGCAGCGCGTCTATAATTGAAGTTTTGGTATGCTCGTTGCTACGGTGGTACTGCGTGAAGAGTTCGGAAATAGGGTTCTCTAAGCTTGGGGCGTAGAAGCTGAATAGGCGGCGGAGATACGAATAATCCCCCTGCAGATGGCAGCAATTTGACACGCATGTTCGAGCAAGATTTGCTATGGAGTCACGCCCAAAACTGTCATGAGTTAGTTAGCTCCCACATTAATTCCGCCAGCTATCCGGTCAAGCTTACTGGAATAAGCTGGGGCTGGGCGCACCCACGCCATCAGAACGCCTCTCTATAGCATTTGCGAACGCGTTGTGGTCAACGTCGAGGTATTCACCCAGCTGCAGCAACGAGTCGATTTCGTCAGACAAGTCAGCATATATGGCTGCCACAGATATTACGAGGGATATAATCTCCTGATTTCTGTTAGCGCCCTCTCTGAGTGTGAACGTTTCTTCAATGCGTACATGAAACAAAGTGCGGTCATTTTCATCCCGATCAGTGAGAGAACAAACACCGCTTCCTGTTGGTTTTATGAGATACTGATAAACCCGCTTCAACTCCCGTCGTATGATTTCGACATCTACTCCTTTGATAGCAGAGTAGCTTGGCGATATTGTTGCCATTGCTATGTAAAAAGAATCTGCCAGCTCGATCCCACACCGACCTGGAAGCTCGTCGAAAAGTCGGAAGATGGCTGACTCTGACCGTCTGACCGTTACAACCGTCTTTAAAGAGGGACTTAGATGAATATTCCAACCTTGGATCGTCACACCGAAGGCCAATTCAACTATTTTGTTCTGAAATTTAAAGCCCCATCTGGCTATTCGGACGTGCTTTGCAGAACCGCTGAGTGGACAAGAGTTCTCATGGGTCCGGCTTTCTTCATATCCAAAGAAAATCCAGGTGCCTCTATTGGTTGACCTCAATAACCGTGTACGGCATTTACACGGCCGTGGCAGCGGAGAAAAGATATATACCGCATTCTCCCGGTACACTGGCACTTCCATGGGGACCTGTGAAGCAGGTGACGGAGGTATGGGTCGCTGCTCTTCCCTCCCAATCTGCCGTGTTAGGTCCCCTTCTGGTGGTTGTTCGATTACAGTTTGCTCAGAGCCAGGTAGGCGAGATTGGGAAAGGATGAACTGTGAGAGCATGGCCTTTATCGCCCTTAATTCTTCGCTGTTGGAATTCATTGAGTTTTGTATCGATATCGCGAGGGTTTTTTGCGTAGTTACTTCTATACAAGTCTGCTGCTGCAAGTTGGCTAACTGGTCCATGGTTGGTTCCAGTCGGGAGTTCAGTTGGTCAACATGGAGACAGGTCCTTTCGGCCGCAGTCAAGGTTCTGTCGGAAACTTCTCTACAAGACAGGTTAGCAAGCCTTCGAACTCTTTCCTTGTAGAAGAGTAAGTGGATATACCTATGTTGCATCTCCATGTCAACAATACAAAGCTGCAACTGATGGGTAACCGCATCGTTAAGCCTCTTGATACGTTCAAGTTTTGCTTTTATCTCGTACTCTTTCTTGACGGAGATGATGCTCCTCCATATCCTCCTGGTCACAGACGGAGCTCTCCCGTTTTGGTCTGGAAAAATGCTGTTTAAAGTAGCTTGTAGGTCCTTCATCGCCTGCTCTGCGTCATTGGCAGCTCCTCTGAGAGCGTCCGCCTGCTCATTAGAAAGCTGGCGAGTCAAGCGTAAAGTGTCCCACTGGGCAGCCCTGTCGATCGACTGCTTGACATCGTCTAGGAGATCTTTCAGTTCGCCTGGAGTTTTATCCAAACGCATCAATAGTCCAATTCCACCTTTGATGCCTTTAACGGCCACGGCAGCGAACTGTACCGCGGCCGCGGCAATCCCAAGTGCGGTTACGGGGTCCATCTGCTAGGTAGTTAAGACAAAAGAAAAGACCGTAAATGTATGAGTGAAAAGCACCCCAGCGAGAGAGAGTGCGTTGAAGATAGAATTACCGTAACTAGAGCAAGGAATATGTTGCTTTTTGATCCTCTCCGTGGAGCATAGCCAACAAATCATAGGCGCAGCAAGAGGCTGAATGACAGTTGACCATGCCTCTGGGGCTGTGTCCGAGCCTGTCTGTAATCTGCCAATCACGGGAAATGCATCAGGCGAGGTATATTTCTTGAGTAACAATACTTATCAAGGCGTGTACATATGTCTGTCCAGACTGCGAGGCTGAGCAGAGGCGCCATGAATGATGCATCGAAGAACAACTGTTGGGCCAATAGACAGGCCCAACAAGATATATGCACGTCTTACATCTTGCAGCCACTCCTATACAAGCTTTTCGCTTCGTCTAGAGAAGCGCCGTCGTAGAATGCTCTGGCCTGATCTACGCTGAGCCACGCACCAAGCTGGGGTAGTTGTTCGATTAGGCAGTCATTTAGTTATTCCACTCGATGGAAAAGGACAGTGTAATAATAAACGACAGAGGTAAATCCGCGAGAATCCATGCTTCACGCAAGTAATATAGATGTATAGGCTGGAGGGTATCTTGAAGGCCGAATGTGGCGTAACCAGAGAGGAGGATATGATGTTAAACTAGCGGAGGTGGTCGCCCTTTTATAGGCTTGGTGGTCGGGTCCACTTCCCTCAAACAGGAATGGTACCATGCTCTCAAATTTTGTTTTTAGCTTGTAAAGCCGTAATGCTACATAGCCAATAATAATAATAGTATTTTAAATAGCGCGTTTTAATATGGGTGATAGGTTTCTAGACCTCCCTATAAATTCTCCCTAGAACTCTCTCCTACTACTAAAATTAAGGGTAGTAGAAAAGAAAAGGAGAGTAGTAAGATGTTTAGTAGGAAATCTAGTAAGAAAGAGGTCTAGGGTGAGGTTAAGCACGTAAAGTTTATATCTTTAGCCAATAAGATAGCTTATTTTACTTAGTAATAGAATTACACAATCAAAAACCCACCTTCTGCGTGCCTTTAGCAACGTCTACTTTATTGATGAGCTACAAGTACAATTAACTACAAGGAGAAGATGATGAGATGGCCGAATATCTCAATTTCCAGCTACAGCGAATGGACCACGACATAATAATAGTAACAGAGGAGGGGGTTAAGTACACAAGATAATGGGGGAAAGGACCAAAGAAAAGGGGGGATTTCACTGTGATGTCAATCTCGTGTAGTTATTAGTTTGGATGCGGTGCGCTGCAATTTAGGTAAAGAAACAGTCATGAAAAGAAAAAATATTTAAACAGAGAGAGAGCCGGCCTGGCCCTGTGGCCGAAGGGAGACTCAGTCTGTTCGAACACGAGGGGGAGGCCGGCTGTCTCTTCCTAAGCCAAATAACTTGCTTGCGGCCAATCTCGAGAGAAGCGAAGTAGTGTTGAGTTATATTTTTTGTACTGTTTTCAATAGATCAGTCAATCCAGGGAGAAGAGAACTAGATAAATGAGAAACCAGGTAGAAATTTGCTCGGCACGGTACTTCATTCTCCTTTGTTATCATGTTGCACAATTTGGGTTAGGGAGTTGTAGGTTCAGTTTCTTTCTTTGGCTTCATTCTTGACCGACCGAGCAGGTCGATACGATAGGTTTGAGGTTTAGTGTGCAGCCTCTTAATCATTTCAGATGACTTTGGGAGATCGGCTGTTGCTGTTTGTAAGTAAGTAAGTAAGCTGGGTGGGTGGTTGTTAAGAGAGCAGAAAGAACGCCATAAAAGCAGTAAGCCTGAATTTGGATAGTTACGAGAGAAAAAAAAGTGAAATAGATTAGCGTTGATGGTGAGGAAAATTGGGAGACGTACCTGAGCTCCACGACATCGTCAATGTGGTTGCACATTGCCACGAACAAATCGAAAAACAGTTTACCGCCGCTTTCCATCTCCATTTGCATGGTTCCGCTCCTCTTGAAAGTCTTGCGACTTCGGATTATCAGAGCCAGGAAGTGAGCACGGAGCCGCGACTCGGAGTCTGGTGTATGGTCGTACGTGTACCGTGCTGATCGAAGGATGACATCGACTGGAATTCCAGCTTGAAGGCCCTGCTTGCGAAGGGCAAGGCGCTTCAGCTCGTCCAAACCGTACTTCTCAGCGGCGCAGTAGATGACTGTATCTCGGAGCAGATAGTCATTGACACCAGAGTGGAACATTGTCGCTTCGCAGGACCCGCGGCCACCGGTTTTAGAAAAATCCTGCGCATCCTCGAGTACCCAGGAGTTGCGGCGCTTGTTGTGCATCAAGCGCGGGTAGTAGTCCCCCTTGTACAAGAATTCGAGGACGCAGGACAGTATCTCGGGTTCTCTATATGATACCATATTAAATATATGCGCGAAGTAGGTAATCAGCCAATATTATGTGTGACTCACTCATCGGGCAGGACGATCTGTTTCATATCACCATCGGAGGCTTGCTCCCTGATGGTAGACAAAAAGAAAGGCGAAATAGAGAGGATGTCTTCGTGGGCAGCAAAAAGGCGATTTTCTCTACCTACCACCAAGGTGATGATAGGGCTTGTGAGGGCGCTAGCCATGAATAAACGTCAGCTATATGCGCAAACAGTCTAATATAATATAGCAAGGTGGGGGCCGGGGGGAGTTCTTTCAACAAACCTCCCAACTGGCGGACTATCCAGACTCTCCTGCAGTTTGGCTTTCACATTCTCGCGGTATGTCTTCTTCGCAGGTCTAACAGACTTGCCCGCGCGGTCTTTCGACGAAAAAGATCGTTTGAACATGGCTGTCAGTGGGAATCCCAACGAAGAACCGGAGTTATCCTAGAGTCACAAGGACAACCAGCGAGTAGCGAGAGTTAAAAAATGAGCGGTCGAAGAACCTCGCGGACATATATATGTATATATAACGAGCGTATTGGGGTGATATAAAAGAAAAGAGGTTTGACGCCTAGCAGTATCCCGCACGTCGCATGGGAGCCTTGGAAAGCGGTCTCCAAGGACAGCCTTCCTCTGCCTTGTCCCTGGGGAACCCCGGTGAAGGAGAACGTGAGGACGTCAGCAAAAGGACGCGAATCCTTGAATAGGCTTTGCGCACGAGATGACACGCAAGTGCTGTCTCGATGCGGAATTTTGACCGGTCCTGCGAAGCGTGGTGAAGGGAAAGAGACGAAGACGAGGACGAAGTAGAAGCGATGTTGATATCCATTCCATTTCGGGCCAGTCATGTGACTCTATTCTGACTCAAGCTGACTAACTAAGTCGTTATGAACAAGGTTATTACTAATCAACTTACTCTCTAATCGCGACCTTACAAAGTTTGTAATTTTCGCGATACTGCTCTCTATTATTCCTTAAATTCCCAAATTTGACAAGTCGGTAAGAGAGGCTGTACTAGGGAAATCAAAACAGGTACGTCAGAGGATATACGTTGGGATAGAATAGTTACGCATTTTACTTAAATGTTGTGGTTACCAGAAATTTTGCTCTGATGCCGCGCTCCACGTTCAAATTTTGAACCAAATTATATCCATAACGGATGCTATAAACGTACAGCCCAGGCGGCACCCTTTGCATGGGCAGTTTTGGTACACACTGATCGAGCCTTCTGAGCTTCTCCGGAAGAAGATAATGAACTCCGTGGGAGGTGCCGATTATGCACATCAGAGTGGCGATACTGATCAAAACGATCGGCTCTGAGAATTAATCTGGGAAATTTCAACAGCTTTCGGGCTGGACAGCCTCTGGGATTTGCGAAGAAGGATCAAGAATTTCGGCTTACCGATTCTAGAGCACACAAAGCAAAAGAGCGAGCTTGTCCGAAAACTAGAAAGAGGCAGTTGACCTATCAAAAGCTGTTCATTATACAGAGTACTAGGTTGCTAGTATGAACTGCGCTGTGATTAAGATCACCACCAAATGATTTTATTCCTTGGAACTTAACAGATTTTATAGCTTACCAGGGGTCTAGGGCGGCGTCTTCTGATCGAGCTCGGACATAGTTACGTATGTACTTACGACTCGCGTTCCGCAAAAGCTGAGTCATACCCAGTCCCAACGGCCGGATGGGCAAGATGTGACCAACGTCACTAACGAATCTTGATGTCTTCGGGGGTAGATACCGCGTTGCTTTCGATGACGCCCCAAGCTAGAGTCGACGGACATAACATATAGGAAACGGCAATTTGGCCGACACATTTCGGGGTTATATTCATATATACTGTATCATTTCTTGGTTATATACTAGGATGAAGGGGCTTCCGGTTTCTTTGCAATCATGAGATACATGGGTGTAAAGAGTCCAGCTCTGCCACCAGCAACAAGGTTGTCTGCGCCCAATGAAAGCTCGTCGGCTGTCTGAGCAGTACCGGATGGCGCAAGCCTGGCAGTCTCGAGGACTCTTAGCAGCGTACTGACCGATGCCCGGCCCAATTTGGTCACTCGAAGAGCACTGAAAAGATCCCACAAGCTGCGAGGCTGAAGTTCTCCTGCAAGAGGTGCATACCAGGGGATTATGTCCCCCTTGTCAGCTATGTCCTCCTCATGCTCGAGGATGAATCCAGCCGCCTGTATGGCTTCCATTGCATGCTTACGAGGCATCATGGTGGCGATTCCGTTTCCACGCTCTATTCCTAGTTTGATGGCGCGGTGTGACGGATCTGAATCATCGTACTTATCCGTCATCACCCATTCATACACACCGAAAGTTCCACCGGGCTTCAAAACGCGGTAGATCTGCTCATATACCCCTTGGAGGGACGGTGCATGCACTGTTGCCTCAATTACGTACACAGCATCAAAGGAGTCATCTGGGAAATCCATCTCCTTTATTCCGTGACCATCAGCAAATGAGCGTTATACGTTCGGTAAATTTCACAATGAAACTCACCATGAAGTCGCTTTTGACAAAGGAGACGTCTTCACTTCGGCCTTCCTTCTTTGCATGTGCTGTTGCTCGTTGGATTTGATAGCCGTTGTTGTTGACACCGACAACCTTGCAGCCAGTGAAGGTAGATATCTCCCTTGCCGGGCCACCAACCCCGCACCCCACGTCAAGGACCTTCATGCCTCGCTGGATGCCCATCCGAAAAGCAAGATAATGTTCATGTCTTGCCAGAGCCTGAAGGAAAGGCTCGTGGATCCCAAAGCGACAGAAATGAAATGATTGCGCCCATGCCTCCTCGTAAAAATCGGTTGCGAGGTCGTAGTAGCTATCTTCTCGTTAACGTCGCAGTATTAGGGGGATCATAGGACTATCTAGGTACCTACCTGTTCACCAACGACATGTAGTTATCCTTCCTCTCCCCATGCTCCTTTCCATCCCAGAAGCCCACATATTTGTCTGTAATCTCGCGGTGTGATTCGCTGCCCTTCTTCAGAATAGCTAGGAAAGCGTTGCGCTCTTCCGCCGTTTTCCCATGCATCGGGTCAACCGCAGGGGCGAAGTGGTCGGTCATGTTGTTGGTGGTTTCTGAGATAATTTCCACAAGAAAGGAGGAAACCTGGGGTATCTCAACATCTCATATATAAATACACCCGCTACGAAGTGTACAGGGGACCTTGCTGCTGCGCCAGAGATCAATGCGAGGCCCCAGGCCTCACACCATGGTAGAGCCAGATATCCCGAGCCCGCCACGCCACCCCAGCATCTCCTTCTCCGGGATCCGTCCAGCCGACTAGCTGGTTAGCCATCTACCGAACCGATTTATCGGGGTATGGAGCCGCTTCGCGACTGTCTTGACCTCCTTTACCACATCCCCGCTGACGCCGATGTTGGAAAGAAGCTGGCGGTTGCTTTGGGCAGCCAATAAAAGGGCGTGCTTAGTAATCACCGAAACAGTTCGTCGAAACTTTAATTTTCGTTTTCGTATAAACTGCGCCAAGCCTAAAATTTACGTGTGAAGTTCAAGGGGCCCGGAGTTCACAGAGAAGCATGTTCCTGGATTAGGGATCACAGAGTGCGAAATGCATCCTTCTCTGGGTGTGATCAGTTTTGTTTAATTCTTTTTCTGTGACCGGACACGATGGGAGCACAAGTCTGGCTGGTCGTGGCCGCCATCGGTACAATCTGTCACTTTCTTTTTGGATATCTCAGCCCGAAGTATGACCCCCGCGAACCGAAGCCGCTCTCGCAGACGATCCCGCTGATTGGCCATGCCATTGGGATGGCCCGTCACGGGCTTGGTTATTGCACAGCTCTCAGGTAACACAAAACCCTCAGCATCCGGCAAGTATCAAAGATTTAACTGCGGCAGCTGTTAACAGTCAAAATGCAGAGATGTGCCTTCGCCTATATTTAGCATGAGCATGCTGAACAAGAAATTCTATGTGGTTACCTCTGCTACTTTGGTCTCAGCAATCCAACGTTCTGCAAAGTTTATCTCATTTGAGCCTTTTCTGAACGATGTTGGGGATCGGCTCGCTGGAATAAAAGGCGATGGACTCAAGCTCCTCCAGGAACCTACGAAGAGTGGTGGAAGCCTTAGCACAGCGATGGTACACGCCATGGCTACCGCTATCTCTGGTAGCGGCCTTGATAAAATGAACGCTATCATGATAAATTTCCTCCAGGCATCCATGGATGAATTGGCGACTGCAACAGAAGACCCCATTGATCTATTTGCATGGGGCCGGGATGCAATGACCACTGCCAGTAGCGAGGCGGTCTGGGGAGCTAAGAATCCTCTACGACGAAAGGAAGTGCAGGACATGTTCTGGTATCCCTACCAACCGATATACCCGTGAATTGAGTGAATTTACACGTGTTGACATATATATAGGGAGTACGAATTAAACTTGACCATGTTATATGTTAATATTCTGCCTCAACTCACAGCCCAGAAGTCTTACAGAGCACGAGAGGAACTTGTGAAGGAATTCATAAAGTTCTATGAAGTAAATGGGCAATGGGAAGCGTCAGAGCTATCCCTCGTGAGGTGGAAAATTCAACACGAAGCAGGCGCGAATATTGAAAACATTGCCCGAATGGAAGCTACTTTATGCATTGGTGTTCTCTCAAACACCGTTCCATCCCTGTTCTGGCTCACATTTGACATTTTCTCTCGTCCTGAACTCTTGGAAAAGCTTAGACAAGAGGTTTGGGAGAATGCAGTGCACCCTTCCGTCGACTCAGAGGGTAACACTGTTCATTCTCTTGATGTTGCGGACATACGGAACAAATGTACGCTTCTACTTGCCACTTTCCAAGAAATGCTCCGTATACGGTCCAACAGTGCCACGATCCGCACCGTCCTTGAAGACGTCGAAGTAAATAACCAGTATCTACTCAAAAAGGGATCCATGCTACTCCTTCCAGCGCAGTTCCTTAATCTTGAGGGATCAACTTGGGGCTCGGATTCAGCAGATTTCAACCCTTACCGATTCATTGACGGTGATAGGGAAAAAGGTGGCCGCCTAAGATCCAAGGGATATATGTCATGGGGTACATCTCCGAACATGTGCCCAGGAAGACATTTTGCTAGTGGAGAAATCTTACCTGCGGTTGCTATGCTTTTGGTGCGGTATGATATTACACCTGTCGACGGTACTTGGCACCAGCCTTCGATAAATAGAGAGGCAGTTGCAGCGTCGATCCCACCGCCAAAAGAAAGGTTTCTGGTTAAATTTTCAACACGGGAGAGTCAGGATGCAGTAAAATGGGAGTTCAGGCCTTCCCAAGAACATGGAAGATATAAATTGGTTACGGGGTAATAACATTATAGAATTCGGACGGAAAAGTTGATAGTATATATTTGAAAGCTGAATGCAAGGTTGTAATTATCAGTAACATGCTTGCTATCCGTAGTCTAGCTATACGCCCATACTCCATAGTTTGTTGTTGACATTTAGCCTCGGCCTTGGCAGGGACAAAGCTGTCGTGGCTTGGCGTACGTCACTTTTGAGTTTTGTACCTGTAGTTTGTTTAGTGGATCCATAGTCTTTTGAATTTTCCTACTCTTAGAAATAAATACACAAACGCAATTGTACATTCTTATGACTTGCTTTTCCTTCCTTTATCTCTCGTTTCATTCATTCCACCTTATAATACATAGTGGACGCCATTTATCTTCAGTCATTTTTTATCTTTCACTAAATCATTCTGTAGTACTGAATCAACCACTGCAAACGGGGTGTATGAACTGATCACGTAGATGCTTGTACGTGCATCGAGGCAAGCATGGAATATTGGCCACCCGCTCCGGCCCAGCAGAACACCTTCTCACGAAGAGAAATGTTGTCGATTTTGGTTGCGACTAGAATATCGTCGGTATCAGGACCCTGGCCACATTGATAAGTCGCGTTGATACCCCAGGTATAAGCCTTTCCTTCGGAAGTGATGAGAATATTATGATCAGACCCTGCAGCAGCAAAGGTGCAGTTTGGGATTGGTAGTGGAGTGGGCTCGAGTAGGATACGTGGCTTTCCGCGTTCAGAGATAATGATCTGTGGGTCATCGAGGGGTAGAGTGCTGTTGTCAATACCCATTTGAGCGCCGTCCATGCGACCCCAGACAAGGCACTGGCCGTCTTGAGTGATGCCAATTGAATGATGACGTCCGCCTTGAATCATCTTCATCTTATGGCTGACGAGCATGGTTGCTTTCTGTGGTCGAACAATGGTGCTGCCGCCTTTTCCAGCCCCAACGTTAACAGCAGCTTGGCCAAAGTTATTTAGACCCCATGTCCAGGTATCCCCATTGGAGTCGATGGCGAAAGAATGGTCGCTGCCTGCGTGAATGGAAATGATTCTCTTGCTCTTGGGTAGGGCGACAAGGCCGGGAATAAGGCCAATATCGTTGCGTAATTTGTCGATAGAGGCATTCTTGTTACCGGCAGTCTTGCGGCGATCAACTCGAATATGACGGCCCAGCTGGTCTTGTTCGGGGCGACCCCATGAGAAAACTCTTCCCTTGTAGTCAAGAGCCAGGCAGAAGTTGTTACCGGCGCTGATCTGGGTGATTTTCTCGAGGCCAAGGATCCTGATGGGGTCTGGTTGCATTTCGATAAGTTCGCCGTTCCACCATCCGCGTCCTCCCTCGGTGGTCTAGCGGAAAACGTGTTAGACGCTGCCAGATGTAACGGGGAGAGAGTGCAGGTAACTTACCACAAATGTACCCCATCCGTAAACAAAACCATCCTCAGTTAAAGCAAAGGTAGCATTGTCACCTGCAGTCACCTGGCAGAATTTGGTGCCTTCTGGGAAGCTGTCATCCGAAACGGCAGTAGGATTGGCCTCCCGTGGGTTGAGTTCAACTTCATCACTTGCAACAGACTCGTCATCGCCGTCCATATCTTTCAAACCACCGTCCCAGGTGGTCTCGCGCCCAAGGGCAAAGTTGTCGTTGACACCCCAGGTTAGGATATGATTGTCATGGGTCAAGGCAGCTGCGTGCATGCCTCCTGCAATGATATTAACGACTCCAACCTTCTCTGCGTCGAGGTTTGTGTTCAGTCGTGGCCTTTTCACATTAATGGCATTCTTGGGTCCAAGCCCGAGCTCTGCACTGCTACCAGAGCCAAAGACATAGACGTTGAGTCTCTGCTTGGGAATGTTGTTGGAAATAGGAGACTCCGTTTTCTTTGGAGGCCTGGTTTTTTGGACTGCCCCTCGTCCAACTCGTTTGCTTGGGATGCTCTTGGGAGCGGGATCTGCCTTACGACGAGCCATTGTATTGTATAGTTGGTAAAACTGGGAATTTGAGCTGTAGATTCAAGCGCTAGATATTGATTTCTAGAGTGATGATGTTGTATCGAAGACGATATGAGCCGAGAGAGAGGGTAATTTGGCGAACAGCAAATTACTTCGATATAGTAGTTGGGAGGAAGCCAACTACTATATAGTCCGGCGCTCTTCATTGTTCCTATTGATGGTTTTTCCTTGTGTTTCTTGCGCCTTGAGTGTTGTTATTCTGATACTTGGCATCGGCCGAAAACGGCTTAGTCGTGATTGGCCTTGGCAACACTCCCCGCTGAAACTTGTCTTCGTCATCAAAACCAACATCAACGACCAAGATTAAAGGCTGGTAATGTTGGAGGACAAAGGAGACAATGGTGCAGGGCTTATATATACCATAGTCGACATCCTCGCAGGTTTATTCTGAATCTTTAAGCTATTTTCTTATTGATGAAGGACATGTTGTGATCGTCACTGCGCTATTTCAATCTATCTACCCCTGTGTTTTGGTTAGATTCACATCACGACAACTAGATACCCATACCCATACCCATATTCAACGCTATTATTACTACTTTTTTGCCGTGCTATTCATATTACCAGCGAGACATCATGGCAATGCAATACATGAAATCGATTAGGAGGAAACCTGTGGCGAAAACCGAGTCAACACCAACGCCAGCAGCGGAAACACATGGCCCTGTATTGACGGACGAGGATGAGGCATTCCTACACCATGTTGCAACCTCATCGTCTATATCGGGAGGGAGCGATAGCGGTGACAAACAGCCAGGAGCACACAATACCGAACAGGGGAGGGCACTCATTGATGAACCACTGGATGATGATTTGAGACGTTTGGCTGAGGATAGGGGATCCCAGGAGAAACTTGATACCCCTGTTACGGAGCCTGCTGCTGCTACTACGCCATCTTCTGCTTCCACTGATCAGAAAAAGACGGAGAAAGGGCACAAGTCGCACAAGAGCTTGTGGGGTATGCTTAAAGATAGGAAATGGCTGGGAGAGACTGAGAAAGTAGATAAGGGGAAGGGGAAGGATAAAGCGGATGAGGGTATTCCAGCAAGTAGCGAAGTGGCTGGTAAAGAGAAAAGCGAAGAGGAGAAGAAGGAAGATCAAGATTTGTCCAAAGTCCTTGAGCAGTTGAACCTAGCAGCTGTCAACAACCGAGTCTTTTCGATAAGCAGCGACACGCAGGCGCTTCTAGAACAGTTCAAGCAGGTGTTCAAGGACCTGGTCAACGGAGTACCAACAGCGTACCGCGACCTCGAGTCCTTGCTCACAAATGGCGACCAGGAACTACAGAAGAGCTACGCGAAGCTGCCTAGCTTCCTGCAGAAGCTGGTCGAAAAGCTGCCCAACAAGATGACGGAGAAGTTTGCACCAGAAATTCTTGCGGCGGCATCAGCGAAAGCGAGTAAGAGCGGTATAAACATGCAGCATGTGGACAAAGCGACGAGCACGGCGAAGAAGATAGGCCTTGAGGTACCCAACCTGAAGGAATTGGCGGGAAAGCCTGCAGCTCTTGCGGGATTGCTCCGATCTATCATTGCGTTTTTACGTGCAAGGTTCCCTGCTTTGATTGGCATGAATGTCCTCTGGTCTCTGGGACTGTTCAGTACGTATCAACTATGATAGACTTACATTGCTTTACTGGACTAACGGTGCAAATACAATAGTTCTACTCATGGTTCTATGGTACTGTCACAAGCGTGGTCGTGAGGAACGGCTTGCAAGAGAAGCCAGCATGACCGGAGAAGGTGAGAAAACAGAAGGTGAAGAAGCAAGGGTGATCGATGTCACGGACGAGGCATCGCCGTCAACGACGCCAGCAGCTGCATCAGCACCCGTACCAACTACGAGAACAGTAGCAAACACTGAAAACGATGCCCAACTCACAAGGCAGACGGAAGGTCAAGTGCAGGCTCCGACGACGCAGATCGAAGCCCCGACCACCGCCACCTCAGAAGCAGCTGCAGCAGACAAGGAACCACGTCAAGCTAAGGAAGAGGAGAATGTAAAGGTATAGCCGCCGGTAACCAATTGAGCTATGCAAAGCAAGGAATCGCATTGAGAAAGTGGAAGGCGGAAATACCACATCGTGGGGAACGGCTAAGGGTAATATATTTACCATGGAGAGGGTGGGAAAGGCAAATACTATTTTTAACGCATCAATTGAACACGTCAGGAGAAGAAAGGTTGAAATATCCTTCCTGGCGAGCGAGACAGGCTGGAGTTATGTATAGCGGACAGCATTCTATATCTTCTGCATATGTGGAATAGTCTCGGCTACCTGCAGCAGGCCTGTACGTGCATACCTCCATCCCGAGATGAGACCGAGAGATAGAAGTAAGATCGGGTGTGTGCGGTTTCCTCGTTTAGCTTTTTTTTTTTGGTCCCAGTCCACAGAATTAGTGTCAGGTGTTTGGTTTTTATGACGTCTATGTGAAGTGATCCTGCGTACTCATAGCTCCGTAGACTGCAAACAAGCAACTGCTTCTCTGTCGATGTATGGCCAGCGATGTTATTCATCCCACATCTCAGTAGCAGGATCCAGTTCATTATGCACATCATTATCGTCATCGCAGCCATAATCCTTGCCCCATGTTACATACCTCTTTCTCTCGCACCATACGTATCGTATGCATGGAGCAGATGGAATTACAATCCAGCTTCGTCGGACAAGGGATCGAGAAACACGGGCGGTTAGTAGGAGTGGAAATGCAAAAGAAAGGCGGAAAAGGCAGCGAAAGGCTCCACCTCCATCTCAATCTCCGTGTACGGAGCATGTATACTACAGTCATACTGTGGGACTATCACAGTGGATTAAATTGGCAGCCTTCGTCTCCGGTTGGAGTCATGCATGGAAGACGAAAAACAGAGTATCCTCTTTCTTGCTCGTTACCCTCTTTTTCCTCCAAACGGAACCTGTCATCGATTCGCGCGGGCTCGTGTAGATGGGGAAAGGCTGCACGGAATGTGATGTATGCTTCTCGGAGTGCAGAGGGGGTGTTGAACCTGGCCTGGTCTGTACCATTATGTAACTGGTAAATGATGCGTGTAAAAAAAGCCCCGTACCGGGCGGAACGAGTAACATGTCTCGCGCCAGTTTCCCCAGACAGGACCTGATGCTTGAACTTGCAGGGCCCCTGGTCAGTCTCCTGCAACATGGAAACAGCATCTCGCTGGCCGGCCTTCTTGACAAGGTGGAAATAGTGAAGATGCTATCAGGCTGCGAGGGCGATATCGTAGTTAAAAGGGCTGTGGATGACTGTCAGGTCGGCCCATCCACCGTCTTGTAACTTGTACTAGTGTTCCTTGTCCTTTGATGCATGAAGTCGAAGCTGATATCAAAAAGCAAAGACGGCAAAAGAGGAGTCACGTGGAGATAAGTTTTCCGGCAGTAAAAAGACGGTGAAGGGGAGGCTGACCAATCACCGCTTTCCGAAAGGGGAAACACACGCCAAGACTCTCCGCGCGGCAGAAAAATTTCCGGGTTTAAGTTCCTCCGTCACCGACCGCCTCGTCGTGCCGATCTTTGCCCGAAGCAGAAGCAGAGGGTGGTCCCTGCGTTTGCTTTTCCTTTTTCTTCTGCTTCTTCGTCTTCTTCTTTTCAACTTCGACTTCACCAACTTCACGACAAGCAAGCAGCGTCGTTCCTCGCAGACAAGCACCCATCCACAGACACAGAGCCCAGCACCATACCAAATATCGTCGATTGCCCTTTTTCTCTTCTTGCCGTCATGGCTGTCGCTGGACTCTAAATTCTCCCTGCTGGGGGGGCATCGTACCCTCTAAGGGACCCCCCAGCCCGAGATTAGTCCAACGAGCTCAAACAAGAAAAGAAAGAAGAAAGATTCTACCAAATCGACCTCGACGGTATTTGAAGATAACTCTTTCGACGACCCTTGCTTCGTGCGTCGGAATTGCCCCCCTTGATTGCAATTTATTTATCGTAGTGACGCCGCTTTTTTTTTCTCGACCGTTTTTCGCCATCTTCTAAAAAAACCCCTCCATCACCACAACTCTACATCTATACTATACCTCTCTCCCCATACTCCGAGCCATTACCATCTCCTACTCTATACAACCGGATATAGTACCTTGATACTATATACTCTTACCCTCTCCTGCCTATTCCAACGGGCATATAGAGGTTCATTTGACAAGATATAAATTCCCACCTCCAAACTTTAAATCTTGAGACCAGAAAGGAAAAATTTTTACCTCCCTCCGAACATTGACAGCGCAGGGAAAGAGAAACAACCAAGGACGAGTTGCCGAGGATGGGTCGTTCCGGAATAAAGACCGCACGGTCATCGTCGTCGATGTCTCGTTCGAAGCAACGCCGCCAAACGATCAGCGGAAAATCCCGCTCGCCACAGCTCAAGCTTAGGCTGAAGAAGAACAACAAACGCAGAACACTGCCTTCTATCTCGAGTGATGACTCATCGAGTGAAGACATGAATTCTGGTCGTGAGGATGAAGACGACGAAGACGGCGGGGACTCGAGTGAAGATGATGATGAAGATTCCACCCCAGCAGCATTTGCCCCGTCTTATGGTGGCAAGAAACGACTTGGCCATAAGACGGGGCGTACTGGGGGGATTTCTTTGTTGCAGGATAGGAAGCTGAAGCGTCAGCAAGCTGCTGCTGACGAGGACGACGAAGACGATGTACTTTCAGTCAGCTCCGTCAGCTCCGTTAGCCCTGGAGAAATTGATGATTCTGACGACTCTGATGATTATCAGGGCGTTGATGAAGTGAGTGATGGTGAAGATGAAGAGTTGATGTTAGAGAAAATCGAAGAAGAGATCATTCTCGAGTCTGAAAATGAAAGATCTACTTTCACCAGGCTGGCTGGGAGTGTCAGTGGAGGAGACGAGTGGACAGGGCTGGATGACCTTGAGCACCGCCCGTTCTACTCTGCTGGCTCTTTCTTCGATGATGAGCATCTTCTCATGCAGGCTGGAGGCCACAGTGATCCCGTCGATACAGGATTGGCCAGTGAGGCGGCTGAGACCCCTGTTCAACGGCGAGTTCACTTCGAGACGGATGACTCGTCCGACTCTGATAAATCTAGCGATGAAGATGAATTGCTTCCGGACTTCTTGCATCAGGATCAACTTGATCCTGATCTACGACGTATGATCGAGACGGATTCGACTCCCGGGCGAACACGAAGTTCCCATGATCTGTTTATCAACAGTGACTTCTGTGATTTGCCATCTGGTAACATTTATCATGTGGAGGAATCCGAAAACTCGATAGGAAGCTCGAGCGGTTACGAATGTAGGTTCCTTGTTGCTTCTTTCGTGAAGCAGATCAGTCCGTTCTTTTTTTTATCGTTTCTTTTTTTTTTAGTTTCTTTTTTCTCATGACTGACTATCATCTCTTACACTCTGCAGCTGATGATGGCGAAACCACTGATGAGGAGGATTACCTTCCTCTGGCTACCATCACCCATCCCAGGTCCCTTCTCCGCAGAGAGTCGAGTGCTTCGCTCTCCGGAGACGGAGAGGAAGGGAAGGCTGACTCTTGCCCCCCTCAACGAGGACCTCTGAGAGGAACCTTCATTGCTGATCCGCACAAACCCGTTGCTGTTGTTGCTCCCAACGGCAGGCAGCTAATCCTCATTCCTCCATATGCATCTTCCCGCCATGACTGGCTCGAATCCGCTGCTGGTAGTCTAGTTAACACTGCCAACAACTCGCCCCGTACCGGTACGATGAACAACATCGATGACAGTGATACCGATGCACTGGTATCTCCTCGTCACACCGACATGAGCCCTATGCTAAGCTCCAACGCCAATCTTATGATGAGCGCTCTGGGCAATGACTCGGTAGGCCAGGTCATGGGCCCTCCAGAGGCATTCTATCCTACCAACCGCTACTCGATGGATGCCAGTTACGATGAAGAGGAGGATGACAGCGAAGCCATGCTTAACGTTAATGACTTCATCAACTTTGGCGACGGCTCGTCTGATGACGAAGGCGACGACTTGGATGAACCTACATCTCCTGCTGCTGCATCTACCATCGGCTGTCTAACACCAACCCCCCGGCGCCCGTCCGGTACTGCCGCAGACAACGATCAGACTCCCACTCAGGCAAGCAGTGCTGAGCGCCTTCTTAACCACCTTGATCGCGGCATTGTCACTGCGTTCCGTCGTAATCATAATAGATACCAGGCACTGATCCGACTACCTCATCACAAGGAGTTTTTACCCGCAAATTCTCCATCTCAGCCTGCTAGTGCCTTTAAACGCTCGAATCCCCGCACTCCGACGAGGAAGAGACAGGCAAGCACATACCTGAGCAGTGAGGCCGTCCGGCGAAAGCTGGTCGACTCACACCGCAGCAGGAGGAACACTGTTGCTTATTGAAGAAGCATACTGGATTCCAACATGGAACAATGAAAGTTGACCCAAAAGGAAGCACCGATGAAAATAGCAATGAACCATCTACTTTCCACTCTCGCTTGCTATATCATTACCAACACAAGCACACATTCACACTGCCGCCACACCTTTCCTCCTTCCTCATCTCTCCGATTTGATGTCAGTGCCAGAGTTGACTTTTTCGATATTCAGTTGAATACTTACATTATTATCCTTGCCTTGCCCCTGTTTCCCCTCCAGTTCTTTTCAGCCATGTCATATCATCTTCTACGATAATGACCAATGATCTCATGAACCAACTCCCTACCCCTCGTCTACTCTTTGTTTACACTGTCATCCATATGCCCGAATTTTGTGAGTGTTCTAATGAACGAGCCAAACCACATGTCACCGGTATAAACGAACACAACGATAATCTGCCACTCTCTATCCACCCCTTCGTCCCGCCCTTCTCGAAAACTCTACCGTTGTGACGCCGTTGTTTATACCCACATGTGCAGTGCGCTGTCTACATATACTCCATCAACGAGTCTTGTCTATCTAGTGATTTGTGTGTGTTGTCTCTATTTGTCGAGCGCCTCGAGTGTCGCCGACTAACTGAATGATAGGAAAAAGAATGAAAGAAAAGCAACCAGTTATGTGTTATGTGAGGGAACCAACAGGAAAGGAATAAACCGCCCTGGCACTCCCCAAAAGCAATTGCCTTGTAATTGATTTACTGTTTTTGATCACAAAAAAAAGTGTTATAAGGTCAAAGTTCTTGCTTACCATTCGTCGCACTTCTTTTCTAATGTTTACTCCTGTTTGATATAGGACTTCACCCTGTTTATTGTCTAGTTCTTTCTAATAGTCATGCATTTTCTTATCTTTGCCCATGGCTTCCCGTAGTTTCCCTTGCCCATGCTTTCTTGCTTGGTCCCCTTCTTCCGGCCCAGCCTGGCTGATGGTGTCTTGTCCTTTTTGACCAAATACAAGATCAATTGCTAAGCAGGCGAACCTTGTCGAGTTCCTCGTCTCCGCGTACAGGTGGGAACAGTTCGTAGAATTACCCTCGGTCTGGGGAGCATCCATATCCCGAATCTCATCCCACACCTCCTTTCATCCCTCTCAAGGTCATGGATGGCCTCACGCCTCTGCCCACAGACGGCCAGAACTCGGACCTATCGGGAAAGGAGACAAGAGGATCAGAACACCGTGAGTTGGCCCCGTAGTCTCGCCAGAGTTCTCGCTACCCTGGCCTATGCCGAGCCCCAGACGTTACGTACAGATCATATCGTGATTGAAAACACGCCCCTTGGCCCGTTTGCCCGAAGCACAGGCCTAGAGCAAACACTTCACCAGCAAGGGGCAAAAGTCTCAGAAGGCCACGAAATGGGGAATTGCCTTTGAGAGCGGCCGGACTTGTTTTCCCCAACCGGCCGATAGTCTCCTTCATGCTGAAGATGGCAGGCGGCCTGTCCGGAGATCCGGTGGGAAAACAAGGCGAGTCAACCTGATGAGCTGATGTGCTGCCGACTTTGCCATCAGCGTTGCTCGGCATACAACAAAGAGCTTCGTCAAGGGATGGCTCGGGGGTACATATGTACGGTTTGTTTGACACCCTGTGCGCTTGAGCGCATGGAAGGACATGCCTGGCATGCATCTCTACGTGTACTCTGCCGGCAAACAGAGACGGACTTGACTTTCTACTTCCATAGCTAGCTACCTTGTTAAACACTTAACTAGTTAGCTAGCCTAGAAGTCCAGCGTTTCTTCGGCTCCTAGAGCCCCTCGCTCGGCTGTCCGTGTTTTGTCTTGTGAGCTGTCGTTTGGACCAGGAGGTGATCAGATATGCACGTCGTATAGTTAGTAGAGACGGAATAGCCTTCCACCATTGCGTTTTTGAGTTAACGAGGGATCTGTACCTGGATCTGAATCTGGAGAGGCATGCATGCTACCCCCCTTGTTGTTGGACTTACTGTTCATGCGATATATAGTTTTCGTGGTAGTATCCTAGTTAGCTAGTCAGGGGTAACTCCTGTTTGATATCTGTAGATCGTTCCATGGAAACGAAAAGCTAGGATGGTTGTTTCTGTGGAAGGATATGGCCCGCCCTTGCAGTTACATCTGATCACAGTTCAAAACTCCGAAGAGCCTAAGGGGCTGGAAGCAGATCTTGGTACCTCAGGCATGCTTGATATTGTGGGTTGTGGGCTAGTTATGCGCAGCTACGATCCCTAGCAATTAAACTGATGACAGGAAACGGTGGTATCACTTCAGATACCCGCGTCGTCTATCCAGTTCTGACAGTCATAGTTATCTAGTTCGTCCAGATCGATCTTCACCACGCCATTCTACTGCCTTTTCGGAGGAGGGATGGAAGCGCACGCGTCTTTAAAATCAAAGTAATTCAGGACTCCTACAGTACATATGGATTCTTGGCCCTTAAACGATACGGTCTCGCCTGGCTCTTCCTTCTTCTCCCTGACCTCGAAATGGAAGCTGGTGGAGAGAGTCCTGTAGAAATGTATCCGCCTGTAGTTCGGTTGATTTCGATGAAGAGGACGTGGTGGCCTCGTCGTCCGTTGTCCGAGCCGTAGGCTACTCGATATACTCTGTGCCGTGGTTTCATGGGACTTGACCTGTCATTCATATCATGAAGTAAGAATATAGAGTTCACATATGATATATCCGATATCTCTTGATAGGTTGGTTGGACAACAGCATATGACAACCTTTGTATATCGAGTTCTGTTTCTAACTTATCTTGGAGCTGTGGATAAGATGCTGTGTATGCCTGTCGAGGGTTATTTCTTGGGGGACGCTTTCACTGCTGTATTCCTTTCAACATGTTATACCCAATATCGTGTAGTTAACCATTTCTTGTAGTTATTGCGCAAAGATATTTCTTTGGTGCGGCTGCCCTCCGCTGTAACTACTTGCATAGACTTAACTGGCTCTCTCGCCTGATTGGCGTGTATAGCAACGGTTTGTCTTCTACCATTATATCAGAGGAGTATGTTTGAACAAGTCACAGATCGTAGTTGATAACTATGGAATGAATTTTTTTCGAAATGAGACAAAACATTGATACGCATATTGACACATCGGCAAAAAAGAGAAAACATGTACATACGAAAAACCAGTACCCGTGCCAAAACTATCCGCAAATTGAGTACCAGCTCTCATCAAACCCACTTCAAATCCTCTGGTCTTGAAGCTTTCACAGCGTCATCCAGCCAGTCCTGACAAGCATACCGAGGCTCATTTGTGTTGATTTTGACCGTATCATAGCATTGTTTCTTTGGGGGCGGAATAGAGCGGCGAGTATCTTTGAAGCCCGGATAGTTCAAGATACCAACAGTGCCAATCAGCTGTTTCCCTTTGAAAGACCTGGACAAGTCAAGGGTAAAAATAATGGAGCTTGTAGGAATTTGTGCCTTTCGAGGGTGGAGAGGGCGCAATGGAGATAAATTGGGAGGGCTTGAAGAGAGTATCCGTATAGATTTAGCATGACCACCAGTTGATTCGTAGAGTGTATTCGGTCCCATGTCATGGCAGTGACGTTAGAAAACGGTTGGTCACAAGAGAATGGAAAACGGGTACCCCAGCGCTGAACATTCAGCAATGATTGTCAAGACAGACACAGACATCCAATGATTTAGCGCCCATATGCAATTCAACATTCCATACCATCATATCGCTTTCAATAGAACCATATCAATTTCAAGGTTAAAATTAGTGAACGGGTAGTTAAGGTTAACTGAGCAATCAGGCACAATATTCAATCCCATCAAGTAACTTAGGTACCTACCTGGTAGATAGCTGGTTACCTTTCAACCAACTGGATTTTCGACATGCGAACAGCGCTCGAAACCCTGCCTGGATACAAGATAGCCACTCCAAGGATCTGAGTGTAGCCAGATATACATACTGGGTACTAGCGAAGAGTGCAACTAACTGTCATTTCAGAGCCCATTTTATAGCTGGAGGTAGTGGACTTGACCAAGAGAGTATCCCTCACAACCGCCAAATACTCCGTCGCGCAATGATGGAGACACTCGTTGGTATCCCGTATACCGTGCCAGACTTTCCTGGCCCTCCTCCTACCCAAGCTCAGATTCATACGGCGCCGCTTCTTTCACAGCGTGCGGATATCAAAATCGTCCAAATAGATAATGAATACGCCGTTAAATATGGCCCGGCCGTGCAGTTCCCCTTCTCCGAGGGCCAAAATACCATCTTTGTCAGAAAGCTCACCAGTGTCCGGGTCCCAAAGATCTATGCCTTGTACAGCATGGACGATGGCGAAATTGAAGATGTTGACTCTAAAGTGGAGATTAACTACATGGTCATGGAATTTATCGAGGGCCAAACGCTGAAGACGTACTGGGAAATACTCAGCACTGATGAAGAAGAGTATATCGTAGCAACCCTCAAGGGCTACTTTACAGAACTACGCTTGCTGCCATCCCCAGGATGCTATGGCTTTCTCGGACGTCAGCCTTTCCGAACCATGATATTTGAAAGCGTGGAACCCAACCCAACGATAAACGGGCCATTTGAGACGGAAGAAGACTTGAACGAGGCGATAATTCTCAGCTATGCGGCTCGTAGGCCAAGAGAGAGCTGCGTTTATGAGACGAACATTGGTGTCAAGTTTCCATGGCCATGAGCCTACATTTACACATGCAGACCTGCAGTGCAAGAATATCATTGTCAAAAAGAACGATAACCCGAATACAAGTGGGACAGGCAGAATGTATGAAGTCGCTGTGATAGACTGGGAGGAGGCTGGATGGTACCCTAGTTACTGGGAATATACTCTCGCCGCACATGCATCGGACTGGGAGAACGACTGGCCAAACTGGCTGCCGAAAATGATGGATCCGTATGATCTTGAGTTTGCGTGGATTGACAATATGCATATGTCGTATTATGGTGGTCTTTAAGAGAGCTGACGTTTCCCTCCATTTCCTCCTGCTCCCATTCATATCAATGCGCCTCTCTCTTGAAGTGTTGGGTCTCCAGATATATAAGGACAATAATAAGTACTCACACCGCACAGTATTACGCGTCTCGAGCCGTTCTCCAACTGCTTCGTATCGCCTTGAACAGCCTGTACTGTACTCCATAGCAGCAAGGCTGAATGGCAGCTTCACTTTTCCAACACATAAAAGGCATGACGTCGAGGAGTCTGTTGTGTTGGAAAGTGCCATAAGCCGAAGGATGCTTAGGCACCATGACTGTCTTGCACGAATGCCCACTTGGAAGCCCCTTTATCTGACTGATGTTGACATGATTAACTAATAGTTTCGGAGAATTTTCTGTTCGGAGAGGAAAAATTTTTTCCGCTTATGGAGAACATCGCGGAAGGAATGACGAAGCTGACAGGTGGGTGGGAAACTGAATTCCTTTGAAGGCCGATTGGAAGACGCCGGTGCGACATTTTGCGGCCCAGGGGTCTCTGCGACACTAGGAGTCAGGGCTGCGAGCTTTTATGCACTTTTTACCCATGGCTTGGTTTTGGGTCACATGCAAGGGCGCATCTATGTTTCTAGGTACACCGGCAGTTTGGGGAAAGTTCGTGGTACAGTGTCAGACATTACAACAAATACCTTTGAGTCGGGAATGACTGTCAGAGAAGCAGTAGGGTATTGCGGAACTCATTCGATAGAATGAGGATGATGGGCCATCTATTTATATATGGGTATAAGATAGATGTAATAAGGAGTATTCCAGGTCAATATATCACTCTGTTAAGAAGAGGGGGCTACTTTGCACTATTGGAATGGCGGGTCTGCAGCCGAGACCTATCCAGGGGAGCTCGGGGATACCGGAAAAGCCTTATAAACCCAGGCAGCATAGAAGATATGTGCTGCAATAACGGTCCACCTCGAAGAGTGAGAGGCGCCCTTTCTAGACCTTGCGATCAACAGGATATCTCGACACCGAAGCTGGGTATCCTGTCCTCAGCTTGGGCAAATGGGAGTTATCTATGTATGTGCGGATGTCATCTGACGACCAGGGTATCGAATAAGAGCAATTCTGCCCCTGCCAAGTAAACGTTGCGGATAAAGTCTCCCGTGGGAGCCTTCTTTACCAGGCACAACCAGGTCTCCGCACAAATATGGACCGGTGAACCATAAGGAGATATACATAACGTGTATGAATAATACCTTGCCTCGGCAGGGGCCTATTTTGGCTCTAGTGTCCGAAATACTGCAGCGATTCTCTTGTGGATGTTGACATGACCATCTAGCAGCGAACCTCAAACTTCCATAGGGAGTAGTTACTCCGTACACCATAGACGAATAAATATTTACACCAGCAAACCCGGTCCGGTGTTGAATAACTAGTAGGTACTTCGTACTGCGTAAGCTCCCCCGCCTAACTCGCGTACTTCTGACGATTAGAGTACGGCGTAAAGTGAAAAAGAATGCTGTGACCTCCGCGCGTGGCTGTGTAGTTAGTTGAAACGTGCTTTGCAGTACGGAGAAAGTCCGCCCGAGGAAGATAGCGGACAGGCACAGGTCTAGGCAACTTGGTGTGTTTGCTAGGAGTCTTCGGCAGATGGGAAAGACTTTTTGGTTCCTGCTTAAGGTTTTGGGAACCACTGCACAGGAGGGCCCATTGATCTACCCCGAGTCAGGGACAAGGGGAGAAGTTTCAGGAATGAACTAACTACTTCCTGCGCTCGAGCTGGGAAAGAGAGTTATTTTTTTTTTTTCCGTTGCATCAGGTATATCCAAGACCTAGAGAGGATTTCTTCCCTGCTGTGGCTCAAACGCCGAGTCGAGAACCTTGGAAATTCCAACCCTTCTAGCGAGGTTGTGAGCTAGACACTTCGTAGAGAAGGTGTTCTCCATAGCGGTGGAGAGGAAGAAGTGTTCTGCGAGGATACGAGATCCTAACGACCGATCGCAAGATGTGGCGAGTATTCTCCGTGGGCTAGGCATACAATCAATCAATGGTCGCTTGTGCCATCCGCCCTTTTTTCCTTTGCCAGATCCTGCACCCTCAAGAGAAACAAAAGTCGTCTCTAGGTCGTAATTCTCAGCGGCATATTGCGTAGTTAGAATAATTAGAATATGGACAGTTGGACAGACGTTTTGGGCGATATGCTGACAGGCGGCATGCGAAAAAACCGTCGGAGAGCGTGGCGATAGGACAAGCCAACAGTATCTTTTCCCCTCTGCGCAGTTTCACAATGAGACCTGCTAAGAATCAAGCTTCGTTGGGTGGGGGAGTGATGGCCGGCGCTAAAAAGGGGCAGCCATGCGGAATGGAGCAGCGTCACCCGTGAGATTCCGCAAGAGTGCAGCGGCAGCCAGAAGCCACGCTCGTCATGGAGCCAGGCAACTAAACAGCACCCCTCTGCCAGTCGACCTGTAGCGGCACCCAATTCAGAACCGAATATCAGGTTCCAATTATGCCCAGCTGGAGCAGAAATACAAAAAAAATATAATCATGTGCGGAGCTGATAATCGACCGGTTCGCCTGTGATGTGCGCCAGGCATCTTCTAGCCGCCGGATCGCCCGCCTGCAGCTCGACGTCGACAGCGACAACCGGGCCCTCACTGGCTCAGAGGGCGTAATGGATGAGCGGCTAGCGGCGACTTTGGTATACCTGAGTTTGCGCGGTAAACTCTAAGCGACGAGAAGTAGCTGGAAGTACATGCTTAGTCACCAATCCCCTTTAGGGAACTTTCGACGTCTTCCCTTCGACCTCATCTTTTCTTCTTCGCATCATCAACATCAACATCAACGTCACTCTTAACGACAAGACAGCGACGTCGCCGCCAACAATAACAGGAAGACGGGGAGACGTGGCTGTAGAGAGTCATGACAGTACTCCCTACAGGCAGGCGGCGTCGGGGATGCGCTGGGCGACGTCGCAGCTGGCGGTGACGAAGACGGTCTCTGCTCTTCATGCTCATCCTCCGTCCTCAACCCAAGTGTTTCACTGCTGGTTGAACCAATTACGCCCCCAGAAGCGGCATTTAACCTCGGTGAATCGCCTGATGGAGACGCATATATGCTAATTTTAGCCAGAGGAGACGCTCTTGGAGGAGAAAAATAAGCAGAAGAGACAAAAAAAGCAAGAAAATTGCCCCTAGCCCTGTGCACTTAGCCAGATGCAGTGGATGGGTGCTTAATGCATGCAACAATCCACTCCCTTAAAACCAGCAGACTCGGCCCCTTGCTTCTCAATGCATGACCGCCGGCGGTTATGAGATATGGCAAGCCCGCTGTCTGCTTGGAGGATGTTCTGCTCGTTGCTTTTGCCGTAAACCTACTTGGGAATGGCCCAAAACAACCCCGGCGCTTCACCCCGTTATGGGATAGGCCCATGTCATACCATACACGCTACGCTACTTGGGATTCGGACTGATGCAAGCTCGCTTCCCCTGTAAGTCCGCCCACTCCGGCGCGAACTTTAGGCTCCAAAGCTACTACTAAGTGCAACGCTCCATCTTGCCTACTATACCCATACCACTCTATACTATGCTCACTCCCAGTCGGGCAGCACGAAACAAACCATCGACTGAGGAAGCAACAGTGGGGAAACCTGAGTCCCCCTTTTCCTTAGCTGTGGCAACCCTCGTCAACGCTAACACCCTATAGGCGGGCGGCGCTCTTTCAATGCAAAACGGAAGGGCGGGAAAACAGCATGCCCTCACACTTGCTATACCCGGGCTCGTGGGATATTAAATGTCCATCAAAGTCCCCCTCGATTTGCTTGATCTTTCCATCCTTCTCTCCATCATCCTTTACTTTCTCCTTCTTCCCCCTACCCACCCTCCCCCTTACATTCTTTATTTACTTGCCTTAATTTTAAGGCTCATTATCTCTTCGAGAGATAATAGCTACCGTCGCTACTCTTACTTATTACTCTAATCTTAATATCGCTGGCTCGAATTATATTAGTGCCGCCTCTCATTTTGACTCGACCTTTTACATTTGATTCACACATTCACTACTCAACTTTTACTCGCCTTTCATCATGAAGGCTTCCATTGGAGCCTTGGCGCTCCTGTTGGCCCAACAGGCCTCCGCCGCCTACATCCCCAGCAGCAAGATCCAAAACCTCAATGGACGCTCTAGTGGCGGAGAGGAATGCTCAGATGGTCACTGCGGCGGTGGCATCGGAGGTGGCATCGGAGGTGAAGTCGGCGGTGGCATTGGCGGTGAAATCGGCGGTGGCATCGGTGGTGACATCGGTGGTGGCATCGGTGGTAGCATCGGCGGTGGCATTGGCGGCGGCATCGGCGGAGGTATTGGTGGTGGCATCGGCGGAGGTATTGGCGGCGGCATCGGTGGTGGTATCGGTGGAGGAGGTGACTGCCACGGTGATGACTGCGGCGGAGATGACTGCCCAGACGGCCATTGCGGTGGAGATGACTGCCCAGATGGTCACTGCGGTGGTGGCATCGGTGGTGAAATTGGAGGTGGTATTGGCGGTGGCATCGGAGGAGGCATTGGCGGAGGTATTGGCGGCGGCATCGGTGGTGGCATCGGTGGTGGTATTGGCGGTGGCATCGGAGGAGGCATTGGCGGCGGCATCGGTGGTGGTATCGGTGGAGGAGGTGACTGCCACGGTGATGACTGCGGTGGAGATGACTGCCATGGTGATGATTGCGGTGGAGATGACTGCCCAGATGGTCACTGCGGTGGTGGCATCGGTGGTGGCATCGGTGGTGGCATCGGCGGAGGTATTGGTGGTGGCATTGGCGGCGGCATCGGTGGTGAAATTGGAGGCGGCATCGGTGGTGGCATCGGTGGTGGTATTGGCGGTGGCATCGGAGGAGGCATCGGAGGAGGCATTGGCGGCGGCATTGGTGGTGGCATTGGTGGTGGTATTGGCGGCGGCATTGGCATCGGCATTGGAGGAGACGTAAGTCCTTTCCTCCCTATCACTCTTATCAGTCATACTAACAATGTGAACAGTGGTGGGGAGGTCCCCCAGTCTGCTTCCCGGTCCCAGACAACACTCCCGTTGAATGTACCCCTGAAGAGGAAGGCGGCTTCGACTGGAGCGGTCTCATTGAAGGTGCTTTCCAGTTCTTCGGTGGCTTCGACTTCTCCGGCTGGACCTGCAACCCTAACTTCAACAAGCCTGGCTGGAAGCCCAAGTTCAGTCCCAAGTGTATCACTGCTACTCTCGGATGCGAACCTGAAGGCAACCTGCCCACGATCTCCCGACCCGGCTCTGGCTTCTCTATCGAGTCTCTCGAGGTCTCTGCCGAAGTTACTGTTGATGTCGTCTTCCTTTATACCATGCGCGATGGTTCCGTTTGCCGTCAAGTCGAGACCTGCGGACCAGAGGGTGTCCTTGTCCGCAACAAGCAGTGCGGTGGTGCTATTGACGTGAAATTCCATCTCGCAGTCCACAGCAAGGTCAAGGTCTGCGTGGTTGCTATCCACAAGATCAACTTCGTTTGCGGCCCGCCAACCATCCCGACCATCTCTATCCCGCCATCACAGACGCACACCGTCCCATCTACTGGTATCCCAACCTCCGCACACCCAACTGTTCCAGCTCCCAGCTCCAGCGTCATGACCAGCGACTCCCCAGTCACTACCCCTGCTCCTTCCCTGACCACTTCCACCGTCTACACGACTTCGATGATGACCATCACCAGCTGCCCACCAGAAGTCACCAACTGCCCTTCAGATTCCACCACAGTTGTTACTTCTACCATCCCTATCTCTACCACAGTTTGCCCAGTTTCTAGCACCTACACCCCCGTTCCATCCACTGGTCCCAGCTCCAGCGAGCACGGAGGTATCCCCGGTGAAACCAGCTTCACATCTGGTGTTGAGCCAACTTCTACTGGCCCTGCTCCTGTTCCTACCACATGGGTCACTCACTCCACTTCTACCGTCTACACTACTTCGATCATGACCATCACTAGCTGCCCACCAGAAGTCACCAACTGCCCTGGCTCTACTGGAGTTGTTACTTCTACAATTGCTATATCCACAACTGTCTGCCCTGTTACCCTCACCCAGACCGCCCCAACTGAGGGTGTTCCAGGCCAGACTCCTGTCCCATCTGCTCCAGGTGCTCCAGGTGCTTCTACTGTTCCTGGCCAGCCCGAACCATCTGCTCCAGGTGCTCCAGGTGCTTCCACTGTTCCCGGCCAGCCCGAACCATCTACTCCCGGCGCCCCAGGTGCCCCTGTCCCAGTTCCATCCGGTCCTGGTGCTCCGGGCGCTACCACTGTTCCTGGCCAGCCTCCTGTCCCATCTGCCCCAGGCCAGCCAGTTCCATCTGCTCCTGGTGCTCCAGGCCAGCCTCCCGCTCCACCTCAGGCACCAGTCCCCTACCCACCGGTTGTTCCCAAGTGTATGACCACCTGGATTACCCTGCTTAAGTGTAAATCCAACAGCGACACCGAGTGCTTCTGCCCATCCCCTGATTACGTTAAGATGGTTATCGACTGTATCGTCTCCTGGGGAGCCGATGACAAAGAGGTCCAAGCTGCCCTCACCTTCTTCGCTGGTATCTGCGCTTCTCATATTCCCGGCAATCCTGCTATCATCACTGCGATCCCAACAACCGTCGTCATTGGCCCAACTGCTGTACCCAGCGGCCCAGCAGCTACTTCGATTCCACAGACTACTGTCACAATCACACCACCTTCCAACGGCACTGCCACTAGCATGACGGTCACCATTCCCATGGTTACCCTCACTCCATCCTCTGTGCCCGGCGGTTCCCCAACTGTCATCTTGGCTCCTGGCGTTCCTGCTTCCACTACTGGTGGTGGTGTCTCCCCAACCGAGGTTCCTGGCAGTGCTCCCGCACCCGGTGCCCCAGGTGCCACTCCACCATATGGCAGCACTGGCTTCATGACTGTCCCCCCAACTGGTGCTGTTCCACACCCTACTTCCACAACCGAGCCCTACATCGGCGCTGCTTCTGGCCTTGAGGCTCTCTTCTCCCAACGGGTAATGATGGCCATCACTGCCGTTGTCGGTTTGATTCAGTTCGCCCTCTAGGTACCTAACCTTTAGAGGCACATAATTGCCTGGCGCAGCCCGCCGATCTCCTATATGTTTACTATTATCTCATGTCTTTGTCAATGTCTTGTTTTATATTTTTTGGTCTAGCCAAGACCATCAACTAATAGTTCTATTGTCCTGCTAGACTCAAAATCACATTCTTTGTCTTATCTTTCAAGCTGACTATCTTTTGGTTTCTTGTCACTTGTTTTTTTTTAACTCGTATCAGCCATAATGCCCTTTCCACCAATAGAACAATATTCCCGGGGCTTATGTTGCTAGTTATCTGTTCTAGATGCCCCTTGAGCTGGCTAACGTCCGTCCACGGGAAAATCTACAAGACCGGGAGAAGTTCGAAATACCATTTGACAATATTGAAATAGATATATCACTGACTACGCTTGCCATTGAATATGAAACTCTCTGGGGGTATGACGACGGAGGTAAATAACAACTTCTTGCCAGACAGGATCTTATGTTGATTTGAATATCGAGACTGGTTACTCCGTAAACTCGACTTTAAAGCCGTTGATTAGTCATATAATTACATAAGTAGCTGTAACTAATTACCACGTGACTATACCTTATTTCCACGACTTCTAGTTTGGTATCAAGAATGAAAAAGCGACCACCGTCTTGACCGGCACCGACAGAAGTGATAAGAGAATTATACGGGTCATATTCAACAGTATACAGAGATTAAATGACAAGACGATGTGGTTTCTTGGCCATGTGCCTATCCAAAGACAAAAACTCTTGTCTCAATGCTCTCACGGGGCTGTGCTCCAGCAGGGGTTCGGGGGTCAGCAAACGAAGCATGGGGTGTTCTCCTTGCTACTGCGTCCACCTTACTGTCCATGATCATGAATGCTAGCCTATCCTCATTTGTCATACCAGACCAATAATACCATTTGTGCGCGGGGTTGTACTTCAGCATCTGGGTCTCGCTCTTATAGTTTGGATACCGCAATTCGATGCGCACCAGGTCGTCATCTGGGACCGAGGACGGCGTAGCGACAGCCAGTGGGTATGATTGTACTGTGCCATTTATTGGCCTCCAAATGTTTAGCACCCGGTATCGATCCTTGAGGAGCTCTGCTACTTCCTCCGGTGGGAAGAAGAGGCCTATAGCTTCGTGGGTTGATGTGAGCGTTTGATCAACGTGGGCACTGATCAACGGGGGGTGTTCAGCGCCAGGTCGAGAGCGGCGGACAATATGGTTGAAGATGAATATGCGTTTGGCCTCGGGGAAAAGGCCACGGACGAATTTCTCGACTTCCGGGTACCAGACGGACTTGATGTTTTCTTCATCAGTGAAAGACTGGTCTGCGGCCGATGGGACGTTGGATATGCCTTGGAAGCCATCCCTTTCAAGCAGGTACTCGGACTCTTTACCGCGGATGTCGGTTACGGAGATTTTCTGGGTGCTTAGAGGGTAGTTGGGCGTTGTCCCGCTCTTTAGATGGCCCTCCATAAGATTGAAGGGTGCCGATCCATCTTCAGGATACTCAAAAAACTGCATTGGCGCTTCTACATCGCCACGGGGTATGAGGTTGGCATCGTTTTCGACGATGACCTTTGGATCAGCTGTGGTTGTGGTGGCGGTAGCTGACATGATCAATTGCCTGGATGAGTAGCGGTGAAAAGGCAAAAGAGAGTGCAACAGCGAAACAGGACCTGACGTATAATCAGCTGCGAACGAAATCTGATGAGATGAGAGTAAGAAAGAGTGCGATATACGCTCTACATATATATAGGGGAGTTTCCTCCTGCTACCCGCTGTACGTTTACAGGCCTACCTTGTCACTTACCTACATCAGCTATTGGTGGCCATGCAGTCCACCTTGCAAGCTGCATTCAGAAGCACCCATGCGCCTCGCATGCGCATATGCCAAGGAGCGACTAACACAAGCGAGCTTCTCCTCGAAGGCAGCAAAGATATTAAAGGAATATTTCAAGCTAGTAGTGACTGCCGGGAGGTTGACGCTACTCCGTACCTCAACCAAATATCCTGCCTTGAGGAACCAAAAATTGAAGTCAAGAACACAAAATATTGAATCTCCTGGCCGAGAACGGGAATGTACTCCGTAGCCCCCCTGCCTTAGTACCTTCGATATCTCCCCCCGCAGGGTGCAGAGTCCGGAGTACAGAGTACACAGGTTAGAAATCGACCAGAGACGCTCGCACACCCTTCCGGGATTCGTGCAGAACCAGAGTACACTTACGTGGGCATGAGGGGAAACGGGAAGAAGTCGATCCGAGAAACAATAAAGAATGTTCTTGATTAACTCATGCAGAGGATTACATCAAAAGGTACACACAAAGACCTATCGCTTAAACCAAAGAATCGCGCAACGCCGAGTCTGGAAACAATGACGATCACTCCATATTTCAACGACAAATAATCGCCCATTGTCTTATCCTCTTAGCGTGTCGCATGGCATGGCATCCCATGTACTAGCATGCAGGTGTAGCTAATGATCTACCCAACAGCACCCTTGTTTGCCCATAATCGAAGCCAAAAAAAAAAAAAAAAAACAACAGGGGGGGCAAATGGGGGAAGAAATTGAAATGAAAAGAGGATTCCGCCTGTAGTGAGATTGTATGAGCAACGCCTATAACACTTGGATCATGCCACCGGTCCATAAAGGTAGAAATAAAGAAAGGGGAACAAAGAAAGGAAGAAGAAAGAAAAACTCCCTGGTATATCCCTGCCATTCGATCGTGAAGTACTCCGTTAACCATGGGAATAATTATGATTTTCGAGGAGCAGCCCGGACCAGATGAACATCCATGGTTGGAGGGAAGTCGGGGTGCAAAGAGCCGACTTTTGGGGGGTTGTTGTTGTTGTTGCGAGCAGGAGGTTGCTCGTCATCTGAGCCCATGAGGGTAGTCAATAAACTGTTGACTAAACGAGTATCAATCCATCCTGGCGGTTTTGTGTTCCTCAGCCGCTCGATACGTGCCAGGTCGTCTTCGATCTCCTCCGGCATGAGGGCAGGCGGGGTTGGAGCGCTTGACGATCCGTTTGGCCGCTGATGATAGCTACCCAGGATATAGTATGGAAGGTTTGTGCGAGTAGAGTTTTTCTCCGTTAATTCTCCGAGAAGGTTCAGGGCGCCTGTGCCATTAGTGCGTGTGGAACGAGTTGCGTGGACGTTCTGGCTTGCCGAGCGTTCCATATCGGCTGCTCCAGGCGTAGCATCTTCCTGGCTGCTTGCATCGCCGGAACCAGATACCTCGTCCTTGTCTATAGGTTGTCCGTTTGCGTTCTGGTTTGCTTGTTTGGCGCGCTTGGAGGCAGAGAGGAAGTGGACCGCGGCAACGTGGGCGGCATTGCTATGCATGGCCAACTCCTTCTCAGTGAACAAAGACAAGATATTGTATGCTGGTGCATTCTGCTGCTGGGTCAGTTTCGACTTGGCTCGGTCTGCAGGGGTCGACAAGCCGTCATGGTTTGGAGACGCGCTGAACTCTTCGTCTATAGCCTTTCTCTTGCGTTTATTGATTGGTTCACTCATGATTCCGCCTCCGATGTCGTCTGCGTCGAGTCTATGTCGCGTGTGTCTTGTCTTTCGGTTGCCCTGGATCCCACCAGGACTGCCAGGGTTGGCTATGCTGAACTGGTTAGGGTGGAGAAGCAAGGCGTTGGTGTCAGCGACGTCCAACTGTTCTTTCTCTCGCATAAGCCGGTTTTTTCTATGGGAGACCGACTGGACTAGTCGTTCACGAATAGTCTCTGTGAGCCTCTTGTACTCCTCGGCGGCGAGCTGGATTCGGAAATCTCGTTCTTGTTTGATGCGATTCAAACAATCACGATGTCGGTTCTGTTAAAAAAAAAAAGAATGAAAGTGACATCAGAAAAAGGAACTCTTTTATACAACGCTCAGTCAAAGAAAGGAAAAGAAGTTTCCAGTCACAAAAGTGCCGGAACTTACCATCATAACAGCCAATTCTGCATCCCTCTCTTCCTTACTTCGATTGATCTCCTGAACGAAATTTGAATACCATCTTCCGGAGATTGGAGTGTCAGAAGTTATCTGCCCACTGGCAGCCAACTGTGTCAATTGTTTTGCAACGTCTTCCGGAGAGTCACTGATGGGCCAATCCTCATAGATCTGTGCGTTCGAGATCAAGGCCATCTCATTCTGCAGTTCATGAACCCGTTGCCGGAAATGATAGTCTCTATTATTCCCAAAGGCCTCCTTCAACTCGTTCACTCTATCCTGGAGGGCATTGCGTCGCTTATCTCTCTTGGAAAGTGGAAATTGGCCTGGAGGTGGGGTGTCGGTGTAACGAGCTGTCGAAGGCCCGGCAGCTGCCGAGGGCGATGCTGGAGCAGCTGCAGGGTAGGCCATTTCGCGGAAGTGGTCTGTATTCTCACCAGGCGAGTAAACACTGGTTCCTGGTGCGGGACAAGGTGGTTCGTCAAGGGGCGTGAGAAGGCTGGGGCTATTGACAGCTTGGAAATTAGCAACAATCTTCAGTCGAATGAAGCATATACCGCACGGTATATAGAGGAAACAGCTGAGGAGAGTATGTTTTGTCGAAGGGAAGGTAGAAGAAAATCTCACCTGTCTAGATCTACACAGCCAACACCGGCGATAGAAAAAAATCTTTTCAAAAGCAGTGAGAATGGTCAGAGTACCAGAGCAGAGAAATTTCACCCTCGTATTACGACTGAAGGATATCTGCAGCCTTCCAACTAGCTATCAAGTCTCGTTGCAAAGTGACGCTAGATTGATAGATGCAGGTATGCGGCTAACAATGTAGAGTGTCAGCGCGGCGGCTGACAGGCTCGTCTGGGGAGGCCTGTATCTTTGCGAGATAGCAACAGATGTGAGTAATGCCAGTATATAGACACGCACTGTCACAATATCAATGCTAGGGGAAGGAGGTAGGAGGTTGCGAGGTCGAGAGGCCGAATGGAGGGCGGAAACAGTGAGAGGCGCAACTTGGGGGTGTTTGGCTTGCTAAAGGCGGCAGAAATAGAAAGCAACCGAAGTAAAGGCAGTGAATCAGAAGCCACAGCAGGTGACGGGGGAGTCGGCGGGACAGGATTCCGGGTTCGATGGAGTGCGATACATCCTCTGGCGCTGGCGGCTGCGGTCTTCTTCGTCGTCGTCGGCTTCAGGTCCAAGAAACTTGGGAGTCGCTTTTTCTTCCTTTGCGCTGATGTCAGCAGCGTGATGTCACGGGGTACGGATAAAAGTGGCGCCTTGGCCGCAGTCACGTGGGTACTGGAGGGCTCCTTACGCACTTAACTCACTTAACACGCAGCATCAAGGTGAAGACGATGATAGAGAAGGATCAATAACGATGAAGAGATGCAGACGTCAGAGACATCTAGATCGACGGAGGTAGCTGTTTTGCAGGAGGAAGACGTACGGTTGGTCGAGTCTATAGTCTACATGCCGCACATTCGATATCACCCATTAGTACAGCATCTAATCACCTATCAGCTATCTATCCGGTACTTGATAACACGAATATAGAACGATTAGTAGCTACTCTGTCGACTCCGTACGAATCTAGTCCTCACATCATCGAGACAAAGTCGGCTAAGCAATGAATCCATGAATGTCCAGCTTTGCCCAGCGGATGGCAGATTGGGCACGTGACCTGTTTATTTTCGAGTAGTTATAAAAATCCACAAACAGAATCAAAACACGTCGGTTGTCTGACAGCAGAGCAGAAAACGCGGATGTTGACCGAGGCACTGTGGTAGAGTGGTTAATACGTTGCACTGCTACCGCTATACAGTTTCTCTGCATACATAGCCATGCAATTCCTTCGGGAGCCAGGGTTCGAATCCCTGCGGTGTCGCTTCTTTTTTTTTCTCGGAGTTCACGACTTGCTCCTGGCTGGCAGCTTGAGGATGCACTTTTGAGGCATTGAAATGATACCCTTTGCCTATAGTAATATGGCACTGTATAGTGCATAGGAATTTGACCACTCTCTTTTAACTACAGGGGTGTTTGTATCATTTTTAAAAGGATGGAGGATGGGTTGTTGCTACAGACCTACTCAAAATCTGTCTTACAGGCAGCCATGCTATACTATGGTGTTCAAGAGGCAAATTGATATCTACTAGACAAAGTCCTAGCGATGTCCAATATACATGCCTGGGCCCGTTTCCGGTTTTTTGAAAATGGACGACCACGTCTGAGATCAAACGCGATCCAAACCTGATATAATCCCTGACGGCCCCTTCTCAGGTTGAGAATCACACCCGCATAACCATTTTGAACTTTCAACTGCAGATGCAGCTCCTTTCACCACCTGCCAATTGAACGGAGACAAGTTTTGTTATCCACATGTACGTGTAACTTCACCTGTGTCACATTTGGTGAGCCCTCTGCCGTCTCTCATACATTGCATATCGCCTTGATAAACAGCAGACATGGCCTATTGAGCACCGCGATTTCAAACCGAATCAAGTCTTGATATACTTATATATATACTTAGTGGTTGAAACTATCTGACCTCTCTGGATAGCTGTCAACCGCTCTTTTTCCGGTCAGTGCTTTATTCACCTACACTCTGTCTCGAATTAATGTGCGATTCAACATCCTCCCCACGATAAATAGGGTGGCTTTGTCGGTATAGGTCCTAGCTACCTAGCTGCGTGTAATCCGGTAGCTATCGTTATCATACCAGGATCAACATGTAACCAGTAGAGCACGGCTCTTTTTTGGAGTCTAGAATATTCATTGATGCGCCTGGTGAGCGAGTCAAAATCAAAGAGACCGGAGAACACGGGTATAAGGAACATGCACCATCAGGCCGATATGCTCAAATACAGGCTTTGCACGGGTGGGAACATCAATAAATTCTTCCAGAAAATTGAATAAAACAAGCCATGCAGCATCGAGATTTCAATTCTTCATACTTTTTCCTTCTTTTCAAAGCGTTTAGACGAAATACGCTCAATCTTGTGAGGTAGAGGGTAAAAGTTTTCGTAGAGTGAAGTCGTAGACGTCCTTGATTGATACCCGCGGCCATGGAACGAAAGTGGTCAAGTTATGGGTCAGGAGGCGAGGAAGATGTATGCATCCCTTTAAGTGAGCCTCGTTCGATGGGTGGCATAGCTGGACCAAGGGATAATAAGCTTGGTTTATGGTCGAGCCGTTCATTCTTCATCAGAGTCCATCAATCCTGATGACGGGGGTGCAACCAAGTAGGAGTAGGGTAGGATTCGTGGCGTGGGCATGTAAGAATAATATAAAACGAGATCCATATATATTATTCTAAACATAGAATTAAAATAGGCGGTGGGTATTTGGCGAAACGAGGAAAGGGAATGAATAGACAAGGCATTCAAAGGGACGAGATGTGAGATGGAACAGAGTGGAAAAGAAGAGTCAAGGAACAACAGACGCCGCCGTTATGGAATATTAGGAAAAACGGACATACATACAAGGAAGACAAGAGACATGGAATGAAAAAAAAAAAAGGAGAAAGGAAAAGTAGATAAGAAGACGTTCCTAAAGATCCAAACTAGAAAGAGATAGAGATGGTAGTATTTCCTAATAAACGCCCCCCTTATCCAAGCCCGTGTTTTTTTTTACCTGCCTGTACCTCGTTACAAATGAAAGGGGATGGGGAAGGGGGAAAGGAAGTAGGGAGCCTGCATGTATGCCGGGGGAATGAGATTTGAAGTAGATATGATGGTAGGGGAAGAGAAGGAATGGTTTAGATGTAAAAAACTCCTAGTATCCTGGCAAGTTGACTCCGTAAAATTTTTTTCCATGTTGCGTTGCGCTGCTGAACCCCGTTTTTTTGTGCATGTTAGAAAGACCGAACCGGACCGGACCCGAACCTGGTGTAAATTGAATCGAAGACCTAGAACTCCTCTTGGAAATGTGAAATATCGCTCTGCCAATGCCGTTTGCTTGTTTGTTGCTAATAGTTGTTGTAGGTGAATCATGTTGATGACTGTGATAGAGAGCGTCGGATGACGAAAATGCCGACTTCCACCCCTTCTTGTTCAGCATCATCCATGGGTTCGGTCACTGCCCGCTTGCGGATGCCGTCTACTACATCTCGAAGGACCATGGCGCTGGTAACCTCTCTGTCCATGCCCATTCCTTTGCTGGCGGTATGGTGACGAGTACGGTGATCATTGCGCCAGTAGTCATCAAGTATCTCGCGGGCACGAGGAGACTCCTGAGCGATGTACCACTCTGTCCAGAGGGCGCGGGAGAGCGGGATGCAACCTGGCGCGGCGTAGGAGAGGGTGAAAGTGGTTCGGTCGCGGGATGTCAGAGAGGAGCAAAACTGGGAGACCTTGGAGTGCATCGTCTCGAAGGGATCCATGTGTTTGAGTGCAGGCGTGGAGCTAAGAGCCGTACCAATATCGGAGGGCAGGCAGTTGAGGACGACCAGTTGGCGTAGTAACGGGTCTAGGATGGGGTTGAGATAGTGCTGTTTGAAGCATTGTGCGCCACGGAGGGTGGGGTATACTAGCAGTAATGTACCGTCACGAGGGGAAAGTTCTCGAAGACGGTCGAGAAGCACTGATGGACCGCTGGTCGTGAAGAGGTTTTGGTATTCGCTTGTTGAGGTTGGTGGGAGATAACGCTCGACAGCGGCGATGTTGACGCTGTATGGCGGAACTATTGGCGTGGGCACGTACGGCGCTTGTGACTGTGCTCCGCTAGACAGGGATGAAGAGGCGCTGGTGAAAGGGTAGTGAGGTGCCGCCGTAGCGTTGGAGAAGACGGTCATGTTAAAGTAGTCATCACCGGGGAAGAGACGATTAGGCGTACTTGGGGGTGAAGTTGGTAGGCTGGAAAGGGAGAACTTTGGTGGTACTGCATGTGTAATGTTGATATAGGGCGATTGGTCTGGCTGGAGGCGAGACTGGATCGTCTGGACGATGGGGCTAAAGACGCAGGCAGGCGAAAGCGAGCCCGAGTTGGGGACGTTATTGGATGGGGGACACGGGAGAGTTTGGGAGACCAGTTGGACAACCTTTGCAGGATCCTTGGATATCGCAAGGAATGATACTATGATCAAGTTAGCAGGAACGTTGTATAGACAAGTATGAAGTGTAGGGGAGAAAAAAATCAGATGGTCGTACCGGCAGTTAGGATTCCCTCTTGCAAAAAGAGCAGTCTATTGTTCTCGTCCTGCGGTGACATGCTACTCGGTAATGGCAGCGGGCGGGAATCATCTGCATTTTCCGTGTTGTTCTGCTCCGTTTCCTGCTGCTGTGTAGGCTGCGTGGGTGTGCAGCTATCTTGGGGTTGTTCTTCCTTCATGGTCACCTCTGCAGCGTCAGAAGATTCCTGCTCTTCTGGAACGGTAGCTTCGGACGAGGCATTGCCGGCAGCACCAGTGGTAGCTGGATTCCATTGAACATGGTCATCGGATTCCGGCGGCGTGATGGGCAGTGGGGATGGATATGAGACGTCCATCCGTGAGTTGGGAGAGTCAGCAAAGGGAGATGAGGTCTTCGACGGTGAGGCTGCTGGTACGGTTCCGTCGACGAAAGAGCCGGAGGGCGAGGTAGACGGCCGCTGTTCTCTCTCTTGGGTTTGGGCTGCTGCTGCTCTAGGCATGTTGTTTGGCGACGGTGTGGCTATCCCCAGCTCTTCGAAAGATGGCAGCTGAAGCTGTCTGCTCTGCTTGGGCAAGAACTGCATGGCCACCGAGGAGGAAGGGGACGAGGAAGACGAGAAGTGCCGGTCTAGATCGCGGAGAAGGCCGTCCGATGATATGCTCCTCCGAATCCGTTTGGGGGACAGCGAAAAAGAGTTCGACGCTGCCTTGGCCGTGCTGTTCTGGCTGAAGGTGTAGCGTGACCCTGGCCCCGGGGAGTTTTGACGGGCTGAGAGGTGATGCTGTCCTTCTTGTTGCTCTTCTTGTTGCTGTCGATGCTGTTGACGGAGATGGAGGCTGCTGTCTGTCAAGGTTCGCTCACATGATACGCTACGACGGCTCTGGCTAGGTTGCTGCTGACGACTACCGGCGAAAGGGAAGGGAAAGACGACACAGGAAGACGGTCCTCCGGTATCAATGTGTATCTTCTCGTGGCCGCAGGTTCTCATGTTCGTATTACCATCGGTGTGGAGGGCCGCCCGAAGCAGAGGATCATTCTTCTGCTGGAGCATTCACGACGGCCGTCGATGTGGAGCAGGCAGTATATGTTAGAGAGGGCTGGTGGTGGTGGTGGTGTACGGAGGCGAGTCTGCCACTGAAACAGGTTGGCCTGTGTAGGAGTGTACGTATGGAGGGTGAGAGATGGAGAGATGGGGAGAAGAGAGACGGAGAGAGAGGGAGAGAGGGAGAAGGAGAGGAAAGACGGGCTTCTTTCTTGGGTAGACAGAGAGATTGGCAATTCAGCTGGAGCTAGGCAGCGTTGTGTATCTCATTGGCGGTCCGGTAATGGCTTGATGCCTTCAAGACGGCGTCGAGCCCGTCTGTCTGTCAGCCCTTGGACCGTGATGAGAAAGGGAGAGAGAGGACGGAGAGGAGAGAGTGCAGTCGACGTAGGCAGAGCCGTTCCTCGGGAGTCTGTCAGGAGTCTGTCGGGAGTCTGCCAGCGAGAAAGCCGTCAAGCAGAGCAAGAAGGAAGCGGCCCCGGGGGCGAGATATCAAGGATGCCTGCTGCGAGCGAGAAGAGGGAGAAGCGGAGGGGGCGTCCACGTCCGCCCTCGAGGCCGCCAGAAACGCAGCAGGGAGTCCAACTAAAAGCGCAGCAAAAGCACTGGCCGTACCGGAAATACGACAGCAGCGGCCCCGGTTTGCCCGCGTCCATGCGTAACTTTGCGTAACTTTGGTATTGCAGGTTACCGGGCGCTCGAACCAAAGGTCTAGACCGGGCCAAGAGAGGCTCGGCGGCTGAAGTGTTATTCTCGGGAGTTTAAAGTCGACGTCGCAGAAGGTCGATGGGAGGATGCGGTCGTCGATGCTGGCGATGGAGGCGCTCGAGGAGCGATGGGCGAGGATACGTCTGAAGGCGTGCGAGGACGTCGATGGCCGGCCGTGGTGCGGTCGAGGGCTTTAGTAGGGCGCGGATGGCCGTGGTGAGGGTGGTGGTGATAGATCAGACATGGACTCGTCTCGCCACTACCGGCAGCGAGGTTGCTTTTTCCTCTGGCCCTAGGGGTGGTTTCTGGCCAGCAGCAGCCTCGTGGGCACGCAGACGCTGAGCAGCAGACAGAGACAGTCTCACGGTCTCACAGTCATATGGAGTGCTGGCAGCCGTGAGTTCGTTCGTTCCTCCCGCAGGCGAGCTGCCGTTCGGTCCGCCTCACATCGCTTGTTTCGGCCTCTCCAGGAGCCTGTCCGCCCGTCTACTCCTGGCCCTCCTGTCTCGCTCCCTGCGTGTCTCGCCGTCTGGCGTGACCGTCGCCCGGTAGCATGTACTTATGCTCGTAAGTATCATGTACGCCGTACGTCTCAGGATATGCGTCTGTGCAATGCCACTAGTGGTGTGCAGCCGTGGGCCATGGTGGATGCAGATCCAAGTTGGTCACCCCAAGCTTGCTCCACGTCACACAGCTGCCCTTCTTCTTTGATCTGCCCCCCCGTCGTCTGAAGGCTGGCTGGCCGCTCTGTCAGACAATGAGTAAGAAGAGCTCAAGCGAGGTCGTTGCCGTAGGGTGGAAGTAAGTAAGCGTACGCATACACATCGCCTACTTAATATTTTTATCGTTAACATGGGGCCAGGGCTGGCCCTGACGTCTGTCAGACGGTCCAGCTTGCTGTTGGACGTTCGATAGCGAGATCAAAGTTCATCCAGAGCCAGGTTTTCGATCCCCCTTCTCCGCCTCCGCCTCCTCCTCATCCTCCTCCTCATCTTCATCATCCCCTCTCCTGTCTCTTCCGATCTCCTTTTTCTCCAATCAACCCCATTTGAGAGGCAGTCAAAGACGGGTGATGGCGAACCGCCAGCCAAGGAACGCCAACGTCTAGGCCGCTCCTTTTACTATATATGGGCTCTCCAGGGGGAACATTGATTAGATCAACTGACTCCTCCTGCCTCTCTCCTGGTAGGCTACTTAATTGCCGGTAGCATCTTATCATCCTCACCTATCATCCCTGCCTTGTCCTTTCACAGTCATGATACCTAGTTCATTCATCGTCCTCCTCTTTTTCTCCTTCATTTACCTTAATCAAGGAGCAGACTGCGGTGACGCAATTAGTTAGGATGCCCAACTAAAATAGACGATTATCCCAATCGATGACTTACATCTATTCGCGAGGGTCCATCGCATGCCACCCAGAGCATGGGGTCATCGCGCCAATTCATCCTAGCCCTCTTATCTGACAGATAACTATCAAATAATAACAAGTTACAGGCTATTTCTCCGCAAATAACAGGCCTTGCGCTCGTATCAATCAGGGGGAGAGACGCCATCAAGTCCAGATAAACTGCTCCCACCTTTTAAAAGAAGAAAGAAGTGGGTGCTGGCGCACACGGGTGTGGAGAACTAACTAAGTCAATACCTCCTAGACTGTGGCTGGAGGCCACCGGGCCCTATGTTGGGACAATGTTAGCGGCCGCGGTAGGCGTAATTAATTCTATCAAACGACGCAGTTATTCACTTACCTCACTCAGTTATGCTCCCTGGTAAGCTCCTTCTATTTAAAAAATAAATATAGTTATATACCCCTAACGGAGGAACGAGCACCCTGCCAGCCAAACTCCGCAATACGGACTCCGTAGTTGCGGAGTACCACTCCATGTACCGTGTACTTTCAACCCATCAGCTCGGGTACATCGTGTCCATCTGTTCCTTAGCTCTCTTTTCCCCTTTCTTTTCTCATGCCCCAGTCCAGCTGTACATGTAATGTGATCCATAAGTGCTGCATCATGGCCGCAAGCTGAGACCCCCAAACCCCATGATTCAAATCCATCAGCCCAAGCCGGCGTGTATCCCATGCAAGACGTTACCATTGGGACCAGCCACACATGCTTGCGTTCATCCCGTCGGTACGAGGGTCCCCTGGAGCTGGCGATGGCGATGGCGATGGCGTTTCAATGTAGGCGAGCGAGACATGAGGTACCAGATTGATGGCCGGTGGAAAGGAGATAACTATGCGATGGGAGAGCTGTCTGGGCCGTTCTCGAGGACAAGCGCAAACTAAGCTTCTCTCTATTGAGTTCTGTGCTGAATAGCTTATCTTTGCTGTGCTTGCTGTGCTTATCCGGTGGCGGCCGTGTTTCGGTCTTGTCTTCATCCGGTCCTGGTATTTTGGCGATGTTGGCTGGTTTGGAGACGTCACCTCTTTTGCCCTTTTGCTGCGTCCATAGCCACAGCCACTACGCTTCATCTCTCATCGACCAGTTATCCACACTGTATGGCGGAGCATTGACACGATCTCAAGCCACGAGTGCGTCGTGATGAGAGCTGTGTTCGAGTTCCGGCCGCATCTTCACAGCCACATTGTCTGGATATACCCATTTCTTTGAACAGCATCCCACGAGAGGAATGCCTAGGTATCCCGTTTACCATGCAGAATGGCCATAAAACATTGATTTGCCCTCGGGACTGGTTCCCTTTAGCCATGGCGTCTCGATGCGAACGCCTTTATGAAACTGTGGAGAATGGCCACCACTGGCTCGTTCCTGTCCGCTGAATTGTTACGTGGAAGATGCCCTTACTCTCTGCTGGACATTCTCCTTAAAAGAAAGTGAATGCAGCTTGGATACTATCCCAGCTCTTGCGTTCAGACTGGCATTATAAGCTCATGGACCTGTCTTGAATTAGATGTCCTGTTGCAAAGCTGATCCGATATTGTTGCTCTAGGGATATATGATAGTTTCACCTCATATGCTGGCATGGGATATATTATATTAATTGATACCCCCTTTAGGTCAATGATGGGAGAGTCAGCCGTATCTCATCTACTTTTCCGCTGTTATTTCAGATACCAGGCTCTGTGTAGATTGCACCAGAAGCGGCATTGACTGTAGCCTCCTCACTAAATACGGTACTCAGGTGCCGCCATGGTGGAACATTTACCGTCCACAGTTTCTGTTTTTCAGGTATTATCATCATAGATATACCGGTGATTATCAATGTCTGACAGCCGTGTAAAACGAGTAATGGGCTCTTTATGAGTAAGACTTCAATGGAACAAACAGTGACATGACCAGAGTTATAAAACAATAGAAAACAATAGGATGCATAACAACGCTGTTTTGCCTGCCCAGGAGTAAAACGCCCGCATGGACCCAACTACCTTGTTATCTAGGCCGTTCAAGAGAGATTGCTTTTGGAGTCTGTCCATGGTATTAATCTATGTCTGCTTTTGGTATTTCTAGGATGGTGACTATTGATCCCTATAGCTAGCCGGCTATTAATGGTAGAGTGACCTGCTTAATGATGGATAAATTAGGTTCGATGCAGTAGATCACTCAACGGTATTTGTAGATGCCTTCATAGAATCTATATACTGGTTATTGAATTCAGTGCACCTAAACGGCTATAGATCAAGGACTGGAACAACGGTGTAACTACGTTGGGCATATTTACGGTTGATAAAGCAAGCATTGACGCGAGCGAGACTTTCATCATAATTTATATTAGTGGTATACAAAACGGTAGTACAGTTCTAAACGAGTGAATCCATCCGTACATTCATCTCCCCAACGCCTGGAGCCGACCCAAGGCAATAAACATAGCTCTGATTTGATCTTACACAGCAACAGCTGTATTTCTACCGTGCTTTCGCGGACTAAACCCTTGGCCTCCAGTGCGAGGTAGCAGATGAGAACGAGATTTGTTCTTCTTCGCCATCAAGACGAGCTCCTCCCATTTCTCCTGCTCAATATTCTCCTCGGGCAGGAATAGAGGCTGTGGGCTATCTTCAACATGGATCCTAGGCCTGCCATCCAGGGTGGTGCCTGGGTCATAGTCCGGCGGCCTATGAGAAATTTTATAGCCGGCATCACGTATCTCGAAGCACTGATAGACGAGCTTTCTCGTACTCAGGTCCATGTATACTGACCGGTCGTATGTCTCCATCCAATAATCATAGCCCCAGAAATAGTCACTGATAACCGCCTTCGCAAGCGCCGTTAGCCAGAAATTGAAATTGGGTAGCCGCATGCCCTGCTCCATGAGTCCGACATGGGACATCCAATTGGATACTCTACAGGCAACAGATACTATGCGTATCAACGGCTCAGAGTGAAATATGTGAAGGACAACACAGGCAGGACAGCCGTTGGTCGTGCACCAGTCAGGCTCGTCGGTAATAATAGAGCGAAGCCATGCAAATGCGTTACGCGCTTCACCGTGGAAGGCCCTCTCCGGGTCTAGTGCAAGGCAACCCGGGAGCGAACGGGATGCTACGTCAGTTGCGTGAAGGACAAGCTGCTTCAAGGGCATGAAGACAGCATGAAGTATGTCTCGGTGTAATTCAAAGACTCTCTTCTCATCAGTCTGAATGCTTGGCTCATGGACGGGACAGAACCTGCATACAGGGCTATAAATCAGTCCGCGGGAAACGTTTGAGAAATAAGTTCACCACTGCACCCACCTAAGCATCATGTTTCCACTCAACTGCTTCCTGAGAGCACAAAATACCGCGTTCGAGGCCAATTCTTCCTCATCCCGTTTCTTGACCCTAAGGGGAGAAATAACCATCATAACGTCAATACATCAGCCTCCCAAGAGAACTCAGCCGGTTTGTGAAGCTGCTATGCTGGCGTTGGAGCTCACAGCTCGAACGATTAATCCGGCCGAAAAAGATGTAGGTAAGGCGTATAATCAAAAGTGAGCAAGAAAAAAGAAGCCGTACAGTATTAGCGTGAAGATACGGGCAGCAAGGAATAATAATGATGGTCTGATTTATTGCATGGCCGCATTCCATTGACCCGGGGCATCCCCGTCCCTCGCCAGGTGAACAGGCAGATGACCGTTATTCTTCTGTTCGGCCATGAGGAGTTGCTTCTTGCTTCAAGAGGTGCCCTAGAGTCGGGATAAGTTGGGAAGCGACGAGTAAGCAAGCGCAAAACTTCCTCACTCAGCGGAATCAAAATAGAAACACCAACGGTAAAAAAAATCCCAGTCAGAGAAGCTGCGATAGAAAACGATAAACCAAAAATATCACAGGAAGCAACTCTGGGTGAAACACCTGGTCAGATATCAATCCTCAATTTCCCATGGATACACAAAGCTACCCTGGCATCTGTTTCAACATGGGTTACCTATGCCAGGTATAATCAGCCGAGGTCACTCTTTGCCCTCTATCGCTTGTTAAAAAGAAAACCGCTCAACAGCAATCTAAAAGGCACAAGGGAGGCCCCTGAATGCTCTATACACGCATATCTCCTTGGGCATTGAGTGATGAAAGGGGAAAGGGTATCATGGATGAAATCATTGCCGTTACTTCCCAGCGGGTCACACGAAACGCATCTGATTAGAGATAGTAACTATTTTCTTCGATGTTGCCGTTGCACAGCCTAGAAGTCCAGAAGCATCGAGGGCAATATCAAGCGTCATATAGCGTGTCAGCCGGGGCTTAGACTGGTGCAACAGCATCAACAGCACATATAAACTACATCAACTGGTCGTTAGTTTCACCTTTAAAAAGCTTGTTTGATAGAGTTATGTTGCTAATTGACGATCTGAGGATCCATATTGCTGGTCAATGTTGAACACTGGCATCCCTTGTCTTCAACGTCTCTGCCCTCAGCGAGGTTAGCAATAGAGATCGGGTTCCCGAACGATCCTTGAAACTAGATCTCCCGCTCGATGGACAATCTCCATTCTCCGGAGGCGGCAGACCATCTCGGTATCATGGAGTCTTTCCGGGAGGGGGTTCGAAATATATGAATGAAAATCCATGTCCCGGCAGAAATGGGACGATCGCTCGGTATATCAGGCAATATTAGCGTGATACAGATACAGAGACTTGAGAGAAGTGCCGATATTTCAGAAATTGGCGTCGGGTTCAATAATATTCACATCATCAGCACATAGCTACTTGCCAAGGGAGCTCCATTTCTGTTGGCTCAGGAACCAAGAAGTCCAAACTCAGATGGATCCTCAAAAAGGAGCTCCATCTCCTTTTCTCGTCTGGCTTTCCACTGATGTTTCTTTTTTCCTTCGCGGTTTTGGTTTATTTTTATTTTTATTCTTATTTTTCTTTTTCTTCCCCCCTTCGAGATGCCCCTAACCCGGACCTGTCATGCATAGATAGGGGTCTCGTAACTATCTAATGGTATCTGGATGCGCTAGTGAAGCCGCGTTGCGGCAAGGGCTGGATTAGTGACCTGACAGAAGCTTCGCAAGTTCTCCGATTGCTTCGAGACGTTTATTCGGGACGGAGTTGCTAATGTTCAGACCAGCTGGAGGGAAGCTCAGCGTTACCAGGGATGCTCCCCACTCGCTCACAAGTAATGGAGACGAATAGCTTTAGAGAGCTTCTTCTCTTGCGGACGGCCCATTCTGCTCCGTAGTCTCATTATTACGTGGACAGCGGAATTTACCTTCCCAGTATCAGCATCTTGACCGTATCTTCCTTTATTTCTTCTTCCTTGGAAAAGAGTTGTGCATCAATTAGGCAGCTCTACCCCAGTCAGAGAGGATGGGGCCAGCTTTGCCAAAAGAGGCGGCCAATGATAAAAAGTGCGCAGTTCCCAGGAAATCGGGATGCCGTTCTTTTGCGACTTTGATGTTTTCGGGGCTCTCGTCTGCTTCCCATTCGCTTATTCCTGTTTCAACCAACAGTACGGAGTATTTTTTCACACATTAGCCTTCAATCCCATTTGGAACAAGGTTGGGATATGAAGACGTTCATCGGCTCAAATCCTCTGGCCTGGCGTATCTGGCGTATCTCAGCAAAGCAAAAAGGGAAGTGACAATTCCTTGCCCCTTTAAGATAACAACTGCTCTTGACCGGCGAATCAAAGAAATACGGGCGAACATGGAGAACCTGACAAAAAGAAACTTCCCCTGTGTTTGATATTTTGTGGCTGATTTGATTGGTTTTCTTTCCTTTTTCTCTCGTTGCTTTAGGATTTTGCTTTTCGAATAGTCAAAATTTTTTCTTGGGAGGAATGAGTTAGTTCCCATGGCTTGATGCTGAGCTTCCCTTCTTTAACTAGCGAATGCACTAGAAAAGCTAACGTGGTGCTCGAAACGTGGAAGTCATGGGGGAGAACAAGAGTACGCTACTAACGTTGCACATCCAGAAGAAGCTGGATAGAAGAGTTCGGTGAGTGCTTGCCGTTATACCACACAGCTGGAGTTTGCAATTCATCTGCATGGGATATAGACGGAACAGTGAAGTTGCCATGCACTTGTACTCCGTACTCCGTATATGTACTCCATATCCGTACTCAACTAGTTATTGAACACCCACCCCCTCAATTTACATGCTCTTCTTCATTGGCAGCTTCTTGAACGCCGGCGAGAACACGAGCAGGCCGTGCTGGGGTCAGGGTAGATTGGACACCTAACAACGAGAAGAGGGAAACATATCGGTACTCTGTACGGAGTACTTTAGTAGTAGATGGATGTCAAGATGATGTTGTTCGCACAGACTTGGGGCCAAACGTAACAAGCGAGCGGTGTGCTTGCTGCATTGAGGCAAAAGGGGATTTGGAAAGTATCAGCATGCATTGCGGAGTAGTTCAGGTTCCATATCATTCGATATAATTTTGCGGGTGATAACGCCATATAGAGTTATTATGATGCCCCTGTTTAATCCGTTCAGGGGAAGGAATCAGAAAAGACCTAGAAGCGGACAATTTATCCCCTCCTTAACGTTGCTGTGTGTGGTTATGCCTCCGCATCCAATACCCAGATCTCTGTGTCATTGTCATACCGGGAGGTTGAATCGGATGTGATTGTTTCGCAATTCTCCGTTCCCTCTACCGAGAAATTGTGTGTATGGATAAACTCCATCAAATGTTAGATTTGGGTGATGGTACGGAGTACGGAGTATGCTTTTCCCATCTCACATAGCATGGATGGCCCGTTGAGATCGGTTAGGGGCTACGCCCTTCAGGAAACTCAAGTGAGAGACAATGAATGATGCCAATTGGCTCAGACAGCCGCTTCTCCTTGCAACTTCTCTCATCCATTTCCTCCCGTTTCTCCTTCTCCTTCATGCCGCAGTGGACAGGGATCAAAAAGGTTTCCGGATCCGAGGAGTTTTGACTTGAAGTTTTTTGGTTCAGGGTGGCGGTGGTGGCCATAGTCATGGCAAGACGGATAAGATTGCACGATTGGATCGTCGACCCTTGCTCTTCGTTTGTTGTTGTCAGCCGACTTTTCCTTCTCGGTATACTCTTGTGCGTCTCTCTTGTGTCACCACGAAAGAGAATTCACCGTTTGAATTAAGAATTTCTTTATTTTTCTCAAAAAGCAGAAAGAGTCAAGCGAATTGTACGACTTTACCTCTTGTTCTAGAAGAATTCAATGAGTTATTCCTTCTGACACGTGGAATTGAGGCAAAAAGGCGCAATTGAACCGAATTGTTCAACGTGGTATGCATGAATGAGAAAAGGGTAATCGAGTACCCTGATTGAGGAGCAAGCCCTTCCCCTATGCCTATGCTGTTTTGGGTACGGGCTGCACCCGATGATTTCACACACACAATGCAACAGCCTGGCCCCTGGTCTGTTTTTTTCCCCTGTTCCCTGAATCAGAACAAAATCTTGGTCGTCCCATGAACATGCCGAGCTTGAGTTATCCAGAGATGTACGGAGTACGAGTACAACTGAAGAGAACCGCTTCAAGGCTCTGTATTGCGGAGACAGGCGATGATCATTATGTACGGGCTAAAGGCGTTGCGTTGACACGAGAAGAATCCTCCCCCACAGCATCGGTGTGGTTTAAACGCCGACATAACCTGCCATGCATAGTAGCTGTTTGTCTTCTGTCATCATGGACTCTCAAGTTTACATACAACCTGCGACACGTCTCTGCCGGGTGGTACGCTAGGATTAGCTCCCATCAGCTAGCGAGTACCCTTCTTTGTCTGAAAGAGTGAGGGGGAAGAAGCTTGGTGCCTGATGATCGTAGATCTGACTTTGAGGCTCGAAGAGATGGCGTATGTAAGTACGTACGTCACGCGAAGGGAGAGGAATGGACGGGCAGGCGACAATTTGAAAGTAATAAGGCTTGAAACTTCGAGTACCGCCCACACCTCGGCGTATACAAGATACCATTCGTTGGAGATATGACTTCTCAAGTGACCGAGTCTCAGAGAAACAGAATGCCGCAACTGCCGTTACTTATGTGCAAAGAGCAAGGAGGGACTTTTGTTTCACCATCCACATTCCTTTGGAAAGGTGGAATGATGCAAGCGAGATATGAATGCTTCGCCTCCGCGATCCGTAATGTCTTCCGTGCACACGGAGCACACCGGTGTTGACACAGATGTCCACACCAAAGAGCCGGGTCGGCGCACTGAGGGTGGTTTCTATTTTCAACCGGACGAATCTTATCTCAAGAACGGATTAGTTAAAAGGATTTCGTCCTCTCGTATTTTTGTCGAGATTGAAAGTTGTGGGTAACTCCGAGGGCGCCATTAAATGCGGCCATGAGGCTAGATTTTGGAACGTCAAGGAGGCCAGAGTCAGCCATCCACGTTTCGTCAGAAGCGGCCGCGACCTGGATAAACCTCAGCTGGTCAAAAGCTTGTTGCGCATGGCGTTTTGGGGATTTGACAAATATGTTGATATTTTGGAGACTAGTTACTAATAACACCACCCCCGTATTTATAAACAATCCTGTGGGCGACGGGGGTGTGTACCTGGGCAATCCAGGCGCTGCAAGGTGGTCATGTCTGTAATTACCTGTTCCTGAAGCGAGGGATAGCGAGCAACCCTCGCTTGCTCTGGAGCGCGAGATGACATTCTCGCGGGATCATCCTTTTTTCTGCTGGGTTAATCGCGGTTCTGAGAAAAACGGCAGTGGAGTTTGGTCGATGGGAGGGGAAAGAAGGATGAAAGGAAAAATGAAAATGTTTTGACACAAACTGAGTCACAAACGTGCATAGGGCATGAGATCCCAAGTCCATGGGCGATTTTATGGACCACTTTCATCCAGGCTCCCAGCACGGAGTAGACAGCGTGTGACCTCGTGCAGGCTCCCCAAGAGACGACGGTGTCTCTTGAATCCTCCTGAGCCCGCACAAGGTCACCCTCACATGGTGCATACGATGATGGACCACGCAATCTCGAGGGGCGGAAACAGGGTCGTTTTAATGACACTCTGACTGGGGTTCCTCAAAAGGCATTATCGGAGTATATACCTCGTTCGTCATGAACAGGCCGAACCGTTGTCCGGAATAGATAGACATATATATAACCGTGAGTCTCACTCTTTAGATCATCTATATACCGCATCCCCGTGATTGTTTCTGCAGCCCTTTTGATGTGCAGCACGAGGGGAGGAAGGGAAGAAAAAGCAGCTAAACGGTTGTTAGCCTGCCGGAGAATTTCTTTAGTGTTTTGTAATTAACCAGATCCCTGACATATAGCCAGGATGTACGGGTGTACTTAATTTGTGACATGAAGCCAGCCAGCCCATGCCAGTACTCCATACAAGGAGACTACATATATTTACTCCATTTGTAGAAGAAGCGGACACACAGACCCCTTCTGAGGGCAGCTTTCTTAAACACCCATGCAGGGCTCCAACCCGACATCCTAACACCACACATCCCATCCATCCTAGGACCTTGTATAGGGACAAAAGTAGTGTAAGGCCCTCGTCCCACTCGGCAGTCGGATGCAACTTCATACGGAGCTTGGTTCAAAAGAGATAGATTGCTGTAAAAAGAACTTCTTTTTGTTGATGCATGGTTATTCTCTCTCATTTCATTTTTTTTTTTTTTTTTTTTTTTTTGGTTGGTGGAAAGAGCGTAACGCTAAGCCCCAGATTCGGTCTGCTCTTGATATTTCTTGTTCCTTTCCTTTCTTTTTCTGCTGTCGTCTTTCTTCCATGCTCTTTTCTTTTTTCGTTTCCTTTGCTCTGTTCTCCGTACTGTCGGCGGAGGACCGGTGGCCGGCGAAAGGAGGGATGATCCACGGTGAGCAACAGCTAGGCCAGGCAAGAGTGGAAATAATTAACGGGAATTAGTTTAATCCCGGCAAAGACAAGCCCGCATTATACTTTATGGGCTGTATCGAGCTTGTAACACCGGAGTCCCAAACTATGGTGCATGGACTTGGCCTGGTGCCTGGTTGGCCTGCTGCATCGATCGGTCTATGGGCGGGGAGTACATCGGGGACCATCCTCCCCGACATCAGGTTGGATGTATGTATTATTCTCTTGGAGATGCGCAATGCAGTGCCTGAATGTGATGCATGCGATGTCTGGCCACCATCGAAAAGAAAGATGAAGCTGCAGTCGAAGACTTCCTGAGGTTGAAATAAGATGGAGAGAAGTTGCCTAAAGCGTGATAGTGCGTCACGAGACCCGTCACGGGACCTGTATAGGATTATAGTTATTCCGGGATCCTGGTTTGTCTCGTGACCGCTCTAACCCGAAAAAGAAAACAAATACACAACTTCCCAACTCTCTTTTTCCTTAGTCATTACTTTTTGCTTCCAACCTCAAATCTCATCCTGCAGCGAGTTTGTTACATTCACGCTTCTTTTTTTTTCCTTATCCCCTTTTTCTCCCGCGCTGGTTGGGCGTTGTTGGTTACGCTAGCGGACACACTAGTACTGCTGGTACGGAGTACTGCTGTTGTAAATACCACAGGTCGAGGTGAGTTTTCCCCCGCTGGCGCGTTGTTGGAATCAAGGGCGACCTCACCAACCCTGAGCTCACCAGATGCCCGAGTACCCCTGGTTGCATATAGAAATACTTCTCAGCCACGAGTTGATGCTAATTCCAAACCCTTGCTAGACTCCTTTTTTTTGGCTTCTAAAATTGATTAGCCAGGGCTGACTTGGACAGGGATCCTCAAACTGAGATCCAAACTGCTGTCTTTTAAGAAGCGCTCTGCGCGGTCGATTTCGACGTCAACGAAAGCAAAAAGGGCAAAAGAAATAATAAACGGCGGGAAAAGGTGTGCCGTCGAGAGAAGGTTGAAAAGTGAAAAGATCAGAGACTTTTTCAGCAACACCTTCTCACTCTTCAATCCGTATTTCAACCTGGGACTGATCAAATCACGGAGGAAAAGAAAGAGAAAAAAAGCAAACAGGGGGTATCAAAAACGAGAAACGAAGACGAAAAGTATATCAGTGAAGTTATTGAGAGAAAGCAAGACTGGCAGGACTCCACAGGTTGTCCACACTCCCATCGTACTTCTCGAACCCTCCTACGCAAACCCTGTCTTGGTTCTCGGTCACCTTTTTTTTTACGCTCCAAGGTGGAGAACGACCTTTCCCCCATCGGCATACTGCGGTATCCGGAACTTCTCGCCTCCTTCCCCTTCCCAAGGCAAAGGGAGAACAAAAAGAATTAAAGTACAAAAAAAGGGAGAACAAACATTTCCTTATTAGCCCTATCCAAAGACAAGTTCAGCACGGCATCGTATTTCGTGGCATATCTTGAGTTTCTGCTGTTCAGGCCTCACTCCAACAGCTGCATTCAAGTAACCAGAAACTGTATCAAAGCAACGGTTATATATTGATCCGATTACGGCAAGCCGTGCAAGAGTCTCTGATTGGATGACCCAAGCACAAGTGTTCTTTGATATTTCGCTTGTGATTGCGCCCTCACCGAAGGAAGGCCATCTGAGAGAGGCCGAATTATGAAATTACGTCCCCACAGCCAACCAGACGATCCACACACCTTTTAACTTCTTCTTCTTCTTTTTTGCAAGGACAACATTGTCTTCCTCTGTCCACTCTTCGACCAGTTGGTATCTGTACCGCAAGCCGCCAGAACGCCATCTTTACGCCAGTATCATTTTCCTTCAGCTCAGCTGCCAGTCGCCGCATCTAACAAGTATTGGTACGGAGTACGGAGTACTCCTGGAGGTACGGTTCCCTTTCTCGTTCGGTGGCCTCCCTTCTTCCTTACTTAATCTCCGTGATTAGGTTCACATAAGCAAGAACGTGACAGCAAAAACAAGAGAAGCAACGAAACGGCCAATAGTGCTGCCACTCCTTTTTTCTGCTCATCCATCATATTGACCCCATCCTCAACCTTCCTTTCCACCTCTTTATCAACCACAAGGAAAGGATACAAAAAACAAAAGAGGACGCTGGAAGAGATAACTCTCCATCAAATCCATAATTTACCACCAACTCCTTGAGAGGTCCACTTGGCGGATCCCTATTATTTTTCTCCCCAAGCAATTGGGCCGCCGCCTCGGTGCAAAACCCAAACGGACAAGCAAGGCAAAAAGCAAAGGGATTGTCTTTTTTTCATTCGTTCCGACTCCTCTCCCCAAAGGCCCACCCTTGATAGACGCTCCAAACTACCCTTTTAAACGGACAGCTGGGAGGTTTGGACTTTATTTTTTCTTTGGTCAAAAGCCGGCCGCCTTGCCACTGTCTCAGCACTACGACCACCACCGAAAAAAATCCCCTTCTTGTGCAGCTAGGAACATTCCAACCCTTCCTTTTTTAGTGTCGCATTTTCCATCTCGAAACAGACGCTATTAATACTTCCTGGGCTCTTTTTCCCATTGACTTTGGCGCTACTGCGAATCGATCACCAGGTGCTGTCAGCAACGAAATAGCACCACACGCTACCGTCTAGACGTCCCGATTGGAGATAAAGCCATACTCTCTTTGTACTGGTGTCCTTTTCCCAAGGGTCAATCTTTTTTTTACTCTTCTTTTTTTTTTTTTTATTTTTCGCTTGCGACCTGCTTAAACTTTTCCGGTTTCTCCCTGGTTCACGCGGCTTCTTCCCCCTAAAGTTGACGGACAACGGGCACTTAAGCACGCTATATTTGAGAAGTGCATATCCAAAAAAGCATACGGCGGATACAATCAGCAGCAAAGGAAAGGAAGAAAAAAGAAGCCCCTTCTCCACGCGACCGTTCTTGACGAAAGCAACAATAAGGGCCAAACCATCCTTCGTTCATCCCCCAGCCCTTTTCGAACTACTTCTTAAAAACCAACCCTAGTTCGTTTCCACGAGCAGTTCGGCGCGTCAAAGTCCATCTTTGTTTTTTTACTACTTCGACTACATTTCACCACCTGCTCACCCGATATACCAACAACCCGCTAAGGGCCCTCGACTTCTTAGCTTCCCCCCTCGCCTTTGCTGGACCGGTCTTTTCAACGGAGCACACTATCAGGACAAGCTTCTAAACCTATCTTCTATTTCCCTTCTCCTTACCTGTCTTGCTCCTTTCAACAAATAAAAACCATTGGCGCGCACCAACCCCTTTGGTCTTTGGCTTTCTATTTGTGACTACTACTGCTCCTGCTTCCCCGGTTTGAGGTATAACCTGTTGGAGGAAAGAGAGCCAGAAGAATAGCACCAGGCGAAGCTTCGTTCCCGTTAACCCAGACGCGACCAAAAGTTATTTTATATGGACAGGCCTGCCTCCGACTACGCGCAGCCAGGTTTGAGCCCTCAATACCCAAGTCTCCCGGAGGCACAGTCTGAACAATCAACCGCAGATCAGGCAACTGTTTCTGCTGCCGTCGCGTCCCCTACCCAAACCGAAGCTCGTCGAACGCCTCAGTCGCAGTACTCGGCACCTCCAGAACCTCGATCGGGCGGTATCTCGGCCTCGAACACTCCTCAACCAGACTACAACTTGCACCAGAGCTCTTCCCATCCACCTCCGCCTCCGGCCGCCGCGCGCCCGTCTCCCTACCCTGAATACCTGACGCGCCAGCCCCAGTACCACCACGCTCCTCATACCCAAGCCGGCGGGCCGCCAGGTATGGCTCAAGCAACAAGTCCGTCCATGAACCCGCAAGATGGGCAACAGAGTGACCATCGAAGTCCCGCGCAAGTAAAGTCTGACACCGAGGTTCCTATAGATCCCTCGATTGCAGCCTCGAGCCCGTCCTACCCTCCACCATATTCTCCCTACGCCCTCAGGGTCACGACATGGCGCAATATCAGAGTCATCCGCCGCAGATGTACGCCCGTCCAGACTGGCCACACCAGTATGGTGCTCATCAACCTGGAATGCCAGGCCCTTATAGTTCCCCGGCTTCGGTGAGTTCAGCTTCCCCCGCTGCCACCGCTGGGCCACGACCTGGACAGGTACGGAATCTTCCTTTTTGTCTTCTACTCTCTATTTCCTCTTTTTTTCTTTTAGGAGGGCAAGTTTCTTATGCCTTATAACCACCAGTGGACTGAACAGGCCATCTGATGCGTTTTCTTCTACTTTGTCTTGCATTAGACTCATTATAGATCCCAGGTTTTCTCTTTTGTGCCTATCCCCGGCTCTCAACAACACAAACGGCCCAGACGACGATATGAAGAAATTGAGAGAATGTATAAGTGTGGCTGGAATGGCTGTGAAAAGGCCTATGGCACACTAAACCATCTTAATGCACACGTCACAATGCAGTCACACGGCGCTAAGAGATCTCCAGATGGTTTGTATTCCCTTTTATTCTCCCACCCTTGTGTCTTATAGAGGCTACTCTATAATTTTCCCTGCCATCTCCTAGTCCTCTACCCCCTTGCACCCCTTAGCCTGTGTAACGGAAGCCCGGGTTGCTCCTCGGAAGCCTGCATCTTGGTGGAGTGTGCAGTAGCGCCTGGATGAACCCCAAAGCTTAAACAGCTACCCTTCCCAGTGCCAAGACAATTCTAAAGCTAGCACCAACTTTCTATCTTGACATCTTCTATTTCCAATTTACCTGTTGTTACTATTGACTGACAAGCTGCTGATACCCGAATAGAATTCAAGGAGATCCGTAAGGAGTGGAAAGCTCGCAAGAAGGAGGAAGACAACCAGCGCAAGGCCGCTGAGGAGAGAGAACGAGCTGCGGCTCAAGCCAACCAGGTTGATAGCAATGGTGCTCCAAGCGGTAGCGGCCAACCCAGCCAACCAACTACTTCCTATGCTGCCGGTGTTCGGCCTCAGCTGCCGCCAATAGGCTACCAGCCAGCAGATGGTCAAGTGCCAGGTCAGTATGGTGCTTCTCCTGGTGGTTTGGTCTATCCAGCTGGCAACGGCCAGATGCCAGCTACCTACTCTCCAAGCTACCCCCATTCTCCTTATGGTCAGGGCAACCAGGTCTACCCACAACCACCGCGTGAGTGATATCACGACCCTGTTTTTCCTATATTTCTTTGTTGTCTACCACTCACCCCCCCTGCATACCTTTTTAATCGCCCTCTTTTCGTGTTTATCCTTTTACTTGCTGGATTCCTGCCCTTGCCTAAACTATAGATTATTGGTCTCATGTCAACCCTTGTCCTCCCCTACCCGCCTGGTGCAATCTGGCAACCAAAAATAATTCTGGGCAACATTCTCTTTGCTTATCATACTGAGTTGCCTTCTTGGAAAGCGAAGTTGGCACCAGGGGGCAAATTAAAGCAAGAAGCTGATCCAACTCCCCTCATTGGCGATGCTGAACGCTAACATGATCATCCCAGAGAACCAGTCCCACAACTATCCATAAATTAATCTAATCAAGACTGTGGAATACCCCCTGCCACTACTCCCATTTTTACCCTCAACTTCTTTACGCTATCAACGCTTCCCTCCCCCTCGTTTGTTGATGCTCCAGTTACTCTAATTGCGTTTATCCACGGCCCTACCCGCTCCCCTTCGCCCTCCCTCCCCTGTGCCCGGCAATTTTTTTACATACATTTTATCCCCAGCAATGGCTTGTTACCACTCTAGTTTTTGCTTTCTTATTACCTGCCGTCGCCCAGCCCCATCATATCGGATGAAGAAAGGGGGGGAGAAATAAATAGCTAATCCTAATATGTTTGATGGGAGCCGGGACCTCTCACTCATAACATTTCTCCTTATTTTCCCTCTACCTTACCCTCTCAGAATATTTCATTACCACGCTGCCTTATCCCCCAACTAGCCTGGTGGCCTTATTATGTCTCTACTACAACTCTTGATATCCACCTTGCCTTATCATCTCATCTCTTTGATCGTCTTTTCTTGATTTTCTTTTACTGTCCTTGTTTCTGCACTTAAACCCATCTCAAATCAAATAGAGGAGGATGTCTTCGCCCTGTATGAGGAACCATCGAAGCGAAAGGGAAACGGAAAACACACCACAAACCAAACATGACAGTCCCGTATAAAAAGGGGAAAAGGAACATGAACTCAAGGCCCTTTCTTTTAATATTCACGAGCAAATGGAATGAAACCCGATATACCTTGGTAACAACTCTAGAGGTGGCGGTCGGTGGGCGGCGGTCAGAAGGCGTAACGTTTTTATATTTTGTCCTTTTGTCAAACTTGCTTGCTTCTCGCGTTCTTTTGATTTCTTGCCAGGGGTTGCTGGTCGTTGGTTGGGTGGTTTGGGGCGGTTCTTGCATGGCTCTGAAGCTTTTCCTCTGCCATTGATTGCTTGTTGCTGTTGCTTTTAATATGTTTATTACCTCCCGTTTTAGTCCCCTGTTTGACGCCAATTTGGCTCTGCCGACTTTTCTCTATTTAAAATGTATTCTCTCGTCACGGTCACTCTCCTCTTAGTTGCCTAGCTTTGTCAAACACACTTATTTCGATCTCGAGTTCTTTTTGAGCAATGTTAGCCAATGTGTAGACATTCCCTTTTACTTTGATTAGGGGATAGCGCTTTGGTTGTTGCTCATGGACAGACGCACCCCAGCGTTTGCAGTACGTGTATATGGGTTCCTACATATATATTTCTCGGTGGAAACCACTCATATACCTACTGCTGAGAGATTATCAAAGAGCATCATCAGCTTTGATGTAATGGTTAACTACTTAGTGATGTCAAGCGGGCGCTAGTTATGCCGAGGCAGGGTTTATTCACTTAAATGTTCATCCTCACTTCTACCAATGTGGGACATTCAAACACTAGCATCGAGAAGGGCGAAGATGGGACTGAAGCGCGTCCTCGTTATTGCAGGCTCGGATAGCTCGGGAGGAGCGTAAGTACTGGCGCCGTCCACAGTCGCATGAATTAGTAGATATTAATAACCGGATAGCGGCCTAGAGGCGGACCAGCGGGTTCTCACTGCCCATGGTTGCTACGCACTCACAGCAACCACGGCCTTAACTGCGCAGAATACACTTGGTGTGCAGGATATCCATGTTGTGCCGACGGAGTTTGTGAGAAAGCAGATCAGAGCCGGCCTAGAGGATGTTGGCACTGATGGGGTTAAGATAGGTATGCTAGCAAATCTCACCACTCACCATCCCCCCCACGCCCGAAGGTCAAGTCCCCGGTCTTATCTTGATATTAATGTATCTAGGAATGCTGGCCTCTGCTGAAACGGCGGTGATGGTGGCGGAAGAATTGAAAGCGCATCAAGTGCATTCAATCATATTAGACCCTGTACGTCCATCGATCCAATGCAGGAAAGGTCTACTAGGCTCTAACTATTCGATAAAGGTTATGATATCTACTAGTGGTTCACAACTTTTGCCACCAGATGCAGTGAAGGCAGTGCGGGAACACCTACTGCCAGATACCACTGTGCTGACCCCAAATATCCCGGAAGCCGTTCTCCTGCTTCGAGATTCTGGTGTGGATGTCAAGGAGCCCGAGAATGTAGAAGACGCAATCGCACTCGCTAAACAGGTCCACCAACTTGGGCCCAGGCATGTACTATTGAAGGGCGGCCACCTTCCTCTGAATGTGCAGCGGCAGAAGGCCACGGCGGATGGGGATGCGGCTATTGTTATTGATATTCTATACGACGGCTCGACGGTGACTTTAGTGGAAGCCGCCTTTTCAAGGTCCAAAAATACCCACGGCACAGGCTGTTCTCTTGCATCTGCGATTGCAGCCAACCTTGCCAATGATACGGAAATCACAAGAGCGGTGCGGGAGGCATGCCGATATGTTGAAGCTGGAATCAACACTAGTATTGACCTGGGCAAGGGAAATGGACCAATTAACCATTTCCATTCACTCTACTCACTACCTTATGCGCCGTAAGTGTCATGTTGCGCAAATCCATACCCATGTTACTAACGCTGTGCTAAAGCGGACACTTTGTGGATTACATCCTGGAGCGACCAGATATTCAGCCAGTATGGAAAGCTTTCACCGAACATGAATTCGTACAGAAGCTTTCCGTGGGGACGCTGCCCGTTGAGAACTTCAAGTGGTACCTTGTCCAAGACTACCTATATCTAGTATGTGGTACACGCCCTGGGAGACTTGATATATATATAACACAGTCTAACCGCGACAATAGGTCCATTTTGCACGAAGCAATGCGTTGGCTGCTTACAAAGGCCACACTATGGACGACATCGCCATGGTGGGAACTCACCATGTTTGAAATAAAAAGAACACGCCAGCTAATTTTACTCTAGTCGGCGCAAATTGTCCTGCATATCCAGCGTGAGATGAAACTGCATCTTGACTACTGTGCCTCGTTTGGTCTATCAAAAGAGGACATTGAAAGTTCAAAAGAGAGCTTGAGTGAGTTCGCCATGGATCCATACACTTTGCTCCTGTAATGTCTATTAATCATCCAATAGCCTGCACGGCTTACAGTCGATATATCCTCGACATCGGCCTCTCAGGTGACTGGCTAGCTCTCCAGTTTGCGCTTGCTCCCTGCCTTCTTGGCTATGGAGCTATAGCTCAGCGGCTCTTCTGTGCTGAAGAAAGTGTTAGAGAGGGCAACAACTACTGGAAATGGGTTGAAAATTACGTTGCAGAGGATTACTCTGCAGCCGTCAAGCTAGGCTCAGGTGAGAAGTTCTTACATGTCTATATTTTTCCGTCAGAGCACCTCTAACAGAATTACAATTACCTTGATAGCCACGCTCGAGAAATATTCCAGAACTATCTCGCCTTCCCGCCTAGAGGAGCTGCTTCGGATCTTTATCCGAGCCACGGAACTTGAGATAGGATTCTGGGATATGGGTTTGCGGGGGGAGTAGTGGAAAGGCTAGTTAGTTAGTCCAGCTCTTTGAAGCCGTATGGCACCCCTGATACCGAAAATACAAGTAAGTATATAGTTAGTTTAAAAAGTATAGTTTAACAATAGAAAGAATAAACCAGCCCTGGAAGCAGCCTTGAAAAGGATGTAGAAGAATAATGATGGTGATAATGATATGTTTCCTCTCTGCTCTTTCTCTATTTAAGCCTCAATCTGCTTAATAAGACACGCTTATATAACATAGCACGTGATACTTACATAAGCTGAAAAGTCGGTTTAGCTTTTGAAAAGAAAAAATTCGACAAGGAAAAAAAAAAAAAAAACTCAGAAACTTATTTCGCTTCGAAAAAGTTGAAATATTTATTTCAACGCCGCGCCTCAACTTCATCTCATCAACAACCAACTCCTCAACCCGCGTTCACCCTTCACACCCATATTCTTCTTTTTGATCTGTGCAGGAGAAGAGGACTGTGACCGTTATTCTTCATCTTTCTACTCAAATCCCCCTTTTCATCCCTCGATCATGTCTTACGGCGGTGGCGGTTACAGAGAGCACCAGGGCGGCGGCGGAGGAGGTGGTTACAACTCCAGGTAAGCATAAACTGGTCTATCCAAAGTGTCTGCCAGTCTCTCGCTGGACGGAGTGACCGTCCAGGAGTGGTGGCAGGATCTCTCTACTCTGTTCTTCGCAGAGCAAGGAGGAGGGAGTCTTGTTCTAAGACGTCCACTAACTCGTTCAAGACACAGAGGTGGCGGCGGTTACCAAGGTGGAAGCAACGGATACTCCAACGGCCACTCCAGCGGCCCCAGTTATGGAGGTGGCTTTGGAGGAGGCTATGGAGGCGGTGCCGGTGGTGACAGAATGTCGAACCTCGGCGCTGGCTTGAAGACTCAACAATGGGGTATGTCTGGCTGTCGTTTTTCCCCCTCTCCTTCTTTCCCAAAATGCTGTAACTAACTGGCTTATGTCTAGATCTCAGCTCCATGCCCAAGTTTGAAAAATCCTTCTACAAAGAACACCCAGATGTTTCAGCCCGAAGCACCCAGGAAGTTGAGGCTTTCCGAAAAGAGAATGAAATGACTGTCTATGGAAAGGATGTCCCACGCCCCGTTCAGACTTTCGACGAGGCTGGTTTCCCACAGTATGTCATGTCGGAAGTCAAGGCACAAGGATTCGCCAAACCAACTCCCATTCAATCCCAGGGTTGGCCCATGGCTCTCTCTGGACGCGATGTCGTCGGTATCGCAGAGACTGGTTCTGGAAAGACTCTGACTTACTGTCTACCAGCCATCGTGCACATCAACGCTCAGCCTCTCCTTGCTCCCGGTGATGGCCCTATTGTCCTTGTTCTCGCACCCACTCGAGAATTAGCCGTCCAGATCCAGGCTGAAATCACTAAATTCGGCAAATCCTCCCGTATTCGAAACACCTGTGTATACGGTGGTGTACCCAGAGGCCCGCAAATCCGTGACTTGACTCGAGGTGTCGAGGTTTGCATTGCCACGCCTGGTCGTCTTATCGACATGCTCGAGTCTGGAAGAACCAACCTCCGAAGAGTCACCTATCTTGTTCTTGATGAGGCCGACCGTATGTTGGATATGGGTTTTGAACCTCAAATTCGCAAAATTATCAGCCAGATTCGTCCCGATCGTCAGACTTGCATGTGGTCTGCTACTTGGCCCAAGGATGTCCGCCAACTGGCTAATGATTTCCTTCAAGACTACATCCAGGTGTACATTGGCTCTCAAGACCTGTCTGCTAACCATAGGATTACCCAAATCGTTGAAGTTGTTTCAGAATTCGAAAAGCGTGATCGAATGATCAAACATCTGGAACGCATTATGGAGGATAAAAAATCCAAGGTCCTCATTTTCACCGGCACAAAGCGTGTTGCCGACGACATTACCCGATTCCTCCGTCAAGATGGCTGGCCAGCGCTATGTAAGTTATCATTTGTGTTCGCATCTTTTTTTTTCCTCTGCAAAATTAAATCGTTTACTAATCTGTACGGGTTTAGCTATTCACGGTGACAAGCAACAGAACGAACGTGACTGGGTATTGAATGAGTTCAAGACTGGCAAGAGCCCGATCATGGTGGCTACTGATGTAGCTTCGCGTGGTATTGGTATGATAAATCTGCAACCCCCATTCCCCCTCCTCTCCAAACCCTTTTCCATCATGTCATAGACATTGCTCTGTCTCGAGCCGATGCTGTTGACATGTCACCCATATTGATGTCGTGTGATCGACTCAAATGCTTTGCTCTCATAACATGTTGGTAAACATGACTACTTGGGCCTTCCTTATGGTTTTCCCATCCAAGGAATCCTTGGCCTTAGGATGCAGTGTAGCATTCTTTGCTTCTGATGATGCCTCTCCAATCTGTTAATCCACGCCAGGAGAGAGGCAGAGTTCTATTGTCTGAACTTTTCAAGCTGCGTTTCTAAGTTTATCCAGGACCAAGAGTAACTGTCAAACCCATGGACTCGTAAACAGGTGGATTCTGAATCAGTCCGAGAGAGTTATGCATCGAGTCCCACACGACGGAGAAAAGGGCCATGGCCATTTGATTCTCTCGTCTGTCTTTTAATGTCTGCTAACGCCAGTGTTGTGAAGATGTTCGCGATATCACTCATGTGCTCAACCATGATTATCCGAATAACTCGGAAGACTATGTCCACCGTATCGGCCGTACTGGCCGTGCTGGTGCCAATGGTACCGCCATCACCCTGTTCACCACTGAGAGTACGTATTCTACCTAATTCTTTCCCCCTTCATTTCTTCATATTTATATGACGGTACTAACTACATCCATAGATGCTAAACAAGCCCGTGACTTGGTTAAGATTCTCACCGAGTCCAAGCAGCAAATTGATCCTCGTCTTGCTGAGATGGCTCGCTACGGTGGTGGCGGCGGTGGCGGCCGTTACGGTGGTCGTGGTCGTGGCCGTGGTGGTGGCTTTACTGCCTCCAATTCTGCTCCCCTTGGAAACCATCGACGATGGTAAATCACGTAGTGCTGCCTGACGGGCTTTTCAATATTTCGATTCAACTATATTGAGGATAACTGTCTGCCTCAATATTTCGATACCTCTCAAGACTGTCCTAAGGACCAAAATCGTCATCTCGATTCCCCGCGATAGACAGTAATGTCACCTTCGACATCGATTTTCTTATTCCCTTACCTTTTTTCTTAACGTTCCAACTGAAAAACAACCGGGCTTTCCAAACACCTAGATTTCCTCTTGCTCGTTCACTTTTCCTACAGGATTTACGGTTTATTTCTTTACTCCCTTTCATATGTTCCGAGGCTTATACAGGTCTTCTGCTTTTTAAATTACGGGCGATAGGAAGTTTTGTTGCTGCTCTATGGTTTGAAATTCTTCCCCCTCAGATTGATTGCATATCCATGGATTGCACTTTGGCCACGGAAGGGCCGAAGCTATATCTGTACTTTATTAATCTTACGTTTAGACATTAAAAGTCAAAATAATTAACAGTTCATCGATGTTCATTCACGTCTTTTCCTAGTTGCTTGTTTGATGTGTATTGTTTGATGTGTATTGGCGTCATTGCTATAAGCTTGGTAAATGAATGCGGCTCAAATGGGCCGGAGAATTGATAACGTACGGTATGGTACTCCGTACCTTGGTACCTATCGACCCGCCTAAATTTAACTAAGCTTATCTTATGTAGAGGCGGCCTGAGTTGTTTTCATCCCCTTGGATCGTGGCCAATCGAGCGCTAAAAAATTAAGGATAGACGTGATAATAATGCCAATGGAAATAAATGAAGTGGGTATCCATTAAATATATCCTATAATTACATGTATATGAAGAGAGAAGGGTATCTTGTCTAATAACATAGTGGATAGAAAGCGGGGGTTCACAGTTCGTTTTGATAATTGTATTAAATGCCCTGCTCGCGATCAGCTTCGACGTCACTGCTCATTACTTCTCGAGTTGCAAACTGCTTGAAATAAGGGGCAAACATAGACAGCCTTTCACAATCCTTGGCTAGCCAATCTCGATCCGAGTCTGATAGGAATGATGACACCGAAATAGTTTCGCGTGCAGAATCAAAGGATGATGACACCGGTTGCGGGTTTAAGATTCTCTTGTATAGGGAATGCGACTGCCACAGGACTTTGAGCAATTCAATGCGGCTAGGGGCTTCGGGGGCTTTGCCGGAGACAGCGAAAGATTGTGTTTTAAGCTTTCTCAGTGCTTTCTGTGCGGTGACGTCCTTTTCTGCATCGTCTGGCCCTGCATTCGATATGGTATTCGGCTCTCTTTCTCTATCCTGAGACGAGCTAGCAAAACCCGAACCTATGGGTATCTTCTCATACCTAATGTAACTAAATGCAAGTAGTTCGATGATGTCTTGGGTGCGTAGTCTCAAATGGGCAAGAGCTTTGAGAAGACGTGTCAGATGTAACTCGGTAGGTACGGTTGGTAGGCTATTAGGTGAATATTTCAGCCGCGCCTTGTCTATGTTTGTTGAATCTGAAACGAGTTTCTCCTTGTTAATAAGAGCACGAACAAGCTCTATATATCTTAGTATATAGCTAGGATCCAGTTTTGGAGCAACAGCAGAGATATCCAGGATCCTATTTGCAGTGTCTAGAACATTTGGATTATTCCTGTCGCGGGAACAAGTGCTGAGAGCAATGGTAATTGTCTTTCCGGCAACTAAATTTTCGGAGACCATGTGGTTTTCAATCACTTTTAGGGACTCAGCGCTGGCTCGATGGTGGCGTAGAAGGCGAAGGTATTCGTGACAGGAACTAGAGTCTGGCTTAACATTGTGGCTATCCTCGCCAGCGGAAGTAAGAGCGGTCCAATAATGCCGCCCGCTGGCAATTCCATTATGTGCCATCTTTTGGCAAATTTGAATTAGCAGTGATAGCTCAACGTTTGTTGGAGCCGGGAGGCTAACAGCGGGGTGCTTCTTTGAGCCTGGTTTTCCTTTCAATGCCGCACGGATTTCTGCAAGGTCAACAGGGTCAAATAGATGTAGTAGCATGTTTCTTTCTTCCTCTTTCCGCTTCTTCTCTTCCCTTGTCAATAGTTCATTGTCGTCTGACGTTTCATCTGGTATGCTTTGAAGCTTCATAACTTCGGCTTCGATCGCTGGTGGAACACGCAGGCTCATGCATTGTTTATACAAGCGTAGAACGTCAAAATATGACTTCTCAGTATCCTCTATCGCGAGCAGACGAGCCATCGAAGTCACCAGTCTTGAGTCTAGCACAAGGTCTCCTTTCCGCCATTTGCTAATGATCTCGCCCCATAGCTTCTTTCCAGACGAGACGGCTATCCTCTTCCTCCTGGAGATTTCCTTGACTGCTCTTGGTCCCTTACTAGGGTCTAGAGTATCAGTAAACTCAAGTACGGATGTTCGTATCGCATTTAGTATTATGGTATATGTGACGGAGTTGGGTGCGCTTTCTCCATACTCTGGAATCTCTCCTGCAAAGGCCCAGAGGCTCTTCATATCACGGTTGCGAGCGCATACGTTTAGTACAGCATTGATGTGTATAATGTTAGGTTTAGACTCGGAGTTGGAGTTTTTCATGGACTCAAAAAGGTTGAGAGCGGTTTCTGACGAGTATTTTGACGAGCCGGTCGCCAGCCCAGACAGGAGTATTGTAAACGTTTGTTCGTTTGGGGATCGCCCCCTCTTCTTCATCTATATTATAAAGCAAGAATATGCCGTCAGTCACATTGTAGGGATAATTGTAGAAGAAAGACTTACATCGTTGAATAGCTTTACCGCTTCCTTTCGACGCCCGTTTTTCATCTTGTGCTCTATCAGGGCATTCCAAGAGACAATACAGTCAATCTTCGCATTTTGGGATGCCCAAACCAGTAGAGTTGCCCTTTCCTCGTGGCCGAGCTTAAGTAACTGGTTCACTCTTCGAGCTAATGCCACTCTATCATAATTGATAAACTGCATCTCCCTCTCAAACTCAGCTTGGCTCATTCGTTTTTTGGGCTCTGGCCTGATGTGTCCATTTTCGTCATCTTCATTTTCCTCTGCCTCCTCCTGATCTTCCTCCAAATCCCTATCCTCCACCGTTTCTGCGGCTTTCATCTGGGCCTTCCGCTGCCATTTCCCCCTCTGCTCTATCGTTCGATAGCGATCCTTTGTGCCCCATTGCGTTGTGTCTGGACTAATTTCACTAGATCCACTGGAATTGCGTTTTTTCCAGGTACGTATGGGGGTATAATGGCGAATAAGGTAGCTAGGGTGCTGGGTTCGGGAGAGTAGAGAGACGGGGGATGTTGTGTTTCTGGCGGAGGTTAAGATAGTGCTTGCCCGCGAAGCACGAGTGCAACCAAGACTGAAATTACCAGGACGAAGCATTTAAGAGAAATATATCTGCTATCGGTGAGTGAATAGGAAGATATAACACGTTTTCAATGTCAAATGGCATGAAACCAAATCTGCTTCTCATGCTTTTCGGAGATAAAACAAACTTTTTGATAGTATTCTGCCACTCACCACCGCCTTCACGGATAAACTAAATTGCTACGAAAGTATTACATAATTAAACTTAATTAGATCATAATGACTAAGCCAATATGGGCTAGATATTAGTGACGTCACTTCTAGATTACATCGAAATGAGGCAAAAGAGCAACAATAAAAAACGGTTTCTATACCCCGTACCTGACTATCTTTGTACTTAGGCTGATAAACTATTTTTTAGCATGAAGATACTCAATATATGTCCGGGTAATAAGTCAAAAACATTGTTAACAACATAAAGGCGAGCCCATATGTCTGCTCATACTCAGGCCACAGTCTTTCCTGCGGAGGCGGATGATGAGTGTCTCCTGAGACTCTATACTTTGGTTTTTGAACCCCGGAATACAGAGGATGTACGCACGTATATGAGGGACGTTGCGAACACGGGGCCCGCTCGAGATAGAAACCAGCAACCCTATATGCTGCCGGCTTACCAACGAACGAATGACACCGTCACCCGGGATCAGGGTCAACCCCCTTCGTACGAGTCATTATTTCCTTCCAGCCACCAATAATCCCATTAGGCCTAGGACATATTCTCTAATAGGGGCCATTGCCATCACATCTATGCTTGGGAGGTGGAGTTTATCCTGATTTAGGAACATATAGATGTAATGTTAGAGGCGGAGGCAGGGTTAGAACAATCAAAATTCCATTCTATTCCAATATAGTCAAATCGAAATTGTTTAAGGTTCATGCTTTAACATGGAAACTAGAAAGAAGTCTAGAGCAAAGAGACAATCTTAGGTACTCGGGCAATTGGTTGAGCAATGAGCTTAGAAGCGAGCTGGTGTTTAGTGACGAGCTTAGTTGTTCATAACGGCAGCCTGGTAGCATTTTTCATTAGCTTACTGAGCAATCAAAGATAAAGGCTGGCAAGGGAATATTCATACTCGTGCATCTTCATAAACAGGCGTCAAGCCGGTCCAGTGCTCGAACTTTTGGAAATGATGTTAGCTTGCTTATTGATATCGGGCGTGTGTTCAATTGGAGCTTTCACCATACCTGATAGACTCCTTGGGCAACGAGAACTTCCAGTCCCTTAACAATTTTCCAACCAGCAGGCGATGCTAGCTGCGCAACGGCTGTTACATCAGGCTTGTAAGCCATATCCAGTATAATGCACTCCGCGGAATCTTCTTGACCCTTGTTCATGATAAGGGTAATCAAGTCTCGCAAAGGGTTGACAATTTCCTGGTCACCGGGTATGGTGCTGATTGCTACCTTGGGGGCAATCTTTACTGATTTGATATCTTCAACAACCTGGACGTTATATCCAGCTGGGAAGCTGGAACCGAGTTTAGCCAGATTCGCAGGTGTCCTTCCAACAAGATAGATGGGGGAATATCCCATGCTATGAAGTGAGTAGATAGCGGCCCGGGCGGTTCCACCACTGCCAATAATAAGAGCAGATTCTCCCTTCTTCAAATACATCGCTCCTGCATCCTTTAAGCACCGGGCCATACCTTGCCAGTCGGTATTAAATCCAACTAACTTCCGACTCTTTTTACCCTCTTCAAAAGCAGGAACAATGGTATTGACGGCACCTATGATCTTGGCTTCAGGAGAAATTTCATCAAGCAGTTCCATGATGTGTTCCTTCAACGGAATGGTTACTGACGCACCCCCAAACTCTTCCGAGCGGATGAATTCCTTGACATCACCGACATCGTCTGTCTCCAGGCGACCGTATTCGTGTGGGAAGCCAGCCTGTGCGAACAAGGTATTATGCAAAGCAGGGGATCTTGAAGCTGAGATGGGTTTACCAAAAAGGGCAAACTTCTTAGCGTCTAGTTCACCCATGAGTGTCAAAGCTTGTCGGATTTCTTTCGCGGAGATTTGCCCTGGTGCAGCTTTGAACGGAAGAGCTGGATGGGACACTGGAGTCATGAACCCGTTTAGGATGCGGCTAAGACGGCCTTTGTCGCCCATATTTATGGCGATAATTGGAACGGGGTAGGACTTCTCTGCCCAAGATTTAAATTGTTTCAGAGACAAATTATCGTCGAGAGATTTAGCAACCCCAATAAGCTTGATTACATCACCATGTTGTAGAGCCTTGTTGTAATATTGAATCCAGGATCCGTTAGACCACGAGAGCTGGCCGTTGACATCGTGATGGGAGGCAATGATTTTAGAGAACCCTTTCATCTCAGTCACTACATGAAGTAGGTTATCTGGAAATGAGATTTCCAGGTCAATAAATTCGGATCCCATACGAATGGCAAGCTTGTAGAGCCCCAAGGCTTCGTCAAAGGCATTGTCAGGGAACAACCCACCCTGCGCCTTGGTGCGAATGGTGAAGATAAGCGGTAGGGATACCTGGCTCCGGAGGAAGGATATTTGCTCTGCAACATAATTGACGGAAGGAATGCCTGAGGTCGACGAAGGGTCCTTGAGTAGGTCAACTCTTAACTCCACAGCATCAGACCCGAAGGAAGCTGCTTGGAGAATATTTCCACATGGCTGAAGATCTGGAAGCGTCAAGGACACAAAGAAAGAATGATCCCTCTTTTTCAACAACTCAAGGTGATCTGTATTGCCCATAACGACATTCAAAAACCTCGTGAAGCCTTGCATTGCCGCATCCAGTTCGCTTGGTTTTGAATGATGGCTATAATACTCGAGATTGCTGCATTCTTGATACCACGGTTCTCGACGAAGCCAGACGCCCATCATGTCTTCAATGTATGCGGGGCGAGTCTTGTCCATCTCAAGATACTCGATAACCTTCTTGATGTTGCGCATGATAAGGAATACATTTCCTTTGGTTTTATGGTAATTGATAAGGAGATCGCGGGCTTCTTTGGTTTCAACAATTCCACCGCCACAGGCGAAGACGTGTCCAACGGGCTTTTCGGCTATGACACGCTGAATCAAAGCGAGCTCGGCATCCCGGAACCCTTCCCACCCCTTTTCCTTGATAATATCCGGGATTGGCTTTCCTTCAACCTTTTCTAGCTCGGTGTCAAGGTCGATGAATGTACGGTTGAGTGTCTTGGAAATACCGTATCCGCTAGTCGTCTTGCCTGCACCACGCATGCCAATGAGGAATATAGATGCAGCAGACTTCGAGGATTTGCGATTTTCAACGGCGTTTTCTTTGGCTAACTCCTTACCATCTAGCGTCACTTTGAACGTTTGGGCCAAAGCATCCCACCATGCAGGCCATGTTTTACCCACACATTCCTTCTCCAAAATGAGGGTAGGTTGGGAGGAGGCTGCTGCTGCTAGTACACTGAAGCTCATAGCCACACGATGGTCATCGTAACAGTGAACTCCGTTGACTGGTACCTTCAACGCCGAACGGTCAATGCCGTCAATTTCAATACCATCATCGTGCTCTCTGCAGGTAACTCCAAACTTAGCAAGTTCGTCCTTCATTGCTTTAATGCGGTTGCACTCTTTGACTCGCTGATTTGCGATGCCATAGATACGGGTGGTGTTGCCGGATTTGTCGCTGGCAACGGCCGCAAGGACAGAAGCTGTTAAAAAGGCGTCGGTCATTGGTTCCATGTCAACATTGACAATGGGTTTCAAAGCACCATTTACAGGACCGGTAACGGTAGTGGAAGTGTCGGTTTGCTTGACGTTGCAGCCCATAGGACGCAATACGTCGACCGCAAAGCGAGCATCGCCTTGAAGTGACTTTGATCCGATGTTAGGAATAGTACATGTGGTTCCCGACATGGCAGCAATGGCGAGAGGATATGTTGCCGAGCTAGCGTCACTCTCGATAACATATTCCGGCGGATTCTTGTATTGGCCCTGTTGGATGTGATAGGTATATTCTTCAGATGTGGACTTCTCAACATTGATTCCGAAAGATTTCATCATAGCAGCTGTCATGGCAATGTAGGTTTCGGAAATAGGTTTTCCTCCAACAAGCTTGAGAGTGACCTTTTCCTTTGCATAAGGTGCACACATCAGTAATGATGAGACATACTGAGACGATACCTTAGCGGCCAGTTCTATCGCTCCACCCTTGAATCCGCCACATGCAGGAACCTTCAGTGGAAGACTTCCTTGTTGTTCGAGGTATTCAACAGATACCCCGTTGGCTTTGAGGGCATCGACCAAATCGCCAATTGGACGTTGCTTCATCCTGGCATTGCCAGTTAAGATATTGTGGGAGACATCTCCTTTCGCATTGGAAAGTGTTGCGACAGTCGTCAAGAATCTTGATGCTGTGCCAGCATTGCCTAAGTACAACTCATGGGCACTAGCAGCTAGCTTACCACCTTTGCCGTTGACGACGAGGACTTCGCCCTCTTCCTCCCATGAAAAAGTGGCTGCCCCCAATGCCTCTAGAGCATTAAGCATGACTTCTGTGTCATCAGAATGTAGAAGGTTTCTGATGCGGCATGTTCCCGACCCAAGTGCAGCGAGAACGAGTGCTCTGTTGGAAATGCTCTTGGATCCTGGAGGAGTGCAGGTGACCTGGAGAGATTTTGGGATTCCCGGGTAAACTTCGATACTGGGTGCGAGAACGACCTTAAGTTGCTCGTTGGAAACAACACTCGCCTTCTGTTCGTGTGTACGGCCAATGGCGGAAAGGAGAACAACCTTCTTCATTGGTCCATCATTCTTTTTATCAACAGCCATAAAGGCAATGAGCTTATCAACAGGGCATTTCTTTCCTGCGCTCAAACGTCGAATTCGTGCATCCTTTAGAGAGGTAGGTAGTCCATATCGAGTCAGACATTTAGCAAGACGAGCCACAGCAGCACCCTTAAGGATTCCCAAGTATCGCGCGAGTTCCACTTCCTTGATCATTCCAATGGAAACGCATTCTCCATGAAGGACCTGTGGAGCAAGTATAGCCTCGATGGCGTGGCCGATAGAGTGTCCAAAGTTAAGGAGATTCCGTAGTCCGCCTTCCCTTTCGTCTTTGGATACTACATCTGCCTTGAATCGCGCAGACGCCAGAATGGTTCTCTTGAGAATGTCCTGGATTCCACTGAAACGAGAGCGCTCTGGAGTATTTTCAGTCTTGAGTGCTGCGGCAATGGCGTCTGCGTTCTCCTCTAATTCTGCGAACGTTGCTTCGCTTGAAATTGCAGCAGTCTTAGGAGAGTGTAAGCTAGCCAGGTATTTAAACTTTAAGGAGGAAAGAACGTGAATAGCTAACTGACCTTGATAACTTCTGCCATTCCATTGGTAAATTCCCGTTGCGGTAGTGTGTTCAAAAATTCCATATCCAAGTATATTTTCTCAGGCTGCCATATGGAGCCTATCAGATTCTTTCCATTTGGGGTATCAATGGCGGTTTTACCTCCAATTGAGGAGTCCACCATAGCCAAAAGTGTAGTTGGCACCTGTACAAATCGAATGCCACGCATATAAGTCGCAGCAACGAAACCTGATAGGTCTCCAATCACCCCACCACCGAGAGCAATCAGCACTGTGTCTCGACCACATGGCGGCTGGCAACTCAGCATCCAGTCTTCGATCTCTGCCTTGGTTTCACGGCCCTTCGACGACTCTCCGGGTGCAATCTTGTACGTGAGCAGTCGAGGTTTTGGGGATTTTTCAGCTGCAGCCTCTTCGAACGCCTTCTCAAAGTCCGGAACGTACAAGGGGGCTATGTTCGTATCAGAGATGAGGATATATGTCGATGAGGGGAGCGTCTGAACAAGGTCTCTGGCAACATGGCGTCTCCATATGCCAAAATCAGCAACTATGCTGTCGCGGCCTAAAATCTGAATCGTCGTTGGCTCCATGATGAAGTGGTCGACCTTGGTGTGGGGAGCTAACTATAGAGCAGGGGGAGGGGCAAGCTCTCAGCTGGCCAGTCCTTTTTCTGACGGTCAACCGCAGCGAAAGACGAGTTCAATGTAGCGACCTAATTCATCACAGTGCCGTAAACAGTCGGATTAGCACAGGGTTTTCAGAGCCGCAGCCGTTCCAATTGAGATGGTAGCTGAAGAGGAGGAGAGAAGGTACCGAAAATTGAGCGCAAGCTAAGGCACTAGTTAAGCTCCCCGAACCAGGGTATGAGTAATAACTCAGGTAACTAGTAACTAGTTAACTGGGTTAGCTGGCCCCGACGATCGGAGGACCTCGAGTGAATAACTATATATTTCAACCGGACGTGCCAACCGCGGCAAGCAATATATATCGATTAACTAGACGGTCTCAAAGCATACAGCAAAATCAACCAACAAAAGATACAAAAAGTCGACGTCGTTTTTTTTGTTGAAGTCAAAAGATGGTTTCTGCCATCCTTCACCGCCTTTCAGGTCCGGTCTTGGTCGTTTTTCTAATAATAAACCAAGAGACGAAGAAGATATAAAAAAAAGGCCAACGATATAGAAGTTACGGAGTACATGATATAAAAAAGGAGAAAAAGAAAAGAAATGGGAGATGGACAGTGAGAGCGTTCTATTCGTACAGTTATACGTAGGCTAGGCGAGTTCGGTGCTTGCTTAATATCTGCCGTACCCGTCACTGCGGCCTCCTCGACCACGGCCGGACCCCCTGGAGTTGTAGTAGCCTCCTCCCCTGCCATCATAGGATCCTCCTCCTCCTCCTCCGCCGCGCCCGTACCCGCCGCTCCCGCCGCCCTGGTAGTGAGCGCGGTCTTGGTAGGGGTTGCGAGGAGCGTTGCCATAGGGTGGAGCGTTGTGTTGGGACCAGTTGTGTCGAGGAGGCTGCTGGTAATGATCCCCATAGCCTCCGCCATATCCGCCGCCGCCGCCGCCGCCGCCGCCCCCCCGAGGATGTCCCCCTCCCCGAGACCGATACCGATCAGAGCCGTTGTAGGTGTTTGGGGGTGCAGGATTATACCCAGGAGGGCCTCCGCCCATGTGCCGTGGTGGAACATAGCCTGGCGGCAAGTGAGCAGCAAACGGGTTGGGGCGGTCATTGCTGGCATATGATATCTGGCCCCCTCTTCCGCCTCCCCTGCCTCTACCACCGCGGTTCGAATGGAGTGGTGCACCGCCGAATGACCTCCCAGAGTGCCGAGCTTTGTTTCTGGTGATTTCTAGATCTGTCTTGTCCAGGGCTGGCTCCTTGAACTTGACACCACGTAGCAGCATGGATTTATGGGTGTGCATAGACTTGGGCATTTCATAGTAAACACTATTGCATCACAAAGGTTAGCACATGAACGAAGGTACATATATATTAACGTGACAGGGAATAAATTTTACCTTATTGACCGATCTTCGTCAAGTGCAGGGATATCGGCGCCGTCCACCTCCAGGGATAGAGAGCTGTGAGGCAGATATGATTCGTTCTTCTCGACTTTCCCGCCGAGTCCCTCGCTGATACGCATGTTTAATTTTAGCTTTGACGAGCCTTGTTTCTTCGAGTAGAAATTGGCTGTCAGAGATTCGTAGAGAGGATGTTTCTCTGATAATAGTAGCACATCCTTCCCCATGGCATTGCGGGCTTGCTCCGCCTCAGACAATAAGTGATACCGCTTATCCATTGCTGCCAACAGTCGTTTCTCGTCAATGAATGGTAACAGGGCAACCCCCTGCCAAGCAAACTTCTTCCCGTTTAGATCAACGGGGAAGTCCTCTGGGTAGAAGTCAATGATCTCACTGTTTTCATCGGACATGAGGTCACGGAACACCTCGGGAATAGCATGATTCGAAGCTGCAGGCAAGACTCCCATCAGCTGCTCGAATGGCTTGAATGGAGTTCCCTTGTTAAATTGTACATCCATCTCGCCAATGTCAACAAAGTCTGCGGCAAAGGGCGCATAGTGGTAGGGATAATACCAAGTCCAGGATGGACATCCCTGGAAATAATACAAAAGGACCCAACTTAGTCCTTCAACGTATGCCCGCGCTACCTTGTGTCGGAAAGCAATGTCTTTGGGGCTTACCCCAAATTTCTGCTCATAGTACCGGTCTGCATATCCGTCTTCCCAAAGCCGTACTGTATCCGGGGGCATCTCGTCTTCCTTGGGCTTTGCCGGAACCTCGACTGCTTCCTCTTCTTCCTCTTCCTCTTCTGCTTCCGCTTCTGTGTTTGAATTTTCAAACACATCAGACTTTCGTTTTCCAAGCTTTGAGCCGGATGCCGCAGAAGGTTCTGGCTCCTGAGCATCTTTAGCGTCAGCATCGTCTTCTGCTGTACCACCGGAGAGAAGCTGAGCTTTGAGAGCGGCAGCAGCGCTTTTGTTTGCCATGTTGGCCTTGTAGACTGCTCCACGGTTAACGACCATAGCGTGCGTCAGCTCTCTCTCGGCTCTCGTTAACTCCCCTTTGCCTGGCACGACAAGAGGTGGAATATCTGGAACTGGCTCAGCACCACGAGAGCCTCTTCGCTTCTTCCGAGCATGATCGTTATTATTGTTCCTGCGCTGACGGTCTTCCTCCTGGCGTCGTTTAGCATTTGCATTCCTCCGCTCCTCGGTCTGTCGCCGACGGCGGAAGATTGCATCCTCCTGCTTTGCTAGTCCCTGCAAAATTAACTGCGCCTTTGCTAAATCAACTCGGCCATCCTTCGTTAGGTAGCCACCCATCTGCGGAATATTATCACGCCAAATTGCGATAAGAGTGTCTATGCCATTTTCACGAATTTCCAACGACGGAAGGTGAGGCAAGAAATCATTACCAACGAAGAAACACATGAATACCCAGTCATCCAAAGCTCTCTCGAGATCAAAAGGAAATGGTTGTTGAGGGACCTGCATTTCTACAGCCAGATATTCACGAAGTATCGAAACATGAAGCCAGATAAATGGTTTCAGAGGGCTCCCCTTTTGCTTTTCGTCAAATTCTCCTTGCTTTTCTTTCGCCTTCCCTGTGCAGGCCTCTTCAACATGGCCAGCTTGCCCGCATAGTTTGCAGGTTCTGGCTTTTGATTCTTGGAAAAAGACATCTTCTCGCAAAACACGGAAGTGTGGCTCGTGGGTGCCTAGTCCCAACATAATCAAATCGGCATCCTAAATGATAGTTAGCGGCCATCTACGTCGCAGGTATAGGTATAGATATAGATGTCACTAACCAGACCGTAGATTACGTGCCGAGTATTGGGATCATATTCTGGACAAGCACGCTGAGAACGGACAAACTCCATAATCTTGTGCTCTCCCTCACCTGGAACAGTGGCATCGGAAATAATTATTTTCAGCTGAGAATGACAGTTAGCATACGTCCAAGCAGATAATAACAAACACGACTGACCTTTTCCCAACCAGGGTCGGTACTTAGCTTATACGCGACCCAGTATCGTAGCGCGAGAGCAAGAATATCCATAAAAGGTGTGCCTGGTGTGATGACATTGGTATCCCAAGTTTTCTTAATCACCTCTTCGGCAATTGTTACATCTGACTTTCCACGCTTCTGTTTCTTAAGCAGCTTTGCGAATTCTACTTTCTTCTCGTCTTCAGCCTTTGCATCCTGCGCAGAACGGAATCGACGGGAGCGTTGTTGGTTCATTTTAGCACGGGGCGCGACGCCATCTAAAGTAAGAGAAAACCAAAATTAGTACCAAATATATAGCAGAACGAGTAGATTTCAGTGGGGAGAGAGAATGAAAGGTTATAACTCCCCTTGGCGACTATAAACACATCATGCAAATATAATGTAGCCGTCCGAGGGGAGACCTCTAAATTCCCCACATCCGTAAGCCCGACATACCAACAGCAATCATCAACAATTTTCTTGGTCGGACCATGTTCACCACCCTGTCTGTATATTTGAAAATCTCCAACATCATCTCGCCTTCGTTTGCTGGTGGAGGCTTGCCCTCAGGATGCGTACACGGGTGGACGATACCGTTCATGTCCAGGTAGAGATTATCCATCTCTTCGCCATTAGGATTCGGCTTGGTGATATCGACTGGTATTTCCTGCCCGTCTATTTCCTGCGGCTGCTCTTCAACGACGGCAGACACGATCTTTGGGTACTTGGACGAAAGCCATCGGAAGAGGGCTGGGACACCCATCGTGATGTCGTGCCGGGGGCTGTGTCGGCGGGAAAGATGAGAAAGGAAAACCTAGTCTCTTCGACTTGTTCCTTTTGCGCTAAACGATTGATACCAGCGACTAGGCTATCAGGAGCACGTCAACGGCCTGCTCGCTCTTCTTCTGCTCTTCTCCTGCTTCTTCGTGACGCCTTCGGCTTTTCAGATAATTTAAAATAAAAAATATCCAATATTTTTCCGAAACCTAATTTTAATCACGTGATATATCAATTAGCTGGAGCAAAATAAACTACTTGCAGCGTCTTTGATAGTTGCTATTGATATTAATTACGACAGACACAGTAGGAGGAGAAGACAGGCGGCATTTGAGGGCGTGGGACCCGTTGCTACTTGGCCTGTATTATTTGAACCATTTTACTCTCCCTACATGAGCATGTGCTGCCCCATTGACCGGCGGTGATGGTGCTGTTTCGGTCCCGTAGTACACCATGTTTCGCATCCTCGAATCCCAAGCTCCAGCGCGGCAGACGGCGACGGACACAATAAATACACTGAGCAGCCGGCTGCAGAGTGCGACGCTTTTGGAAGACCGCCGAGCAGCCATACTTGGGCTACGGAGCTTCGCCAAGGGATATCCTGCCTCCGTTGCGTCGGAGGCATTGAGGCCCTTGATCACTTCCCTCCGTAATGATGTGGAGGACGTTGATACTATCAAGCTGGTCCTGGAGACTTTGTTGATGCTTTTTTCTCCCGAGGAGAATAGTGTGGGTTGCACAGGCTGCCTTGGATTACTTGCTAGGAAACTAATTATCCCGGTAAACAGCCAGAAGCGTCCGATGAACTAGCACTGTGGCTAGCGGATGAGTTTACTCAGGTAAGTTATTCTCTATATTCTGCAGAAGATAAGAAGCTAACAAGGCAATGGACAGAGACAAGACAATATCACAATCCTGCTTGACCTTCTAGACACGAAGGAATTTTACTCCAGACTCTACTCCCTCCAACTAATATCTCAGATTTCCACGGCTCGCCCAGAGAGAACACAAGAATGCATTCTGACGGCACCTTTAGGCATATCTAGGATTGCTGCTGTATTGAGTGATTCAAGGGAACCAGCTCGTAATGGTACGAACACAGGTTTTATCTCCCTAAGGATATATGTGGAGTTACTAACTTTCAACTCTCGCAGAGGCACTTCTTCTTCTCATTGCACTCACGATCTCTTCTGCCGAGTTGCAGAAAGTAGTGGCTTTTGAAAATGCTTTTGAGCGGATCTTTTCCCTAATCGAAGCGGAGGGGTCTTTAAAGCATGGATCTAGGACATTAGAGGATTGTTTAGCTCTGCTAGGGAACCTCCTGCAGTTAAACCCTTCAAACCAATCATTTTTCAGGGAGACAGGTTGCGTGAAAAAGCTGGTATTACTTTTGGAAGACGCAATGAGGGACCCTAAGCCTGATGAAGAGTTTCCGGTCTGGATGCTAGAGCAACGCAATAAGAATATCTGGGGAATTCTTGCCATTATCCAGCTATTTCTTGTCAAGCGTGGTATCAGTACCCCGGTGAACCAGGCAACCTTTTGGCAGAGTGGCACTATGCAACAGTTACTCAGGGCTGCTTTTAAAGAAGACTTTGACGTTTCTCTCAAATCTAAGGTTGGTTTTTCATAGTCAGCTAAGAATGCTTAATATGTAGTAGCTAACATTTAAGCAAAGGCTCTCCTTGCTGCTTCAGACCTGATCTGTTCAAATGCAACACTCCAGGAAAAGTTTTCGGATATGGAGGTTACCATTACATCTACCCCGGTTGATCAAAGGCTGGTCAATGGAAATGCGCCGGTCCAAAACGTTGAAAGACTCAACGTCCTGGAAGCATTGCTGCGTCTAACTTTGCAGCAAGGCCCCGTAAACATGCTGGATGCACGTCTCGCGTCCTGTGACTGCGTCCAGGCTTTCTTTACGAATCATTCAGGAATCAAACTTCACTTCCTGAACAGAGCAATAAGCGGCCACACGGGCGGTGGTGATGAGATTCCAAATATATTTTCTATCCTTATCCGGCCGCTGGATTTCGATGCTACGAAAGATCCTTACCAGCTATGGCTAGCCTCTGTCCTGCTATTTCATCTGATATATGAAGACCCTGAAGCTAAGGCCGCCGCAATGAAAATTACCGAGGGTGACGCTGAAAGCGGGGAAGAAGTAGTAACGTGTGTACAGGCAGTGGCTGGTAATTTGATCACGGGTATCCAGCGGAATGATGACGAGAGAATATCGGTTGGATACTTGACTTTACTCTGTGGCTGGCTATTTGAAGACCCAGACGTGGTTAATGATTTCTTGGGCGAGGGTAGCAGTGTTCAAAGCCTGATCCAAGAGGCCAAACAGGAGGGCTCCCCGGACTCTCTGCTTCCGGGGCTATGTGCTGTTCTTCTTGGGATTATCTACGAATTTTCAACAAAGGACTCCCCCATTCCCCGGTCAACTCTTCATCAACTGCTAGTTAGCAGGCTAGGAAGAGAACAGTACATTGACAAGATCACGAGGCTTCGAGAGCACCCGTTGGTTCGTGACTTTGAAGTTCTGCCACAAACAGTTCAAGGGCAACAGGACTCTGGACTTCCTGACATCTTCTTTAAAAAGACCTTTGTGGATTTTCTGAAGGACAATTTCAGCCGATTAATTCGAGCTATCGACCGCGATCCTGGTATGGAGGTGCCTGTGATGGCAAATGGAGTCCCCAAGGGAATATCACGCGAACTAGTGGATAGCCTGAGGGCTCAAGCTGAAGAACGGATCCAGGCTATTCAGAACCTGGAGTCAGAGATGCTGGATCTCCAGCGTAAGCTAGATCAAGAGCACATGGACCACAAGCGAACCAAGGATTCAAGCAATCATGAGCTACATAGGGTGAACCAGGCCAATGAGTCCATGCAAAAGACGCACCAGGCTGAACTCTCCAGGTTGGAGGAGCAACACACTTTAACCAGAAGTGAACTTGTCAGGAACTATGATGAGCAGCTGCATGCTCTCGATAACAAACTGAAGCAATCTACCAACGAGAATGAAAGGCGTACTGCCAAGCTTAAAGAAATGCATGAGAGCGAAGTTACAGAGTTGAAGCAAACCGTGCAGAAACTAGAAGCCAGCCTTGCAAAGGCCAACAAGGACCACATCCTGGACCTCCAGACCGCACACGAAGAGTACACGGTGAAGCTGTCTGATCTAGAAGCAAAGAATCGACGAGCGGAGGAAAAGGCACAGGAGGCACAGCAACACAACAAGTCGCTAGAGAAGAGCCTGAAGGAAGCTCGGGAACGAGCCGAGAAGCTGCAAAAATCCAGCGAGGAGAGTGAAGCTGCTCGAAAATCAGCACAGAACGAACTGGAAGATTTGTTGATAGTGTTCAGCGACCTCGAGGCAAAAAGGAAAGCAGACAAGGTAAGTGATCTGACAGTAGTATTTCTTTTCTCCCCTCCCAGATCAAGTGTTGCTTACACCGACTATAGAAGCGGCTTGAAGCACTGGGCGAAGAAGTATCCGACATCGACGACGAGGACGATGATGACGATGATGAGGATGAAGACGAAGACGAAGTGGACGCGGAATGATTGCCTACTACATGGTGGCGCATTTGATAGTCGGCCATATTGCAGAACGAGTGACGAAATAATCATATATATTGTTAGCCATTGACATCTAGCTGCCCTTAACCTTTACTCATAGAACTTCCATCTATTCCTTTTTATCGTCTGAGCCATTGCTTTGTACATACGAGCCACCAATATGACTACTGTTGTCCAAATATTCCTTACTGTGTATAAAAAGGGGGCTAGAGCCGCCGTTTTCCACCCACCGCTGACTCACACACGAATTTTAGCAGGGCTTAAATAACTGACCTCACCCCACACATCATACACAGCAGAGTCACAACACCATTCTTCGCGACGCCATGTCTATCGACTTTCCAAAGGAAGAGGAGGCCATCCTCAAACGATGGAAGGAGATCAGGGCCTTTGAGCGCCAGGTCGAGTTATCCAAGGGCAAAAAAGAGTACACCTTCTACGATGGCCCGCCATTTGCGACTGGATTACCCCACTACGGGCATTTGCTTGCGTCCACCATAAAGGACATCATTCCTCGATACTGGTCGATGAAAGGCTATCATGTCGAGCGTAGATTTGGCTGGGATACGCATGGTGTTCCGATCGAATATGAAATCGACAAAATGCTGGGGATGTCGGGCTCTGAAGCCGTTGAGAAGCTTGGTCTTGAGGCCTACAATGCCGAATGCAAAGCCATTGTCATGAGATTTTCTACAGAGTGGAGGCAGACTATTGACAGACTGGGCCGTTGGATTGATTTTGATAATGATTATAAGGTGGGAGCTCTCTTCATTCTGGCGTGATGGCGGCTAAATTGACCTTGCTAACTGATTGCTGCGCACATGCCTAGACGATGGACACCACTTTTATGGAATCTATCTGGTGGATATTGAAACAGCTATTCGACAAAGGCGTTGTATACCGCGGGTACAGAGTCATGCCTTACTCGACCGCATTGAACACACCATTGAGCAATTTCGAGGCTCAGCAGAACTACAAGGATGTCCAAGATCCTGCCGTTATCGTTTCATTCCCTCTACTCGATGACCCCCAAACTTGCCTTTTGGCTTGGACGACCACGCCTTGGACCCTTCCATCGCATGTTGGCCTTGCAGTTCATCCGGATTTTGAGTATATCAAGATTCATGACGAGGCCTCCGGGAAGAACTATTACATTTTGGAGGCCCTATTGGGGACTCTTTATAAGAACCCTAAGAAGGCAAAGTTCAAGATATTGGAGCGCGTTAAGGGGTCTGATATGGAAGGATGGAAATATGAGCCTCTCTTCGACTATTTCTATGACAAGTTCAAGGACCACGGGTTCCGCGTTCTTACTGCAACATATGTTACCGCTGACAGTGGTGTTGGAATCGTCCACCAGGCTCCGGCCTTCGGTGAAGAGGATTACAACGTTGCCATGAAGTCCGGTGTCATCAGCGGGGACAGGCTGCCTCCGAACCCTGTGGATGAAAGGGGTCGATTCACGAAGGAGGTCAGAGATTTTGCGGGCATGCACGTCAAAGAAGCTGACAAGGCCATTATTAAATATCTGAAGGGCACAGGCCGATTAGTCGTGGATAGCCAGATCACCCATAGTTATCCATTCTGCTGGAGATCTGATACCCCTTTGATTTATAGGGCAGTGCCTTCATGGTTCGTCAAGGTCACACCCGTCATTCCTGCCTTGTTGGAATCTATTGAGAAGTCATACTGGGTTCCTTCTTTTGTCAAGGAGAAGCGGTTTGCTAGCTGGATAGCAAATGCACGAGACTGGAATATCTCTCGAAACCGTTATTGGGGTACACCTATCCCGCTATGGGCCAGCGAGGACTTTGAAGAGATCATCGCTGTTGGAAGCGTGCAAGAACTGAAGGAGCTGAGTGGTTATACCGGCGAATTGACCGACCTTCATCGTGACAAGATTGACCACATTACCATCCCCAGCAAGAAAGGAAAGGGCACGCTCCGCCGCGTGGAGGAGGTGTTTGACTGCTGGTTTGAGTCGGGAAGCATGCCGTACGCATCTCAGCATTATCCATTCAAGGACAAAGAGCATTTTGAAGACAAGTTCCCCGGTGACTTTATTGCCGAAGGTCTTGACCAGACTCGTGGATGGTTCTACACTCTTGCAGTTCTGGGTGTACATCTTTTCGGGAAATTGCCATTCAAAAACTGCGTTGTCAATGGCATCGTCCTCGCGGAGGATGGAAAGAAGATGTCAAAGCGTCTGAAGAACTATCCGGACCCAGCCCTAGTTATGGAGCGGTACGGCTCTGATCCACTTCGACTGTACCTCATCAACTCACCAGTCGTCCGTGCAGAACCATTGAGATTTAAGGAGTCGGGTGTTAAGGAGATCGTTTCTAAGGTTCTGCTGCCACTTTGGAACAGCTACAAGTTCTTTGAAGGCCAGGTCGCGCTATTGAAGAAGGTTGAAAACGTCGATTATATGTTTGATCCTAAGGCGGAGACCACAAACACCAATGTCATGGATCGTTGGATCCTGGCAAGCTGTCAAAGCTTGCTCAAATTCGTGAATGAAGAGATGGCTGGTTACCGACTCTACACCGTGGTTCCGAGATTACTTGAACTTATCGACAACACAACCAACTGGTATATCCGATTCAATCGAAGACGTCTAAAGGGAGAACTTGGTTTGGACGATACTCTGCATGCCCTCAACACCCTTTTCGAAGTTCTTTACACTTTGGTTCGCGGGCTTGCCCCCTTTACCCCGTTCATCACCGATACCATCTACCTTCGCCTCCTTCCACATATTCCGGAGGCGCTCCGAGGGGAGGATAGCCGATCAGTCCATTTCCTTCCGTTCCCAGAGGTTCGAGAGGAGTTATTCAATGAGACTATTGAGAGACAGGTAGGGCGCATGCAGAAGGTGATAGAACTTGGTAGAGTTTCTCGTGAGCGCCGAACCATCGGTTTGAAATGTCCTCTGAAGTCCCTAGTCGTTATCCACAAGGACCAAGAATATCTGGATGACGTCCGCTCGCTAGAGTCATACATTGTCGAGGAGCTCAATATCCGTGACTTGATACTCTCATCCGACGAAGCCAAGTATAATGTCCAGTACAGTGTTGATGCTGACTGGCCGGTTCTCGGCAAGAAGTTGAAGAAGGACGTGCAGAAAGTGAAAAAAGCTCTGCCGTCTCTCTCCAGTGACGACGTGAAGAAGTATGTTAACACTGGGAAGATACTTGTTGACGGCATTGAACTAGTCACGGGAGACCTTGTTGTGAAGCGAGGATTGAAGCCAGACGAAGGCTCCTCTGAACTAGAAACCAACACTGATGACGACGTTCTTACTATCTTGGATGCAGCCTTGTACCCTGACCTCGCAGACGAAGGTATTGCACGAGAGATCGTCAACAGAGTCCAGCGCCTTAGAAAGAAGGCCGGTTTGCAAGTAACCGATGACGTTGGGATGGAATATCGTGTCCTATCTGATCCTGATGAGATTGGAATTGAAGCGATATTTGACAGGCAAGCCAAGGCTCTTGAAAAAGCGCTTCGAAGACCCATGGACAAACATGTCATTACTGAGGTCGAAGGGAAGATCCCTGATGTCGAAGAGTCAGTGATCATGGAGGAAGTTCAAGAAGTGCAAAAGGCAATGTTCCTGCTTCGGCTAGTCAAGATATAAAAAAGAATACTCCTGTTTCGTAGTGTGAGTGTTTAGATACAATATTAGACACGTTTTCTAGTCTAATAGATTCTGGAGCTATTGTAGCCCATCCATCAGCTTTTGCCTATCGTATGTAATGCATGTTTTATTGTCTCTTTGCTGCCGCCTACATCAACCGTTAGTACTTACATTAAAAAAACACACAGAGCAAACGCTTACCAAATAGCAATCTTTCAACTTCATAAATTCTTTAGCACACATATCCTTCGATACAGCAGTGTAATCGGCCAGGATACACTTCCCATACACAGTTGCCTGACTCGATTTGGTTAACATAGTCTTTATTTTATGCCAACCTATGCTAAGGACATAATCTCACCTCTGCAGAGCATTTCGCAGCTGCCTGAGCAAACTTTTCGATGGGCCTTGTCTTTCCAGGCATGCTGAGCTAGAAAATAGCCACCCCGAGGCCTTTGCTGGGTGTGTTTCCGGCGTATCAAGTCCGGTTGGCCTCTTGTGGTTCCCTTCGACGAAGTGAAAATAACCAAAAAATGCAAGTTCGAGGTCTAAAATAGATGACTAATATGTATTAGACTTACGATAATTACGGTATTTAATACTTGAACTAGAGGACCAAAAATACGGCGGATACAGTGCACTTTTGCAGCGAAATAGAGATATGCACAATCTACATAAAACATCTCGATGCACCGGAAATGAAGTGTTTGACCCTCCCGGAGGACGAGCGGATGGAAGGAATTGTCCTTTATGCACGGAAAGATTTGGGATATCGATATTCCGTCCAACCTCGGCCGCCTAACTCTATAAATCACCTGACTTGTGCCTCGGCTCGCAGCTTCTGGTGGTGCCCCTTTTGGAGTCCCTCGACTCGACGTCCTTGTCCTTCGTCCGTTCTGATATCAGGCCTTTCTTCTGGGCCTTCGGAGACCGGCAGACTACCCTCTCGGGTGCGGTTCCGGTAGACCCTATTGGTAGAGCTGGCACGGCTGTAACCGTTTGATCGGGAAGCCCGAGTGCAAAGGCCATGCTCTACATGGATGTATATTGGGAAGAAAACCGGCCAGACCAATCATGTCTGCTTCAATGGCAGCTGACGTCAAAGGCGTTTCCAGCCGGCAGTAGGCCTTGATATTGCTTCCTAGCCATGTCCAAGGCAAATATAATATAAATATAGCCTCGAGAGCCAGAGCTGGGTCTCCTTTTGTCTTTCGTTGGGATAACCATACTCATAACTACCTAAGTTAAAGGAAAGATTGGGCAGTATGCCGGAACCGATTCCTGGGCCAGCGCCGTTACCTATTGTTGGGAATGCCCATAACCTTGACCTTGTAAACTCCTTTACCACGTTTGGGAACCTCACGGATACATATGGTGCGTCTTGGTCACTTCAAGTTGCCTTTTTGAGAGGGGCATTCTGACAAGATGATGTGATGTGTAGGACCGATCTTTAAGCTTACCCTGGGTGGTGAGGAGAAGATCTTCATCACTACTCATGCTTTAATGGATGAAGTTTGCAATGAGAAGCGGTTCTCAAAACTCGTTGCTGGTGGTCTGGCTCAGATCAGAAATGGAGTTCATGATGGGCTCTTCACGGCTCACCCAGGGGAGCATAACTGGGAGATTGCACATCGTGTTTTGATGCCAGGTAAGTTATAGGAGATGCTGGTGTGGTGCCGAGTAACAACAGATTCGCTGATGTGAAGAGGGTAAGCGTTTGGTCCATTATCAATTCGTGCCATGTTCGATGAGATGCATGATATTGCATCCCAGCTGGTAATTAAATGGGCTCGATTTGGTCCCAATGAGAAGATCCATGTGACGGATGATTTTACGAGGCTGACTCTTGATTCTATCGCTCTGTAAGTCTTGTATTAGTCTTGACAAGACGGCCTGTGAGCCTGCTTGCTGATGGGTGGCTTAGGTGTGCCATGGGGACCCGATTCAACTCGTTCTATCATGAAGAGATGCACCCATTTGTTAATTGCCATGACTGGTTTCTTGGCCGAGTCTGGTGCCAGAGCAAGTCGTCCAGCTGTTGTTCAGTATTTTATGCACCTCGGCTCAGCAACAGTATGATGCCGACATTGAGCTGATGAAAAAGGTCCGCTGGAGACTTGATTGCTGACCGGAAAGCCCCACCCAAATGACAAAAAGGACCTGCTCAACGCCATGCTAAAAGGAAAGGATGCTAGAACCGGAGAACAGATGACTGAAGAGAGCATCATGAACAATATGATTACGTTCCTAATTGCCGGTTCGCTGATGCCCATTTTATCACAGCAGGCGTTGTCGAAGCTGCATCACTAATTGATCTTATAGGCCACGAAACAACCAGCGGCCTTTTGTCATTCTTGTTTTATTATCTCCTGAAACATCCATCAGCGTACCAAGCTGCGCAGCGTCAGGTGGATGAAGTCGTGGGCCGCGGGCCCATTACTGTCGAGCATATGTCTAAGTTGCCCTATATAGAGGCTTGCATGCGTGAAACACTCAGGCTTTCACCTTCTGCGATAGCTATCCAAATGCAATCCCGGCCGGATGGCCAAGAGGATCCAATCTACCTTGCCAATGGGAAGTATCAGGTTAATAAGGGCCAGGCAATCGTTTGCATTATCCCCCAAATCCACCGTGACCCATTAGTGTACGGAGATGATGCCAACCTTTTCAGGCCAGAACGAATGCTGGATGAACCTTTTGCAAAGCTTCCCAAGAACTCCTGGAAGCCATTCGGCAATGGTGTGCGTGGATGTATTGGTAGGCCATTTGCGTGGCAGGAGACCATACTCGCTGCTGCAATGCTCCTCCAAAACCTCAATTTGCGATTTGATGACCCAAGCTATCAGCTGCAAATCAAGCAGACTCTCACTATAAAGCCGAAAGACTTTTTCATGCGTGCGACTCTAAGACACACTGCTGACCCGATCCAGCTGGAAAAGATGCTTCATATGAATATAAAGACGGAAACCAACGCTGCAGAGAAGGGTAGGAAGGCCGGTGCACCATCAGGCGGGTCAGCAAAGAAACCCATGACCATCCTTTACGGCTCAAATGCAGGTACCTGTGAAGCTTTGGCGCAGAATTTGGCTCGAGACGCCTCTAGCAGAGGTTACCATGCTCAAGTCGGTCCGTTGGATTCAGGTGTTGACAAAGTACCCAAGAATCAGCCGGTGATCGTCATATCATCCAGTTATGAAGGCCAACCTCCGGACAACGCTGCACATTTTGTCGAATGGATCCAAGGGCTCGACAGTGATGCGATGTCTGGAGTGAAATATGCAGTATATGGCTGTGGGAATCGTGCGTATTCTGTAACCCTTTCTCTGTCTACCCATGGGCTTAGGTTGTTACTGACCTTTGTAACTTAGACGATTGGACATCTACGTTTCACAGGATACCAAAGCTTCTGGATTCAGAGTTCAACAAGTGCGGTGCGACTAGAGTCGCTGATATCGGCCTTGGGGATGTAGCAGAAGGGGACATCTTCAACCATTTCGATAAATGGCAAGATGAGCAACTCTGGTCTTCAATTGGGGGTGAAGTAGACCCAGCAGAAGAGGGCACCGTGGAGGTTGATATCGATACAGATGCCCGAAAGTCTACTCTCCGTCAGGATGTGAGAGAAGCAACTGTCATCAGCAATACAGTGCTGACGGCACCAGGAGAACCAGAGAAGAGGCACCTTGTTTTAACCCTTCCTACTGGGATGTCGTATAAGGCCGGAGACTATCTTGCAGTGCTCCCTATCAACGACCAGAGAAATATTCGACGAGCCTTGAACCGTTACACCCTCCCGTGGGACGCTATGCTGACTATCAAGGTTGGGGCTAACACCACCTTGCCAACGGGTCACCCGGTGTCCGCCATGGATGTATTGAGTGCATATGTTGAACTGGGCCAACCAGCCACGAGGAAGGTATGTAATGCAGAGAACGCTCTGGTTAGACCACAATAAGCTGACAATTTTCGAATAGAATGTTGCTCGCATTGCATCCAGCATATCCGACGAGAAGATTCGTGAGGAAGTCCTAACACTTTCAAAAGAAGGATTTGAAAGTGAGATCCTAAAGAAACGCCGTTCTCCGTTGGATCTTCTTGAAGAATATCCAACTGCTGAACTACCTCTCGGCGATTTCCTCGCAATGCTACCACCGATGCGCATTCGTCAATATTCGATTTCTTCGTCGCCATTAGCAGACCCAACAGTCGCGTCTATTACTTGGTCCGTCCTGGATGCGCCATCTCGGATTGGAGATTCAAAGCGGTTCCTTGGTGTGGCGTCCAACTTCCTCTCCAGGACTCATGAAGGCGATAGGATCCACGTTGCCGTGAAACCGAGTCATGGCAACTTCCATCCTCCCAAAGATACCGAAAACACGCCTGTCATCATGTTCTGTGCCGGAACTGGCCTTGCCCCTTTCCACGGATTTGTTCAAGAGAGGGCAATTCAGACCCAGGCGGGCAGAAAGGTCGCACCCGCATACCTTTTCATCGGGTGCAGACATCCCGAAAGGGACGCTCTCTTCAAGGATGAGTTTCAGAAATGGGAAGCTGACGGAATAGTGAGGGTGTTTTATGCATTTTCCGCAGCTAGCGAGCAGAGCAAGGGCTGTCGATATGTCCAGGACAGGTTGTGGGAGGAAAGAGACGAGATGAGAAAGATCTTCGCCCAGGGCGCAAAGCTTTATGTTTGCGGCACCAGCAGAGTTGGAGAAGGCGTTGCATCTACAGTAAAGAAGATATTCCAGGACTATTGCGCCTCTGTTGGCAAGCCAAAGACGGACGAAGAGGTTGAGCTCTGGTTCCAGGGCATCAAGAGCGATCGTTTTTCCTCGGATGTCTTCGCATAAGCTGGCAACCCTATTCATATATATACAGAATCTTGTATATATCTCTACTATCTCGGTAGGGTATCTTTCATTCTAGCATAATATCAGTATCAATATCGAATATCAAATATCGAATCTATTACAAAAATGAAAATTTATATCACCGGATAACTATTATGTATGCTTATATAATCATATTTCCAGCCACCAAGTTAAAAAAAGTTGCGCGCGACTTCGAGATCGCATGGAATTTAAAGACAACAAGAACAGCGTCAGCTAAACGGCGAGACGGCGAGACGACGAGGGCTATATCCGCTAGAGCTTGCGGGGCTTGTTTTGGATAGCGTTCTTCTTCGTCCTGGCAAGACTATGCAGCCTGGGGCGTGCCTTTCTCTCTGTCAGTCTCGAAATGACGTCGCTGCGCAATTCGCGACAACGGCGTAGATCGCGGTATAACCAACATTAATCTTCAAATGCCTTCGAATCCAAAAGACCGGGCTGTCGCTTCACTGGAACAGTTGGCCCTGTCGGACCAAGGTCAGTCTGATGAACATGCTGCGCGCTGGTGGAAAATTAGAGCTGATTCAAAGCTAAACCGAAGATGTTGAGCTTCTCCACGAGATTGTAACACGCGCCGAACAGTACCCAGATGCCGACATTCTTCCATTTCGCGTTATATTCTCAGCGTATGATGCTGTACTGTCTGAGCATGGCATTCCCGTGGAAAGCGATCAGACATATCTGCCCTTCCTATTCCAGCTTGGGACTGTGCGAAATGGTAGCATCTCCGAACGCTTCGAGTCGCTCTTAGCCTCACTCGGTATTCGACTCGAATACGGCGAAGATGCGGAACCAAACGAGTCTTTACCGAACGGCATCTCACCCCATGCTAGAGAAGACAGTGTACACGTTCTACAGCAGAGACCAAATGGAGTTCAGCCGCGGAAAGTTGAGGGCAGGCGGCGCGCCTCATTCGATTCAGTGTACGATGCAACGCAGGACCTTTCACAGCGCGCTATCAACCGACCTAGCTCTAGGTCCTCCATGTCCAGACTCGAGAGTGGGACGGTTAGGTCCTTGGACTTTGATGCGGAAATCAAAAAATTATACCCTTACAAGTCGGACCGCTCTCCTCAACGTCAGAGGTCGAGAAATTCGGCCGGCAGTGATATCAACGGCCAGGCTTCTCGGGTTTTAGACGATGATTCGAACTCCTTCTCTTCAGAGAGCTCACAGCATTCTAATGCTCAAGAGTTGGGGAGTGGCCACAGAACCGATCCGAATATCGTTTTGGAACATCAGTATAGTGAGAATGGACTTTCCATCACATCTGATGAGACACCGGACACTCCGCAAGTACCACCAGAGCTCTTCTACCAACCATCAAACACACAGCGCCTACGAGATGCCTCGGTTTTTGATATGTACAGACAAAGAAATGCCCTCCGACTAATGCTGTCGAGCTGGTCCAAAACAGCAAAGCGGAAGCGAGAGTTAGTCCAGGCCATGGAGCAGAGGGCTATCTATTATGACAGTAAAGCACTGGTTGTTCAAGTCTTGGACCTGTGGAAGGCTGCATTGCAGGACAAACGCGAAGCCGCGGAAGCTGAGAGAGAGGCCTCTCAGAACGAAAAGTTTTTCAATAACTTGGAGGAGCGAGCTGCTCGCGCTCGAGACCTATACCTTCTCACGAAAGCGTTTACCCACTGGTCACAGATTGCCTCCGATGAAGTTCATAGAACCGAGACAGCTCGTCGTCATCTCCTCTGTATCAAATATTTTAACGCATGGCGCGAAATAACAGCTGTTAACGAACTCAAAGCCCAGCGTTTTATTCTGAAAAGGCCATTCAAACTTTGGCATACCCAACACCAACAAATCGCCTCCCTAGCTTCTCAGGCAGACGAGTTTCGCCAGAGAAGCCTTAAGAGACGCACTTATTCATACTGGTTCTGGTCTTTTTGTGATAGGCTAGCCCCGCGCTGGAATAGGGAGCGATTGAAACAACGGTCATTCATCGCTTGGCTACGTGCTCTCCGAACTCAGAGGGAACGAGATCTTTCAATCGATTCCAACCGCACTCTGGACTCTCTAAAAATCACATTCCAAGCTCTTGTCCGGAAATATCGTGAAGTTTCCTCTGCCGAAAGCAGTGCAAATGACCATTGGAAAGCCCATACCACGTCACACTATCTGACAGAATGGTCAGTCAAGCAAAAGTATAGGACGCCCTTTGCAGAGGTGACTAGCCGAGTAAACACTAAGCTATTGCGCTCATGCCTAGAGAGCTGGTCACGACAGACACGCATGGAGAGAAGCGCGCGGGACGCGGACAGACTTCGTGTTATGCGTAACTGCTGGACAACCTGGAATGACCATCTTCGCTGCCAGGCTTTGTCATCCCGAACGGAGGAAAGGATTGTTCTACAAGCATTATATAAATGGATTCTGATGGGAAGACTGCGCCTGTTGAATAGAATACATCAACAACGGATGAAAGCCAGCTACCTCAAGACGCTGATGGAAAATTCTCGGGGTTTGTACAACGAGCTCCTCGTCAAAGAGGCTAGGTTCCGAACTAATAGAAAGCGAAAATTGGCACAAGCTGCCTTTAGCTACTGGAAACAACGCCTTGATATCCAAAAGCAACGTGAGCTAGTGAGCCGGGCGTTCTACGCACCTCCGGTCCAGCAAGAGGTGCTTCAAAGTTGGAAAGCGCGCAGTGATCATCTGGCAACTCTCAATACCTGGGCAAAGAAATCAGAGTATTTTTTCTTGACGACAAAAACGCTGAAGCAGTGGCGGAGTGCCACAGCCGAGTCCGCCAAGAGGCGAAGGTTGGAAGCGTATGCAGCTATCCGGCGCAAAGTGAAAATGAACCTAGCCTCTGCGATTATTTCCGCCTGGCGGTCCCGCTGTGCCACTGTTCGTGAAATGCACCAGCAATCAACTCAGATATATGGCGCCAAACTTATTGCAACCGGAACCAATATATTCCACCTCTGGTCGGAGAAGACCACACAACGAGCACAGCACCTTGCGGATGCGCAGTTGTACTATAACCGGCAGTTGGTCTACAATAATCTGACGCACTGGGCGGGGATGCAACGGTCCTACCAAATGCTTGACGAGAAAGCAACTCGGTTTTTAGAGATCCATGTCTCTGGCATAGCTCTTGCCCAAATTCGGAAATTAAGCCTTCGCATATTCGAAGTCAAGACTCGGTTAGAAACTGCTGATGCTTTGTATGGCCGCAATACCCGAAAGCACTACCGGAATATGATCCATCACTGGCGCGAGAAAGCAAAGATCTCAAAGGACTTTGACTCTTTTCCAATTGAAACTCCATCTAAAGGCGGCCATAGTATCCGGGTTGATGATCCGCATGAATGGCAAGGAATAGATCATAGCCACGAACGAGGAGAGCTACCGATACGGCAACCGGATTTTACATCTCACACCCCCATATCAACACCAGGCTATCTCAACAGCCCTTCGAAGCGGGCCGCCAGGGCAAGGGCTTTGGTTCAGATGTCTACAACTCCAGCAACACCATTGCCAACATCATTTCCTAGTAAGCTCTGGGCGGCAAGCGAACCCAGGTTACAGCCTATATATTCAACCAGGAGAAGTGCGTTTAAGCGTGGTGCAACAAGCACCAATGTACGATTTGCTATTGATGAGGAGCCAGAATCGCCTACCGAAGGCAGATCAACTGGAAGGGAATTAAGATAAAGAAAAAATGAAGGCGAGCATGTAACATTTACGAGGGGCATAAGAAGAGAAACAAAAAAATAGAAATACATCACTTAATGATTCAATCTAACTGATGCACGCCGTAGTATATAATTAACCCGTCTTAAGCCAGCCAGTAAATTTCCATAGCCTCCCCGTGCACCTTTATTCACGAATTATTATCCCAAATGATCGCACTCTCGGGACCCAAAATAGAACAAAAGCAGATAAATGCGCAGGAACAGCTGCTCCGTAGTAAAAAATTAGGTTGAAAAAAGCTGTTGCATTTCCTGATGATTCAGATGAGTGTGGTATAGAAGACGAAGTAAGAGTTGCAGTTAGAGCCAGCTAGAATGCGGTTTATGGGATATAGCCAGCGCATATCATGCATTGTGCACCCACCCTAAGGGACTCAAATATGCGAATTTAAAGTGCTAGGTCAAAGTTGTGGTACCAAAATAGACAAAAAAACATTGCAATCGAACCGAGAGGCTCAAGGAAAATTGGAAAGATGGTTTCAAAAGCAACGGGTAGTAGATAGTTGAAATATATCAGAATTCTTGTATTTTTCGCTTTGCGTTGTCATCGCCGGCGCTGCCCTTGTTGCATTCACGAGACTTTCAGTTTTTTCTGCTTATTGTTTAATGTGAAGCTGGGTGAGCTCTGGTCGGCTTGTCTCTTGTTTTCTAGCTCTGACCTGCTAGAGGTGGCGCCACGTTGGGATATAGTAGGGCGCTCACGGTCCACCTTGGGGTTAGTTAGGCCAAGAGCAGGATTTGAACTCGTTCGGGTCGTGACCGGGATAGTGTTGAATTTTGAGTGGGAGCTTTTAACAGAACGGGTAGCTTGCAGATTGTCGGGTAAAGGTATAGATGGGGTGGCGGGGGTATGGTGTGGAATTGAGCTGGGTCTCCTAGGCGCCTTCTGCGGTTCCGCAGCAGATTTTGGAAAGGGTACTGTTGTGACGTTGTTGCGAATGGTAGGGCGAATAGCCCGGTTGATGGGAACTGCACTTTTGCGATCCTCAATAAAAGACTTGGGAGCCTGGATGACGCGGGAAGCCATGGTATTGAGCTTGTGGGTTGGCGTAGAAAGCGTATGGTTGCGCTTGACGACTGCCGGTAAAGCAGACTTCCTGCCCCCAGAAGAAGCACCAGAGCTGGGCCGAGACGATAGTCTTGGTGGGACAAGTCTCCATTGCGGCCTATCCTCCCACGCTTTACTGCCACTGGGATCACTTTCCTTTGTACCTAGTGCAAAAACAGGGGAAATACCGCCCATCATGCGGTCATGATGAGCATGCCGCTGTACAGTAGTAGGTTTTTCCCGAGGGAGCCTCATTTTCTTGACGTCGACAATTTTGGGAGTGTGCTTTGACTTCTCCTTGTCGAGGCCTTGCAACGCACGTCTCATGCGTTCTGCATCCTCATCAACTTTCTTGGCAGCTTGCGCCCTAAGAGTAGTATAGAAATCGTACCAACTCTCAGGGGCTTCAGTTAGATCAAGTGTCTCCCAAAAGTAGATATCACGCTTGATAAATTCAACCCAGAGTTCGGCATCATGTTCGAGAAGATGCGGGGACCTTTGTTCAAGTTCATGCTAGCCAGATAAAGCAATAAAGAGAATGTAAGTTAGCAAAGTGAAATTTACCAAGAGGCTCGCTAAGGATGCACATCCAGGGCCTCACATACTAGCTGCTGAGGATTTTCAATCCTCTGAAGGATGGGACGGATAACTTCATAGCGGGCCAAGCCAACGTCAGTTATTTCTAGCGGATTTACGAAGTACCGTTAGTTGGAAGCTAAGAAGTGGAGGGATGAAATTCGTAAGGTATGCTATACTCACCCCTAACTACCTTGACACACATCCGGCGGGCCATCAGTAGGAGGGACGAAGCCCCTATATTTTGATTCGACGAAGAAGCCATATAATCAGAAAGTCCCACCAGACTATATATATATATATATATATATACTGGAAAAGGGAAGTCTAATACACGAGATCAGGATAGGGATGGCGAGACACCAAATGTGCACCCGCCTAGATAGTAAGACCAACTATGGCCGGAAGGGATCAAGTCAAGGAATGGGTGTGAAGGTCTGGAGGAAACGTGAGGATCTTTCTTCCGAGCTATAAGACTATGGGCATTTGCCTAGTAAATCCTGTACCCTCTCATTTATCGAAGAGAGAAATGAATGCATGGCCACGCCGGCACGCTTTACTAGTGTTTGATATCCATGGATGTTCAAAGACGAACGACAGGAAGTTTAGTTTACAAAAGAAGGTTGTGTACAAGGTAGATCACGTGATATATTACGTCAGAAGAATTCTGGGACGGATAAATAAGTTGAACCTTAACTTAAAATAGAATATCAAACTTTAATAGTTAACGCGTTCGTTGCAGAAACGAGAATAAAAGATGCGGATAAGGCAGGACACTATGGCCTCTAACTACCCCCTATGCAATTCCCAAATTGGCTGAAAGGCAGAGTTCAAAATGCCCGCGGTGTTGATGGCTCCTGTAAAGCCAGTCTCATCTCTGTGAACATGTTCTGGGACCCATGAACTTATTGCTGAAAAAGCCGTTACGCCCAACCTCGCCAGCCATGTAGATTTAGGAAGTGAGAGAGGAACAAACTGAGTGTTAAATGCTACGTCCGGTGGTGGAACCTCACTCAGACGGGCATCGTCCGTATTCGCGAATTCAGTCACCGCCCTGTTGAGAGCTTCGACGTGCTCTTTAATTGCGGGGGAAAAATTCGATGCATGGGCCATCCATTCAGGATCTAGAGGGGAGAAAAGTCTACCAATCGGTCGTATCGCGATGAGGACGCAGTGATCATTAAGCCCGGAAGGTTCACTTATGGCTGTTACCACAAGCGTGTTGCAAACATTGCATTTGACGCCGTGTTTATTCCGCTCGAAATATTTCTTTCGGTTTTCGGCTGGGTATCGATTACGGATATATTCGGGCACGTAGAGATCCGCAATTCTTTCGTCGGCACTGGTCATATGGTTGCATAGTGGGATGTTTAGTTTCCGGCATAATTCTGCAAAATCCTCCTTGGAAACATCTTTGTAAACGGAGAACAAGTGGTAGCCACTGATTAGTGACATCTTAGGGGAAGAAAACAGACTTATAATCAAGTTTATTAGAGGTATATCGAGGATAAACCCCAATTTATCGTGTCCGCTCATTCTCCGAATGTCGTTGAAGCTGTATTCATGTGGCCATGCATTTACGACCTTCTTAGTTCTTAGGCAACGACGCTCTACGTGGCGTTTCTCTAGCTCATCAATTGAGAAATGCGAGGAAGGGTGGGTAGTGAGGCAACCTCGGCAGCAATACTCCTTTAGCTCTCCGAGCCCTTCGAACATGCACAGAGTAATGAACTGTCCCATTTTGGTTGACTTTAGTTGGCGTTGAACCCCCACAAAGATGGTAGAGTAGTAGAACCGACCACAGGTAAGTGACAACGCAAACGAATCTTCAGAAGTCAAATACTCGTGAATAATCCCAAGTAGTTCGGCCGGCAGTCTGAAGAGATGACTATGTTGGGCATTATGAGATTCTGCCTCCCTCCGAATGTTGTGAACATTGCGATTGAGGAAATATTGAAGCAAATTCCAGGAGTGTCGGGCTGCTGGGTCCATCTTGGTTTAAGTATTCCGGGGTGTGTAGCTTGAAAATGAGTTATGTGAAGTGGTTCATGAGCCTTCATGTTGGAGGGAGTGAACACTCTTTAAATAATATCGACTGGAAGCAGGTAAACTGGTAGAATTCATTGAGATGACTGGACGAGGTATTGTTGTCGGCGTAGTTTAGCATAAGGGATGAGAGAATCCAACAACCTAGAATGGCTGGATACACCCGGTAAACCCATGGGAGGGCTTATACGATAAAAGGTGACTATATGTGTATGTTTGTTAGATAAGAAGATGATAATTCGTTCAAAAAAACCACAATGGCGAGTTACTGGAAGGGTGGGAAATACCCCCTATACCTCCAAGCGAGGCCATGGCTTCCACCTCCTAGCCCTCTAGACCGTATAGTGAATGATTCTGTTCCCGGGGGGATAGAAAGGCAGCTAAGTATAGGGGATATTCCATGTTCATTAAAGGTTTTAGTAAAATAGATGAGATAGATCCCGGTGCATGTGTGG